TTTAAGCAACCTTCCATAGGGAGTCAAATATGCTCTTTTTAAAATATTGCTAACTCAAAGAAATAGAAAAATAAGACGTAGTTTCTTTTGAATTAAAAAAACAATAATAATTTTTTGGATTTTTATGGAGAAAAAAAATTGATCAGAAAAAGATAAAATAAGCTCGTGTATGAATTTAGCAACATACTATACTCAAACCAATCACCAAGTTGTTTTACTTTTATAGTCGAGAAAACGTGCGCAAGATGAAAAAATTTATATTGAGAAAAACTGATTCAAAAGACAACTTTGAACGAAATTGTACCTGATTTTGCAAACGATTCCAGTTTATCAAATAGGTTTTTTTTTTCTTCAGTGAATGGGTTTCAGTATTTTTTGCAGAAATTTCGAGTATTGTCTTGTTCTTGGTGTTAAATTGTTAAGAATAAAACGGGTAATAACTATTACATAAATATTTTTTAAAAAAACGGAAATTTTGTTATTAAACAACCTTTAGAGTCTAAAGGGTGTTTATTAACAAAATTTCCGTAAGAAAATAAAAAAAAAGTCTAAAGTTTACTCTTTAAAAAATTAATCAAAAAATATAAGGATAATTTTAAAGTTATGGCAAAGAACTTTCTCGACTTCATTCTACTTATACATTGGTTAGTATGTTAAATATTCTATTTAGCATACTATTTAATAAATTGCTAACGAAGAACTTTTAAGCAGTTCCGTAATTGTTTTAAATTTCACTGATTACACTTATTGTATGGTTATAATTAGAGCCCGGATTTTGATGACCTAAAAAATCTCAACTAATGCCCTTAAAAAGTGCAAAAAATGCCCTTAAAAAAGGCAAAAATGCCCTTAAAAAATCCAAAAATTGCGCAAAAAATGCCTTAAATAAAGTAAAAATATTGAATTAAAAATTTTTTTTTGCTCTTTAAAATTATTATGAGTCATTTAAAAAATATAAAGCAATGCAATACTTGTTCTACGTTCATTAAAGTTTGAAAAATTTGTTTTATATCCTAAAATAACAAAAAAAGGAAAATATATTGACACCAAAATATTTTTATTTTGTATAGAAACTTTAATGGATATAACAACTTCCATCTCATAATATTACTAAATATCAGAATTACATTGGATTATTAAATGTTTTTTGATAATTTGAAATGTAAACGAGCGTCTCTTGTCTGAAAGTAAATTTTCATTCCTGCAGAAGCTTCTTTCAACGTCTACTGATGTTATAGGTGCGTACTTGAAAAAGACGGTCTCACTTACTGACAATTCTTCTTCAATTTGAAAAGATTTTGCTTCACCTGTTAATATTCTATAGATTTTCTTCATTGTTTGGAAGCCAGTGTAATAATGAAAATTGATAAAAAATAATAAAAATTGGAAAAAATTAACAAAAAACTTTAAAAAATGCATTAAAATGCAAAATACGCCCCAAAATTTAAAGAAAAATGCCCTATAAATCTAAAAAAATGCTCTAAAAGACAAAAAATGTCCAAAAATGCAAAAAAATGCAAATGTCATCAAAATCCGGGCCTTAGTTATAATAATAATGTACAAATAATACTTTTTCAATCAGTTTTTTTTTTAAAAATTGTATTGAATTAAAATACTTTATCATTCTTTTTGAAATATTTTTAACTCATAAAAAAAAAAAAATTTCCCCGAAGAGACAATTGTCCATTAATAAAATATTTACTATTATTACTATACTATATTTACTAACTATTTTATTTTATATAATTGAGTTTAGAATTACAACTATTTAAATTATTAAAAATTCTGTTCAGTCAACTTCAGATTAAACTTTTGCATTTTAATTAATTTTTAAAAAAATATTTAATTTCCTATGCACAAATAACTATTTAATTGCATTAAATTCGAGTTCAACAGTTCGAATAAAATCGGATGTCACAGTTATATAATAACTTATTTCATCCCGTCTTTTCTTCGCTGTTTTTTTTTCTGTTTTTTTTTATTTTTTCCTGAAGGTTTTTTTATTCTTTTTTCAAATCCTTTTTTTGGGGAGAGGTATTTCTTTCGGAGCTCTTTTTTCACTTGATTCGTGCTCTAAATATAAATTTTTTGAGGGCTCCTGGGAAAATAAATCTGATTTGCTATTTTTTTTCCTTTTCGAATTTCGTTTAATTTTTATGCTAAACAACATACGTTCTTATTAGAAGTGAGGAAATTAGCATTAAAGGGTCAACCTAAATAATCGACTAAATTTTTGATAAATCCTTATTCTATAATTTGAATTTATCTAAATTTTTTTCGTGGTTAATTGCTAAAAATTGATCATTAAAAATTTTGGATAATCATATATCGGAGATAATTCAAAATATCAAAAGCAAACCTAATACGGCATGAATTTTCATCTTTTAATTAAATGTGGTTGCCCTAGTTTAACCATTTATTTTGGTAAATCTACTTTGATGTACAGATTTGAATATAACTGGTACGTAAAAAGTGTTATCAAAATTATTAGATTAAAAAAAATTTAGAAAAGCCACGAATTGCTGCTAACTTTTCTAAATGTTTTGAAAAATTTTCTTTCATATTTTAAGTGGTTGCAAAATTTTTATGTCTTGCACTGCTTTCAGTAGTCTTCTGAAAATATTTAGTTAACAAATCATCAAAGCAAGTGAAAATTTTCCTATCTAAGCAATTATTTACATTGAAATAATTTTAATGGGGTATATGTTAGATTTCTAGAAATTTATTCTCATCAAAGAATTATTGTTGTGGTAGGAAACATTTTTTTACATACATTTTACTATCACTTTAATTTCTTGGCCTAGGAAAAAGAGCATTGGAAAAAATGCACCCGGACAAAAAAGCATTTTATTAGCTATTTATTATTTGAATTTAACATTCGATTCGATTAAGCCATTAAGCTTGAATTTAATGTAATTAAAACTTATTCAAACGTAATTAGATACTTTTTATAATTGAAAATAATTTTTAATACTTTATCTACATTAAGTATTAAATATTCTTCAAAAAATTTCAATTGCAAACAAATAAAATAAAAAATTATGTAATATATAATTGTTTTGTTATAAATAATGTATTGATTAATAATAGGGAAGGTTAATCTTTTGATAAGTTAGAAATATTAACAAAAATGATAAATGATTTTAAACTAATATAATTTTTTGAAAAATAAGTAGTTGAAAAAGTATTATTTGTATGTTATTTAACATATACAATAGATGTGATTATTTAAATGTAGAGCAATTTTAGAACTCAAGTGCCCCAAACATTTTGTTAAATAATATGAATATATAAATATAATAAATTAATCCTTATAATATTAATTTTTTTTAAAAAAAGATCTAATTTCTTGCGAATAAATGTTTAATTGCATTAAATTCTGGCTCGAATTGTATCGGTTGTTAAATTCATAGAGTAACTAATTACTTTAGATGTAAAAAACTTTTAATTTTTTTCTTAAAAAATGGTAAGTTTGAATATATTTTTTTTTATGAAAAGTGGATCCTATTCCGTTGCGATAGCTTAGCTTCGTGGAAGAGTTTCTCAACCTCCATCAATGCTGTTGGCGAAAATATATCCATTTCTCTTCGTGTCGCCATCTAGCGACAATAATGAAAACAATAAAATCCTTCTATTAAAATATTGGAAATTTTTTTTCCTTTAGAGTAGTAAAGTGAAATATTAAAAATATTTTATATACGAATAATATGGTTATAATGCGGATAATATGAACAAAGGATAAATATGAAAGCAATTATCATCATTAAAAACAAATATTTGAAAAAGTTAAAATACATACAAAAAATTCCGTTTATGAAATTTATGTTTTTTGATTTTTACGTTTTCATACAAAAACTTTTTTTTCGCGTTTTATTAAAAATTAAAATTTCGGTGAAGACCAAAAACTATACTAAAATGTTCAGGACTAATAGGTAAATAGCTAGAAAAATAATAGAATTAATAAGACAATATAGAGAATTTCAGTAGCTAAGTTTAAAATTTATGTGTTCTTTTTTTAAAAAGTTACTTCCCTCAATTTCTGTTTTTGATAAACTTATGAAGGCATGAAAATCAAAAATTTCATCTAGAGCATATTCGTTAATACATGCAATGTAAAATTTTATTCATTTTTGAATAAAAGGCAAAGGTGTTAATTGCAATTCTGTGATGACTTTTGGAGGGGACAGTAAAAGCTATAGTTTTTACCATCCCGTCCAAGATTTTTCTATCTTTTTCTATATTTTGTACAAGTCTCATTTAAATAAAAGATTAAACATTGAAAAATTGCTAAACATTATTAAAGAAACGAGGCTTAAACTATAACAGGTATAAACCACAAAACTTAAACTTATTTTCGAATGCAAAAAAAAAGTAAATACAGTGCAACCTGTAAAAGTGACCACCTGGGAAAAGTGAGAATCTGAGTAAAGTGACCATTTTCTGCAAGTTTTATTTAAAGAGTCCTTTTTAAAGACTCTTCATAAAGTGACCACCTCTATATAGTGACCATTTGACTTGGTCCCTAGGGTGGTCAATTTAGACAGGTTCCACTGTAAATAAATATGTACTTTGAAATTTTGAATACAGTTATATAGATAAAATTTAGGTTCATACAATATATCTATTTAATTAAAATTATATACTTGAATAGTATAGTCTTAATATTGTATATAATATTGAACATACCATTAATTATAATACTTAAATTGATATTGAACTTGAAGTTTTTGCTAGAAATTTTTTAATTTTATGAGTTTCTTAAAATAAGTTATTAAAATTGCATGCATTTTTTTAAAAGGCAATAAGAGAATAAGTGTCGCATATTTGGAATAATATAACTTACTTATTTTAGAATTATTGGTTTCGTCCAATTTATAAGGTTTTTGCACCCAATAAAAAACCTGTTTAGGATATACAAAACCCCTGATTTCGAAGTTATATAAGCATTCGTCTACCTCTACCACAGTGGATCACAAGACACTAAATAAGAATCAATGGTATTAAGCAAGTCAAAAAGATGATTTTTATTTCTGAAACAGATGCTAGCACAATGATATAAAAATACAGCTATAGACAACACTTCAAAAACTTAAGTGATAACATATTCTCATAAACAGGCTTCATGCACACCTACTGTACAACAAATATTGCATTCACAGAGATCATTGGTACTTTTTTAACCACTAAAGAAGGCACCAGCAGCAGAATATTAGTTTTTCATTCAAACTGTTTGAAGCATATTCAAGAACTACATTTGTGCATACATTCCAGATCTGTGCTTACAATTTAAAGCTTCAGCCCATAGAAACACTTTTGCTTAATCAGAACAGAAAATTAAAAAAATTGTTTGTGCAGGCCAAAAAATTAAAACTCTTCATATTAATTTTATCAATGTAAAGAACAAATAAATATTAATTGAATGATATTTCTTGGTTTCACAAAAACAAGGAATATTCCATTTCAGGGAGGGACATAAAAAAAATATATTACCATGATAAATAAGCATTGTTGATGTCAATAATTTAGCAACTTTTTAGGACCCCACAAAATAAAATCTTACCCCAAAAAAAGCCGAATGAAAAATTTGGGGAGCTAGAAATGTACAATTTGCTTGGGAAATTAGGAATTTATTCTCATAAAATTTAAAAATTAGTTACAAAGTTCATCAACATATAAAACTTCTGACAGATAAAACCATTATACTATGTTACTTGCTGAGCGTTAAAACATTCCAATTGAAATATTTGCATGAGCCTCTTAATATTAATTTTCAAACTGAGTCCCATTCTTATAGCTTTGGAGTTAATTTTAAAAAGATTTTTCAATAGTTTAGTTGACAGTGCCCTCGGTTAATGAACTTTGTAACTGATTTTGAAACTTGGTGAGAATAAATCGTAGCAAATTATGCATTTCTATCTCTTTACATTTGTCATTTTTGGGATAGCCATCTTGAAATGTTCTCTATTTAATAAAAATATGAGTTACTTCTGATTTCTTTCTTTCTTTTTTCCTTTACAAACTGAACATAAAGCTTGTTGCTTTTTTTTTTTGCAACATAACCTGCTTTATTCCTGTTATTTATTGAAAAAATGTTATACAGTTTTGCTCCGGAGGCAATTTTTTTGTAAATTCTTCTTCAATAAAAAAAACTTAATGGTTAGGTTTGAAAGAATGATTGAATTTGTTTCTTCTTTTTTAATGTAACTTGTTCAAATTAAAATACTCTATTATATTTCAAAATAATGAAATATATATTTAATGAAAAAAAAAGATAATTGAAAAGGTTAAAGAAATACAACTTGTAGCTTTAAAAAACAGCATACATCAGATTTTTTAAAAGCTAAAAAAATGATTTAGAGTTGAAATAATACATTTTAGAAGAGTATTATAACCTTGAATATAAATTACTACAGCTAAAAGAAAGGGCATTAGACAATTTAATTAAAAGGCTATCTTAACATTGGTAAACCCACAATATCAATAATATGGGAAAATTTTACTCTTTTAAGTGTTCATTCCAGTTTTTTTGTAAATGTGATCTAGTGTCTTCCCAATATTATAAAATAGAGAAGAAATGCAAAGGTAAATATTTTATAAAAATTATTTCTCCTCATTTCAGATCTTACAGGGTTTAGAAAATTATTTTATTTATTATGTAACAAGAAAACAATGCGTAAACTGTAACCTTTTGACAATCTGCATACATAATTATGCTTCCAAAACTGCATGCTTTTTTTCAGACATTGGCTTTTTCTAAACAGGATATTTCTTTTGTTTTAAAATCAAATTTAAGACATTCTCAAAAGAAAAAAATTATTAGATTGTGATTACATCAAATGAATCTATGAAATGAGAACAATGTATGAATGTTCACAAAATGAGTGAAAAAAAAAATAAGCAATCATTTATATTATACAAAGCAAAGGAAAAGTTTATCTTTTACAAAATAGGTCAATGTTCAAAAATTCAAACAAGCATTTTTTAAATTAAAATCCATTTTTAAATTTAAACATCTTAAAACAATCACATACTCAAAGCAATTCATAAACCTCAAGAAACTCATTTTTAATACATTCAAAAATGGCAGCAAATATATACAAGGGAAAAAAAATTAAGAATATAAATAACAACACATAACAATTATAAAATGGAAAACAAGATTTGATAATATTGATAAATAAAAAAATATAAGATACCTATAAACATTGAAGCAACTCTTACAAGATATAATTTATTTCATATCATACATCAAGAGTTATACCAAAGAGCAAATAACAGACTCTTTTATTTAATCACAATATAAACATTTTGGAATTTTTTTTTTCACATACAGTAGGTGTTTTTATAATTTAAACTTAAAAACCAAATTTTTTTACTAAAAAACAGTATGAATTGTAAACAAAGCTATTTTAAACAAATGTTCCCTCTTTAAATTAGCTGAATTAAATAAAAAATGAAACTTTTTTTATAAAAACAAAGTCGGCGAAAAAATATTTTTCAAATGTCGTAAGTGTAAATAAGTGATTAAAACTATCTGTACAAATGGTTTCAGGTTTTTGGATTTAGCACTATAATCACAGATTTTTAGAATATAAAAACATGACAGCTTTTTTTATTCCATTATCAATTAAAAAAATTTAACCAGGAACAGGAAATTTGTCAGAAACTTATAAGGAATACATCTCACAGTTTCCAAACATGTCTATTCAAGTAGATTACTCATTTAATGATGAACAATGCAGTCAGTATTCAGTAGTAAGGCTGTCTCAAATCAAAACTTATCTCAAATTTTTTTTTATTTATTAAAATTCAGCAAGTTTTAAACATAATTTTTATATATTTTTCTGAATTTATGTATTTTCAAATTGAAATAAACTACCAAATTATTAGATCAACATAATTTTGAAGGTGTGAATAATCACTTTACCTTTTTAAGTAGAATTTATTATGAGCTATACTTAGATGTGAAGAAAGATAAGAAGCCCAAAATCTAACCCAAAAATTACCTTGTTAAAAAATATATATCCTTTAAAGAAATATTAACTAATTGCAATTTTAAGTGTATACAACTGGAATACAACTTTCAGCTCAGGAAGAAAAAAAAAACAAATTTTTTTTACATAAAAAAAGAACAAAAAAAAGAAATTGTACTTTTTTAAAGCTTAAATATGAGATTTCACTTTCAAATTAACTAACATACGTTTGACTTGATAATTACGTAATTAACTTCAGCTGACATTCAAAAAATTTTATAATTTATTTAATTTTCAATAGATTTAAACACTAATTACAATAGGAAGTAACCCAATTTTGATCCACACAAATAATAAGCATTTTAAAATTAACACCAATTGAGAAAATAATAACGATATTTACAATTTTATAGGCTGTAATACTACTTTCCCCAAAAAAACCATTCTCCCTCTCAAATTTTTTTTTAAAAGTTATTATGTTTAAATAAAAATAACTATTAAAAAAAAGGTAAACAGTTATAAATTTTATAGGCTTGAATATGTGGTTTTACTTCCATAATTACTATGTGATCTTCCACTGGCAATCAAAAATTCTTACAACTTATTCTATTTTAAATTGGTTTAAGCATTAATCACAACAAATCACTTGATTATGACAAATTAATCTTTTAAACAAAATGATTCCCTTCCTACAACTCACAGATTGTTGACATTTTATAAACACATAATTACTATAAATGATATAGGAACAATATCACAAAAGCAAATGAAAAAAAAAAAAAAGAGGGGGAGGGACACATATTTCTGAGTCAGGGGTAGATTATTCAGCATCTTGAGAATTTACAGAATCAGTCAAAATTTGTTGTAACAAATCGTATAATATTTCAAAAGATTTACTATACGCAGACCGCGTGAGATGTAAATAATCATACAAATCGTGGTGAGATACCAGGCCGTCTGGCTGCACAAAACCAGGATCAATATCTATGACTTGAGTGTTAGGAAGTCCATGGGTTGCAGATTTCAACTTTTCATTGACTTCATTAATTTTGCTACGAAGAGGGTTTGGTTTGCGACCACATGGTAGGAGTTTCTGTGAATAATTAACAGATATTAATTAAAATCTTGAATTTTATAAAAATTTAAAATACAGTACGGAACTGATTATCCGGAACAATCGGGACCATCGCTATTCAGGATAACTGATTTTTCCGGATTTCTGAATCGCTACAAAAAGCCGTTTTTTAAATTGTTAAACCCAACTAAAAAAAGAAATATTTGGAAATAATCTAGAAAAAAACAAAGTAATACACTAATGATTATTTCCAAAATGATAGTGCGGTAAACATCTTTCAAAAAAGAAAGAAAAATCCTAAAATCTTATAAAGAAAAAAAAAAAATTTTTTTTTAAAAAAAAGGCGGGAAAATTTATTGATTTCGTTCCGGTTTTTTGGTTTTCCGGTTTACTGATTTCCGGATAACAGGTTCTGTACTGTATATGATCATTACATCTCAACGGAACAACATGAAAGATAGGTTCAAAATCAGGATATTAAAAGATCTTACATCTCCCTACACAGTTAGGGTTGCCACACAAATCTGAAAAAAAAAAAACACCTTGTGTTTTTCCTGTACATCTTATACACAATGTATTAAGAAGAAGATGTACTTGTGCGAGCTGCATTGGGCCAACTGTACTAGTTTTCATTGCTGGAAAAACTTAAGAGAAAAAACAGGAACAGCTGAACACACTTAAATAATGCTATAGTAATGAAATAGCTTAGTATCGCTGAAATATCATCCTTAAATATCCCATAGATTACGGATTAAGTGGTCACCTTTTTTTAAAAGATGAAAATAAGAAACAAAATTCCCTGTATTTCCTAGTTTGTAAAGAAAAAATCTAAATTCCCAGCAATTTCACTATTATTTTAGGCGATTTTTAAATTCCCTGTACTTTCCAGGTTCTCCCTATTCTCCCTGAGGAGTGGCAACCCAGACAGTCTGGATTCTGATCATAGGTTCAAGTTTTCTTCTGTGAAAATCTTTCAACATGGCTTCTGATCTATGGACCGAGAATTCTAGGAATTGTTCCACATTTTGAAAATTTCTAAGAATAATGTACTTCATGATCTTTCATATGTACCATTGCTTAATTTTTGAAACCCCCACACTTGTTTATCATTTACTTTAAAACTGTTTCTCTTAACCCTATTGTTTGCACAATTTTTTTCTCGTTGCATCATATTTGTCTCCTTACTTTCTCTTATCGTTTTATACTAATCTCTTATCATTGAAAACTGAGAAGATTCTTGTTTACAGAACCGAAACTACAGTAAGCCCATTTCTGCTCACCTGTTTGTACTTCATTCACAATGCTTTGCTTTATTCATACAAAGCACAATGTATACCCAATCTTCATTTCGAGCAACTTTTTTTTTGTTGTTGCTATTCACGGGGATGAGATTGGCCAAAAGGTAAAAAAGCTGAATTTTCATGCAAGTAAATCGTGATTTATAGCAAAATTATCAGTAACATGTTCTCATCCAGTTTCGCTGATGTTGTAATGCCTACATATAGCAATAATCATCTATAGAAAAACTGCCACATTTATAGGAACTAATTAAAAAAAAAAAAAAAANAAAAAAAAAAAAAAAAAAAAAAAAAAACTTACTTTTTACAAGAATTGCGATCTTGGATGTTAAAATCGCGTGAATATAAATCACGATATTGAAATCAAGTGAAAATACAAATCATGTGCTTAATTTTCAGATCACGTAGATACGAATTACGATGCATAATTTCTAAATGGCGTGAATACGAATCCTAAGACTAATTTTCAAATCACGTGTAAACAGGAAAATAGATGTTGAATACTACAACCGCAAAAACGAATCACGACATTGGATAAACTCGCCGTGAATACGAATCGTTACATAGAATTTTAAAAATGCCTCAATACAAATCGCGATATTGGATTTTTAAATCTCATAAATAAGAAATGCAATGAACGATATTGAAATTGCGCCAATAAGAATCGTAATGTGCAACTTTTAAATCAGGTAAATGCAAAAATCAATGTTTGATATTAAAATACGAACTATCTAGCGGAAGGGGAAAAATTAAGAAGATCTTATTTTCTGCTCGTAAAAGCTAAAATAAGTAGATATGTTGAAGGGTTAGCAGCTACATAGTTTGAGTCTTCAATATATCTTTCGATATATTATATCTATATATCAAATCGGAAATAAATATAATTATTTTCTAAATTTTCACTAAATTTTCAGAAAAGGCGAAATATTTATAAAAAAACTGAAACTTTGAGAAAATCGGAGTTTTTGATAATAAGGCTGAAATTCAAGAGACAAAAGTGAAAAAGGCGGAAATCCGCTAAAAAGCGGGAAAATCTCATCCCTGTATTCAAGAATGGAAAGAAGAAAAAAAATCAAAAAATTAACATAAACATCCTTCCTACACAAAACTTGCATTTTGACTTAGAAGGTAATTACACACCATAAAATTTTATATAATTACATACCTGCCAACATTGGAGAAATAAAATAACTGAGATTTTACTAGCGACATTTTTTGGGCCACAAGTAGTTTTGATACATCATGCATAATCATGTAAGTCAATTGGAAATAATATAATATAAATATTAATCTAAAGAAGGTTTTTTTTAAAACCATTATTTATAATTATTTAAACTATAAACACTCTCAACATACTGCAGTACGGGCAATAGCATCATCTGTTGAAGAATATGAGAAGCGTTTTTACCATTAGTTGATATTTTATCATCAATTTTTTTTAAAAACTTCTTCAACAAATATGAAGAAATTTGAGATTATACGGGTAAACAGGAGGCTTGGACAGTATGTAAATTAGAGAAAAAGCCTACAATTATAAAATATTTAAGAACTCAAAACTAAGCATTGCCATTGAATCAAAATGATTTTATTTCTGGCACAACAGCCCAGAGTGAGCCAAGGTTTTTTATTGAAGATTTCCCCAGGACATCCTATTGTTTGACCAGAAATGTTTGTCTTTTATCTCAATCACAGTAATTTCTGCACAAATATTCATTGATTTCTATATATATAATATTAGGCTTCGCATACCTGAGTAGAATAAATTTTATTTATACGCTGTTATCAGATTTATAAAAAAAAATCTGATTTTTAATCTTAAATTTCAAGAAATATTTAAAATACAGTAATGAGACTTACCAAAAGAATAAGAGTTGCATTAGGTTTTTTCTCAATTATAGCATTAGCACAGCTCAAAATTCCAGATACGATTTCTTCAGCGGAATGATTGATATTGTTTGCACCAACACCCAAAACAATTATCTGACAAAATTAACAAAAATTAAGCAATGAAAGAAATGAATTAAAACTAATGTATATTAATTCAAGATATTAAAACACTGCCTTATTTTATGTTTTCTAAAAAATTTTCTTCCAGAATTTATCACAGGAAAATAATATGATGGCTTAAAACATATTAAATGCAAATCTTAATACTTAAAAAATAAAATCTTGTACAAAATAGCAAAATCAGAAAAAATCAAGTTTTTTTTTTTAAAAAATCTTTTTTGTTCCATTTTAATCAGATTTTTTTTTGAACTTCAATCAAATTTTTAAATTTTTTTTTTACAATTACCAATCAAATCTCTGATTGTACTTAATATTAGTTAATTGCTACAAAACTAACCAGTGAATAAATAAAATCACAGTAGTCAAGCTTAACACTCTCACGAATTGTAATTAAATTTCATTATTTAAATTCACTAACTGCAAATTCAATAAGTTTTAAAAATAATTGCATTTAAATAAAATTAATTAAACAAGGAAACATGTTTACTGAATGGCAAATTATTAGACACGCAGCAAATAAAAAATTATAATTTATAAGCTTCATGACATTTCTATTCACATTTATTATTATTTTTTTTAATGCATAATTTATAATTCATAAATTAAGTTTATTTTGAACATCAGATAATTTTTATGCTACTCTCATTATATCTGTCAATTAAACCTTAATTATCAATGAAATCAGACATTAAAAAAAATTCATAACCTTTATATTCTCATACATTATATTGTGTAAAAAATATTTTTGACTATCATATAAAATATTTTCTGCTTTTAAAAAAAGATGGTTGATTTAAATCTATGATTTTTTGAAAACAAATCAAATGATTTAAAAACCATAGCAAATCTTGCAAAGTAGTAAATATACTGAATAATTAATATACTAAAGACTTATAATAATTATCTGAAATATTACATAAAAAATGGAATATTTATATCTTTATATCTAATAGATTAATAAAAATCAAGTGATTGAAATCATAATTGGTAGGTAGTTATTTTTAAAAGTAGTAATGGACAATTTAATAAGATAATAAATTAGCTATAGTGGAGATTTAGACTAATTAAATAATATTTTCTCTTTCAATCTTAGTTTATTAAAACTTTACTTCTAATGAAACAATATCTAAATGCTTGTCACAATATAAAACTGTGACTAAAGCTAAAAATCTGGCTAAATTGCTTGTCAAAGAAGAATTATTTTCTTGATAAATATAAACACATATTATAAACAGCTAAGCTATTTTGGTCAGTGTTTGAAGGACCAGCGTCTAAAAGGTATTACTAATCTGCACATATTTTCAAGGGTCCAGTCCCCAGGGATGCCAACCCTCCCCAATGCCAAAGGGAACATCCCCCAAAATTTAAAAAAAACCCCACCCTTTATTTCTGAAAAAACAAAACTATAAAAAAAGATTTGTTTAGCTATGTCTCATGATCTAACTCAATTATTCACTGTTTGAAATATTTCATAAAACATTATTTTTTGGAAAAGTATTATTTTGGAAAATTATAATATTTTTAAAATTACAAAATTGTATAAAATATTAAATAAAAAATACTCCAGTACCTATGGCAGTTTGTCTTCCTGTGAGCACTTTTGCATGTTTATAGATTTTTTCTTAAAACAAGTAAATATAGTGAACTTAAAAAAGTTACCATACAAAGAATGTGTATTACAATTAAAATAAAATATGTTATTTCGTCATAATAACCAGACCAAAACAGCAAAATGAAATTCAAACACCAAAACAACATAGCTTACTACATCAATCGCTCATCGGAGTACCACTCATTATTTTTGCTCGTTCGAGTAAAATTTTACCTATCCAATGATCAACTGAACACTGTTAATAATAAGTCATGATTAATTATTTTTAAGTAGAGAAAACTAAATTTTAACAATGAAATATAATAATAGAATAACACCTTTGGATCAGTAGAGTCAATTTCTCCATTTTGAATCCTCCACAAGACATTTTGAGTTTCATCTTCAGCAATGCCTAAATTAAGACAATGAAGAGGAGCAAACAATTTTTCCCACATCTACAAAAATCAAACAAAGAATTAATAGAGTTAACTTTTAACACAGCTATAAAACAAATGCATTTCTCTAACAGCAGTTATATAATGTAGAAAATTCACAGACTGTGAATTAAATCAGTAAAATAAATAATTAGACTAAAACTGCCTTTCTATGTAAATAGTACATTATTAAATATGAAATGATCAACTAATCTGGTCTTTTATTGGCCGGAATACAACTGATCACTTTTTTGTAGAAATAAAACAGACATACGTCAGTAGGATTTTATGGAGATAAGACTATTTCATTTTTTATAAAAAGTAATATATTCCAACTGTGAGTCGGGAGGGTAATGGAGGTTAAGTCCCACAATATTTGTGACCTACAGTATGAAAGTGATAACGTGGTCAACATCACTTACAGGTCGCCATTACTTTCCAGATAAGCTGGTACCCATTGATTGGAAGCCTGGTGGGCTCTAAACTGCTATTACAGATCAAACCCTAGTTCTTTGCAATGCCAGCTCAGTGCTTTAAACCACTGACCCACCATGAATCAAGTATGAAAATAAGAGCCAGCATGGCTCAGTTTTTTTTTACACTTTTAAATTTCACTTTAATAAATTTAAACAACCAAATCATAAGCACACAGGATTATATTCATACAGGATCAAAGCAGAGTTTGCAAGGTTTAGGACAGAATAGATTTATCTACTGTTTAAACCAGGGTTTAAATCGTCCTGTCCAAAACTGTTCTAAACCCCTTTATTCAAATTATGTCACAATTCAAAAAAAAATATTGTGAAAAATAAAATGTTTTTGAACAAGAAACAAAATGAAGGCAAGTTTTTGTGTCATTAAAAAAGTTGATCATTATTTTTAATATTGCATTATTTATCATTTTGCAAAAACACAATTTATCAGCATATTTATTTATATTTATAGGTATTCACCTTTGTTGTTCAATGAATTATCTGGCTTCAAAGGTTATAAATCTTTTCCCATTATATTATATTATTTTCCTTTAATAAGTTGAAGCGAATTGTACAAAAAGTATCAAATATTTATTATATGTAATTACTATGTGTACAATGGTTACAATATAGAATTTTTGCCTGTTACCAATGTTCAAGGTTTTTGACAATTCAAGACAGTAAAACCCATGTGTCCTGTAAAAAAAAAATTTAGGACATTCAAAACCCCAAACCTGGATCAAAGACGCCGAACATAAGAAAAAGTGCAAAGCTAAGCGAAAGAACAAACTTTTGCAATGGTATATATGCATTTCATCAGTTTGAATTCAGACCAGTTCTTTGTATCTCAGGCCTGGCATAGAAGTTTACAGGTTCGTTAGGTACACAAACTGTGGAGCTTAAACCTAATAACGGTGATTACACCACAAATATGATTTAAATATTTATATTACTGTCACTTTATTTTATTAAATAGCATATAATTTATATGAAATATGTTGTGGATTAAAAGAAAATGAAAATATCACAGATATTCCTCAGTTCATTCTAAATTGAGTTACAAAACATAAACCCTGAAGAAAAAAAACTGAATGATGTGAAATCTGTGAAAATGAGGATAAAACTTACTTCAGTATGAGCAGCCATGCTTACAACATAATCTCCTAAAAACAAAACTTCTGGCTCTTGCTCCCTTGCAGATATTAGAAAATGTTTGTGCTGAAAAAATAAAAAATAAGTACTAATTTTTTTTTTTAACATTTAACCTATTTTGTACAGAAGAAAGGAACAAAACATATATAAAAAATATTTTCGTTAAAATTTTAATTCCCTTTTATCCCTTCTTTCTTGCACTTTCCATAGTTTCACAGCATTATCAACAAACTTGAACTTTCAGATATTTCCATTCTTTTTCTTTAAATTCAGGTCCTGTTGCTGATAAGTGTACAACCATTGCTATAGCAGAGTTTGAAGAGATGGCAAAAGTATATCAGATTTATTAGTGTTTTAAATATAAAAAAAATTTATTATTTTCAGGGATATGCGCAGTTAAGTTTTATTTAAAAAACTAAAAGTAGAAATAGGCCTGATTATCATAAGCATAGTGTGAAATTTTCTTTTGAGGATGCACTTTTTTTTAAAATTTTTTAGAATATATGTATTAAAATTAAAACTCAAAAAACAATACAGTGAAGAAAATTTTATAGGTCTTCAATTTGACCCCCTTCCCTCTTGCTCTCGTCAGAACCATGCAGTGTGTTTTCTTCACCTATTTCTCATACCCATGATATTCCTGGGCTAAAGCGTTCTAAAGAAATACACCAAAACAGTTTAAATATATCTATATCTTGGGCCTGGAACTTTTTTTATTTCTTATTTTAGACATTAGATGACTGCACCAGACTGTTTATAATGTAACTGGGGTGTGATGCTAGCCTTTGCATCTCATCTTCGAAATTTATCGTACAAGAAAAAATTACATATACTATTAATTAACATAATGCGTAAGAATAATAAAATTCTGTTTTAATGTTTAAAACACAAATTTTTCATATTTAGACTTTCCAAATATTGTCAACCAGCTATGTGCTGGACAATTGTAATAATTTTCAAACAATCCATATTACGGTGATATCTGGTTTATGCTAGACTAGTAGTATTTTTTTTTTAAATTTTAAACAACTTCTATAAACTTACAATAGAAAGCCATCTGTCATCACCTCGCTTATCTTCTGGTGGAGCAGCTTCACTTGCTAGAGTCATTTTAAACACTAGATAATAAAAAATAGATAAATATAAATTATTTCTTTATATGAATAAACTATGAAATATAAACATTTGCAAGTTTAACGAAACTAACAAGTTATAGTTTGTCTACGCTAAGAAGTTCCCTCTCCACAAAATCTGAGGCCGTCTGTTACTATAAAAACAAGAATAGTGCATTTCAGGGAAGGTAGCTTCTCTTCGCTCTAAACCAAACACAGAAAACCGAAGAAAAAGATACTCTTTCTCTTGCCGATCTGAGCCAAAACCTGATTAAAACAATTTCCCCACACCTCTATTGGAAATAGTTATCCCTCATTACCATAGTCACCACCACGGGTCGAGGCGAATGGCTAGGGGAGTTCTTACTTTAGACAAACTATATCTGCTTTAAATTACTTGTTAATGGACCACATAAGGATTCCAGATAATTTTAGGTAAGTGAAAACAAGTTATTTCATGGCATTATTAGTTATTTCATGGCATTATTAGTTATTAGTTAGAATTAACTACATGGCATATTTAGTTAGAGTCATATATATACATTGCAGATCATATAATCTTCTTATAACTCAGTAACTAAATTCTTACTTTTGCTATAAACACAGTTTTCTTAAATTTATTATGCAATGCTTTCTTTACTTCGAAATTCCAGAGGGCGCCAACTCGAAGGGTATAACTTGTAGCCACATTTCTCAACACATTTATTTTTTTTTAAATTTTGCAACTTTAAAATCTTTTGGGCACCATGGCAATTATTAGTTCGCGCGAGCAGATACCGATTCGGAATTATCTCCAATCTTTTAAAACTCGATTCATTGATAATAGAATAATAACAATAAGGAATTATAAAGGCATGCAATTAAACAAATGACAAACAGAGCATGACAACATCAAGTACTCTATGAGTAAGAAGCCCACTTTAACAACCTACAGTTAAATTTAATACTCAATGTGCTAAAATGTAAATTGAAATACTATTACTAGATTTAATTTTTTATTCATTACTTTTTTAGTAATTAAGTGGACAGGGCATAAAAAAGTAATTATGTGAGCACTTATTTCGTCTAAAACAGCATAGTACAATTATAATACAGGGCAATGTATCACAAAATGAAAATTCCATTTTCTTTCGATCATGATAGAGTTATAAATTTTTATAATTATTTTCTAGAAGGAAAAAGAAAAACTTGAAATTTATGTATAACATCTTGAGTAAAACTTACAGTAGAAAACAAAGCAGTAGAAGTAATTCTGAAAATTTCAATTTTTAATAGAGAACAACACCGTCTTATAAAAATTGTCTAGCACTTTTCATCAAAAATTATTAATAAACTTAAAAATTTTAAACAATATCACTATCCCTGATAGAGGAGAAAACACCACAACAAAAAATATCTATTAAACAAAAAACGATTACGATTTTCTCTTGATATTAACGATTACGATTTTCTTATGAGAATCGCTGCCTGATTAAAATTTGTACACTATGTATAATTTATATCAAAGAATGGCAACAACATCTTCAAAACATCCGAATTTCGTCGGGGAAAAAAAAGTAATTTTTGGTTTTTATCCGCAAATAAATTATTGGTTGAGCTTAAAATTTTTCCGCATCGTTTCATATCTAATGCGCGCGAAACACAAATATAAACACAATATAGGGATTATGTATAAAAAAATATGCATAATACATACATATATTTTAAATTTTTTCAAGTTTTATCTCTTTAGTCTGCTCTGCAAAAAAGTAAAACAAACATTGCATAGATGCATATTCTTGTGAAGTGTGACAACATGTTATGCACTATTTGAGTGTCACTGCACTGAATCACAAAATCTTGGAGACCGTGTTTATATAGTCATATAGCGATATAGAAATCTTCCTGTCCTAACAAAAGCTCTTTTGAAAGTAATATTTTTGTTACTATTCATAGTAGTACGTTGAAAACAGGGTTCATGTTTTGTTTTAAATTTATGTATATATTAATATGTAACATATAAAGCTTTAACAAATTTTTTATGTTATTTCTTTATCTAAATTCCTCTTTATTATTCAAAATTAAACTTGATTTCACATTTTATTCACATCCCCAGTTTTGTTTCTAAATTTAGATTAAAGTATGCAAGAATCAACATTTTTAGTTCTTCTCTTAACCAAGCGTGAGAACCGGAGAAATCAATCGACCTATTTTTTAACCGAGTAATAAGAAATAAATATTCTTTTTTTTTTGGATGTGACTTAAGAGTTCATCAGTATATTTTTTGCTAGATTTTCTTTAATTTTTTTACGGAAGCACTTGGTTGATTGCTCTCTTGACAATAACAATTAAGTAAACATTGATGTTTTTTCCCCTGGCCTGAGATCCGTTTTACCCCATTGTTCCGTACCTAACCATAAGCTCTATTTCAGTAGCACACTTATATGGGGAGTAGTGTAAGAATTCTAACTATAAAATGTGATAAGAGGTTGTATAGTATGAGTAGAGAATATTGAGTATAAATATGTGGATTAAAAATAAAATTTATTACAATCCTCTAATTTGTGTCAGCTTCATTTATTGAGAGAGAACACCCACCTCTCTGCAACAACTTAATGTATATAAAAGATATCCTAAAAATTTCAAAAATTAATTTCATGTATTTAAAAAAATCCATATATTTAATTACTGCATTAAATTTTTACTTTATTCTTTACATTCTAAGGAAACCACAAAATTGCAAGATTTTAAAAATGTTATTACAAAAGTTCTATAATTTATTTCCTTCTACTACTATGAGTAAAATATAAGTTTTTAGCTGAAACTTATTAACACAGAAATATATTTTAACTTTAAAACTATGACATTTAATAAAAAAAAATCTCAAATTTTAATACATAGCAAGATTTTAAATTAATGTTTTAAAAATAAATCATTTGATTATCAATAATTTTTTTATAACAGCAAAAAAAATCAGTTGATTTAAATCAATGAATCCTGCAAAAAAATTCTGTTTTATTTTGAACTGTTATATAGAAAAAAAAAATAATAAAAAAGTTGGAAAAAACATATTTAGCACAAAATAAGAATAAACTGAGAGTCCTATATGGGTTCCTGAAATGTTCAACATCCTACTATCTTCTCTTAGTTCAAACAAAATAAAATCATCACTGCACTAGGCTGATAAATGAAAGTCATTTGTGAAGACTTAAGAGGTTTACCAAATACTATCTTGAGCTATTATAATTATAGCATGTCTAATCTACACAAAAAGTCTAGTTTAGTCTATCTAGTTTAGTTACACATCTCATAACTAAGCTTACTCAAGAAAGAGAGGAATTAATACGGTTTCTTTTTGTTTTCCAATTGAGTCTCGTAATTGTACTATGAAAAAATGTTTAGATGTCGCTTTTGTTATTTCTACCATGCATAGGAGGTTTAAGGACTGTTTTAATAACAGTGTAAAACTTATTTCATTTGAAAAATTCAGAGCCATCTTTAGGGAGTTCAGTATAGGCTTCTTTCATCCTGATAAAATTAGTGTGAGATATGAGAGGCTTATCAAAATTGAGTTCCTCTGCTGAAAGCAGATGGGAATTTTATTAGGATAGGGAACATGTTTCATTTAAAAAACTCAGAGCCATCTTTTCGGCAATCAGTATAGGCTTCTTTCACTCTGAGAAAAATTAATATGAGATGCGCATCGCAAATGAGTTCCTGTGCTCAGAATGCAGATAGGGAAGTTGAGTTCAGAACAGTGCAAGAGAACTAATGTATCCGTTTACATAAAAATATAAATGAGTCTTATTCAGCATTTTAAGGTATCAATTTTTATTTTGAGGCTGTTTTTAATATTACACTGGGACATGAAGGTCAATTTTTTTTTTTAACTTTCATTAACTCCTCATTTACAACTTTACACTCCATTTGATCTGCAATTATGTGTTAAGGCCATTGTTACTAGTAAAATAAGAAAAAAATAATAATTAAAAAAAAACATATCCTAAAGTTAATTTCTGCACATTTACTTAAATAACTATAGAAAATCACCATTTTGTCTTAAGATTCTTGCAGGACAAGTATGTGTATATATTTACTAAAAAATTCTCTAAAATGGAATTCAATTCTATCCATTCTAAAGTTGAAAAAAAAAATTTAAACATGTACAAAAAAAAGGATGAATTTTCAGAGGAGCAAAACACGATAGTATCTTATCATAAATTGCACTATATTATGTCTTTCATGTTGTCATTTCTTTCTCCCGAGAATTTAAAGGTGCAATTTCACGTAGGAAAGTCTTAAATTTTGCAAAGGGCTGAATCTGGAAGTAAAAACATTAGATGTAAGCTGTATATTGAGAAAATTTCGGCTATTGACTTAGCAAAATTGTTAGAGAAAACTTACAACTATATGCTGTTTACTTTCCTGAGGTCTATGTGAACAGGTTTGTCTATAGAAACAACTCCCCTCACCATAAAGTCTGCTGCTATGTAAACAAATAGCACATTTCAATGAGGGTAGCTTCTCTCGCCGACCTAAGCCAAAACCTGTCTCAACCGAGGGTAGTTCTTTCCATAGACAAACTATATCTCCGAGCCTATGATAAGAAATTTGTTAAAGATATGACAGAATGTAAGAATAACCAGCTTCTACTAAAAATTAAAAGTATCAGTTAAACTCTTAGATAATTTGTCTGTTTTTCTTTCAAGTGATGGATCTGACTATGAAAATCATAGCAATTAATATTCCTGCTATATTTTGTTTCTGATCATTATTTAATAAAAGATCTATATACTTAAAAGTTAATGTTTTTCTTTTTTTACATCAGTTTTGAGGAAACAATTGTGGTAATAATACAATTATAAGACTAAAAGCTGTTTTAGACAAGTACCCTACAATAAAAATGGTCATGTATGTTTTTCCTCTAGCATTCTTATTACTCCTTCTCTTTGAAATTCTTTACAATTCAACTTTGATAATCAGAAAGAAACAAAAGAGCACCTACCAAAATCCCCCTTTAGTTTAAAAAATATTCTACCCATTTTCTACCTGCTTTTTGGTTTGTAGCATGGCTGTCTCTATCAAGAACATAACAAAATAATGCAGTTTTTTTTCTCTTTAAATCTGCATTTTATCCAATAGTTAAAAACTTTTTTTCCCGATAAAATAATATATTTTTTTTCCAAATAGATATTGCATTTTTATACACTACAACTGAAATAATAGAACCAAGAAACATTAATTAATATATTTATAACAATGCTGTTTCACACGGTTCTTTAAGGCAGATTAAGGACGAGTTTTGTTATTGAGAATTAATCGCTTTTAACCATTAATTAAAAGAAGAAAAATTCTTTTGAATAGTAAAGAATATAAATTTTTACATAATTTCAAATGACAAAAAAGAGGGAGAATTGGTGAAATTGTTCAATAGAAATAAAAATCACTTTAAAAAAAGTTATTTCTCGCACTGTGACAAATTCTGTTCAAATTTTAGATTTAACATTTAAAATTACATAATTTGAAATAGAGTAAAAACTTAATACCTTGCAAATCTACAAAACTTTCTCACAATATTAAAATATATAATTTTATAATGTATGTAATTCCATTTTTTATTTTACAAATTGTATACAAGTACTTATAAGTTTGAGATCAAAAGGGCATTATATTTACAGACTCTTAATTATTATGTTTCTATACAATAAAGATATAATATTTGTATTATCATATATATAAACTCAAAGTAAAGAAATATTGTAATAAAATTTTTTGAAAACAATGTAGATGTAAACAGCTCTTTATTTTAACTATCTCTGTTGGATGCACACAAAAAAGAAAACAAACTAAAAAATGATTTTATTACTAGTTGATATGTACAAAGAATGTTACTTTTCAACATGATTGCCTTGAATATCCAAGTATAGTCAGGAGGCATATTTTTAAAAGGAAACTAATTGAAATAGCAATCGATTTACAGAGGAACTAATTATATTCTAGAATTAGGAAAAATAAATTGTGATATTGATACTTGATAGGAACTTTTTATGACATAATAAGTTTTGAAAGATCATTTTATTTTATCATAAAGAGACTTATATCACTTTGGAACTAACAATGAAGTTATGTCAGTTAACATGAATTCGTTTAAGCTTCAATACACAAAATTTCTCTCTAGACATACCCGCCAAGTCTCCTGTTTTTTAACGAAGACTTCCGTATTTTACGACTATTTAAAAATAAAAAAATTAGCGATAAATATCCGCTAATAACAAAAATACTTATCTTATTTCTCAACAGATGGCACTGTTGCACTACTGTAGTTCTTACATGGCTGTGCCGACCAAACCAGTATAGTTAGAATACTGCTGTAAGTCGTTTATTCAGTGAATTTTTTTCTCCGATAACGAACTTCGTTATTTACCTGCGGGAATTTGGCAATAACTTTGTTTGTTTGCATTGTATTTTTACCAATCGTCAAAACATAAAAGTATTTCTTTTTTCATAATCATTTATTGTGGGTACCAGTTTGGCAACTAGAAAATGAACTTTATAAAAAAAAACAGTTCAAAAATATAGCAGGTGTTACATCAGGTATCCAATGTATTCCACTTAGCAATGCAGAGTGAGAGAGAAATTATTTTTAAAAATTTGCTCAGAATTTTCTGATGAAAAGTAATTTCCCCTAGTAACTCCCCTATAAACAGATTCTTCATAAAAATTTCCAAAACCAAATCAGGTACTTATGTTCGAAATATGAATTTATGAAAATTATTTTGATGTAGAGTGTTTATATGTTAGTAATTATGAATAATGGTTTAAAAATCTTTTTTAGATTAAGATATATATACCTATTTTTTACTTCGATAAATGTAAGTGCTTATATTATTTCCAATTTTGATTTTCTCTGTTTGACTTACATGATTATGCATGATGTATCAAAACTGTGCATGTAGCCCATGAAAACGTCACAAGTAAAATCTCTGTTATTTTATTTCTGGCAAGTATGTTAAGATGAGCTCTTAAAAAATACCATACCACCCAAGAAGAGCATACAATTAATTAATCTTGAGTAAGAATGACCAAATTCCGCATACAATATTGCGCACAAAGAGAATATAAAACCAAATGAAATAAAACATATATGAATATTAAAAGCAAAAATGACAAATAAAATAGCTTTTAATGGTTTTTAAGAAACCTCATAAAAATGTTATCATTTATGTTTGTTGACAAGCTTACAGATATTTGAAACCAAATGAAGAAAATTTCATAGGCATTAAAGGAAAAAAGCATTTACTTTATCAAAAAGAAGTGGAAAGGAACTTGTGAAATACTCGGTAGTGCAAAGAAAATTAATTCCAAAACAGAAACATAACTTTTGATAATGCTCATCGTAATAGAACAAAATAAAAGAGATGAGCAGAAAACAAATAATAAATATAAAATACTACTGTAACAAGGTTTCAGCAAAATTGTATACAAGCGAGTAAATTTTTCTAATTTAAAGGATATGATACAGTATTTTCCATGATTCGTCAACTTTGGGTACAAGTACGATTGGGGAACCTTTTAGCAAGGTTCCTGAATAAAGTATTCAAGAAAAATAATTCAAATTATTTTTTGTTAAATGGTTTTTTAAACTAGGAAAATCATGAAAATGAGTAAACCTAACAATAGAAAAAGTACAAAAATTTGCATTGCGTAACCAGAAATATTTTTAAAGTAAGGCTGCACACAAGAAGGCTCGATTCTCCTCAATGAAACTAGATATCACACGAAAAGAAATGTTATACTCCACAAGAACAAATTTAAAGATAAGGCTTTCTGCATTCTAATTCTTCATAAATCAATCAATCCTTATCTTTCTCTCTGCTGACCAAAGGGGTGGTCTTCACATCATCTGATCCCCTGCTTTGTAGCATCCACCATGTAAAAAGGGGGCAACCACAAATTGATTGCAGTTTATAAATTTTGTAGTGGGTCAACTTTCATCGATCTAATCAAACCAGCTTGTACATAGCATAACTTAAAAATCTGCAAAAGGTAAAGTGGATATCTTATTATTTTGTTAGTCCCCCCCCCCTCACAGCACTGTCACTTTACCTGACAAAATCTATAAACTAAAGTAAGGCAGTGAAAAAGAATTTTTTCTTTGTATTTTTCAAAAATAAAAAATAACTTTAAATCTTGCTTTAAAATAAATAATACTTATCTTTTTTTTCCTAAATTAAAGAAAAATGACTTATTAAATATTGATTAGTTGATTTAGCCATTCATAGCTTTTCTGATACGACTCTAACTAATTTTTGAGCAGAATCAGTTGTTTAAAAATAGCTTGTTAAATGTTTTCATAATGATTGATAACTCAAAACTTATTGTCACATTTATATCTCAACTATATTATCATTATAATAGAGAAGACACATTATGCTCCCGTGGACAGAATTTTTTAGTATTATGAAAATAAGGACTATAAATGTAACTTTTTGAGGATAAGTGATAGCAAAATAGAAATTTTAGCAAGCTACTATACTAAAGTCAAATAATTGTAATACATATTTTTAAAATAACATATAAAGGCAATAAGTGACAATGAAAGAGTCTCATTTTACATTATAAATTTCAATAAGAAGTAACTGACATATTAAAATAAAAGCAGAACTATTTATATTGTCAGACATTCTAAACAAAAGAAAAATTAACAAAAATATACAAATTAAACCCAAAACATTTTAGGCATTTAGTCAACAACAGAACACAAGTGAGGATATGGTAAATGATAAAAAAAAAAATTTAAAGATCTTGACAAAGAATGAATGATGCATAGGTGCAAATGACGTCAGTAAAAAATGAATGAGTGCAAACGGCGTTAGAAAAATTAAACATACATTTTTCTCTATAAAATTGTGCAAAAGACAACGAGTTTTCAATGAGCCAATACTGTTTCTACTTCCTATTGACTAGATCTTCAGTTCAGCATAGAAGCATATTGGCAGTGCATGCTTGGAATAATAAGCCTGTTTTATATAGTGTTAAGTTTTGTAACTATCAAAACATACAATGATTGATCAAAAGAGCTACACACAGCAAGACCCAGCTTATCTGAGTTCCAATCAAATCCTGAAATTGGTTGGGGTGCTATCACACTGTCTTGGAGTAAATGGGCATCTCCCGTAACACCAATTTTAGACGGTCCTTCTTCATTATAACGCTTAGATGGGTATTCACTACAAAATAAAATTATTGAAAGTCAATAAAAATAGGACACTTGTTTCTTAGGCTTAAGAGAAACACTTATATATAGTACAGCAAGGTTTACATACTTCTCATTAGTATATTTTTAGTATAATTGAAGATCTTAGTAGAATAAGATAGAGAAAAGTTTTGGAAAAAATTGTGATGGATGATGATAGGCTTTATTTTAGAGTTATTTAGCTGTACATCCTTTTAATTAGATAAGTCTTTGAATCACGTAAATCATTTGCTGAAGGTACAAAGTAACAACCTTTGAATATTTTTGAAGTGAAAGAGGGTTCTAAGTGCATTTAGTTGACGGATAACCTTTAAAACTCTGCCTTTTTAACATTAAAATAAAATGGTAAAGAGAGTGAGCACTATGACATAAACAATTTAGATTAGTTTTAGGAGTTTGTAGATTTTGCCAATATGAAGTTCGCAAACAAGAAATAAAAGCAAAATGTAATCTTTATTTCTGATTATCAATGCATAAACTTTAAAGCAAATTTATTCAAATTACCTAAATTGTCATTGAGAAACCTTCATCCACTCAACTCTTCAATTGCAAATCAGTGTAAATTTCAAGTTAATTGACATAAATTATACGTTCAAGGCTAAAGACTAATGTTAATATATGGTGTAAGAAACTATAATATGAAAAAAGCACAGAAAAAAAAAGAAAGTCATTCTGGCTCTTTTCAGGAATTGTGAAACCATTATTTACCACCACTGAAATAAATGGTCATTTAAATGTAAAGCAATTTTATTTATGTATTTTATATTTGCTCGAAGTGGACAGATATTTTTTATTATTATTTAGGGCAATAATTACAGACTTTCTAAAAACTTTACATAAGAAAAAAATCAATGGTTTCAAAATTTACATATTGCTATCTAAGTATTTTACATATTGCTTTTATAAATCTTTGCATAATCTTTTTACATTATCTTTGAACAGTAAGGGAAAGAAGCATTGATACAATCATTATCTATTTCTTCAACTTTAATTGTGATAGCATAGAGCCCATGAGCACCAATATTTTTTTCAGATCATTCCCATGAAAAGCAAACCATCACAAAAAAGCTATTAGTGCCACATAAATGATCAAAACAAATAAAATAGAAATGTATGGTACAAAATTAAAATGAATATAGCATATACCTTAGCCATTAGCATTCTAAGGATTGTTTTTTTTGTTTCTCCTATTAAAATTAAGGTTAACTTTTTTTTAAAAAATTGAACAGACACTACATTGAGAATGCAAATTAAATAACATTTTAAACCTTTTAGATAAGTAGCTATAAAATTTCAAGTAAAGAATTTTAAATGTGTGCTGTATTTAAGTTGCGAGAAACAGCAAAATGCTGCCTAACTGAAAAGAAACATAAAATAAATATAATTACAGAAAAAAAATGAATAAGAAAACTAAGATAATGAATTATAATAAAAGGCAGGTTTTTATAAAAACTGGAACTTACTAATTCCATAAACAAAGAGATCCTGAGCCTCCTGTTGTCATAAATATATCTCTATTCTGGGGTAGATGACGACAAAGCCAAACAGTAGATTTATGAGCCTTTATCAATAAAATGAAAACATTTACTAAAAGAAATTGGAAATGAGCTAAACATTTAAAAGTTGGCATCTAGAACTTTTGTTGAGTTATAAGCATATACATTAGCTTGTTGATGCATATATACTAGTTGCTGAAAATAAGTTTTGAACTTAACTATTTAACTTATATATATTTGGCAACTCAAAAAAGTATAATATTTTCCAAAAAAAGCTGAAGAAATTTTTCAAAAAGGCTGTAATAATTGGGAGCTTATATAACAGTAAAAAGTTATTTCTGCTGGGCCGGAATAGCCTGGTCAGTAGGGCGCTGGGCCCATGTCCAAGAGTTTGTTGGTTCAAATCACGCTGGCCGAAGACTCCCCACATAGTACATGATGACAGATGCACGTTAAATCTGTTGAGTCGCTAAGTCCTCCATGTTCCCATAACAAATCAAAACCTCTGGGGGTACTGGATTGGTGATCGATCGTTCTCTGATTCAGGTCAAAATTACGAACTGTGAATGAATGAATGGATGCATGAATAGGCCCGCCCTATAAACAGGTGTGACGTATGATGTGGCAGAAGTCAAATTCTTGAGATGGCGCCACTGGAAAACAAGAACAATCGCACCTCCAACAGGCATACGAAAGCAAGCAAGCAAGTTACTTCTGCTTATATTTAAATCAAATAATTCAATTGGAATGTTAAATGCAAATTACAAGACCAGTTTCCAAATCATTAAAATTTTCTAATAAACTGAAGTTGCAAGAGGGTAGATTAAGTCAGTCAATTCTTCTAAAATGCCTTTTTATTACTCTGACATAAAAAAGACATAGATTTTCCTAAAGTTGAATTTGTGAAGGTACCGATAAACGGTAGTAAATTCGGCCTGGACAGACCCCTGACTATGGAAATTATTTAGATTTATGTGTGTTAAATAGATATTTTAATGGCATAAAAGTTAAATGCTGTTATTTGTGAATCTGTAAAGTATTAAATTCAAGTACTTATTACACTAAAAGCAATTTAAGATTTCAGAGTTAATAACTGAAAACAAAGATTAAATTGTACAAATGCGTTAATAATAACATTTCAATAGAAGTGTTTAAAACACTAAGTTTACTTTTTTCAGCAATGAAGAATATCCTTTCTTCGTATGGTATGTTCGCATATCAAACAAATGAAATTTTGATTCCAATGTTGTAGCAACTAATTTATTCATACCAATATCTTTGCGATCAAATTCAACACAGCATACCTAAAACAATTTTAATTTTAAAACAATCATAAAAAAACACTGAAAATTAAATTTCTTTAAAAATTAAAGATTTAAATAAAAAATTAAATTCTTGATAATTTTAATGTACAATAAGGATTCGGTTGAATAATAAAGTTGGTAAAATCAGATTGTACAGATATCACTTGTATATCAGTTTGGAACCAATAAGTGGATTAATAAAAGAAGATATTTTCTTAAATGAATAAATTTATTTTGTCCAAAGAAATAGTCCCCCCTCCGCCCTAAGAATTAAAAAGCGATTAAGGGTTAGATAGAACACTGGTAGTATGCACTAGATCAAAAATACCAGTAAGTGCACTGGAAGTTTCCATTTTTGGTAAAGGGGAATTTCTGATCTACTGATTACAATTTAATTTTTATCAAATCACCATAATGATCTGCTTAAAATAAGCATTAAACTAAGTTTTTGAACTCTAACAATTGAATGAATATAATTTTCTACTATTTAAAATTTGCTAAAATAATGTTCATTTGAAGCAGTTCAAATTCAACACAGAATGCCCAAAACAATTTTAATTTTAAAACTATTATAAAAAACACAATAAACTAAATTTGTTTAAAAATTATAGATTTTAATAAACATTCAATGCTTGTTAATTTTTTTTGAAGGAAAATTCCTTTGTACTTAACTAAGAACAATATGGATTTGATTAAATAATTAAGTTAGTAAAATCAGATTGTTCATACGTCTCTTGTATATCAGTTTGGAACCAATCAGTGGATATATAAATAAAGATATATATGTATATAGATATTTTAAATAACTTATTTACTCCAAAGAAATAGCCCCCCCCCCCCAAAAAATTAAAAANCCCCCCCCCAAAGAATTAAAAAGTGATTAAAGATTAGATAAAACACCAGTAGTATGCACCAAATCAAAAACACCAGTAAGTGTGCTATAAGTTCCCATTTTTGGTAATGGGGAATTTTTGATCTACTGAATAAAATTTCATCCAGTTATAAAATTTAATAAATAGAATAAAATTTCATACATAGATTTAAATTAAACAGAATATTTAAACAAAAATTTTAAATAAAAAAAGAAAGATTAAAACTATAACAATGACTAAAATTATTTAACTAAGTACTAATATCATTGCAACCAGACAATAGTAACAAGTGAAATTGTTTACCCCATTTTTCAAATTGTACTCCCAACGAAGGCACATATTTTTTAAATCAAAAAATTTTATATCTCCATTATCATACCCAGCACAAATAACTCTTTCTTCATTATTGTAAGCATTTCCTAAACAAATAAAACACAACAAATAGCAAAATAAATATATCTGTTAAAATGAAATTGAGATATAGATCAAAATTTAATTTCCACAAATATAAAAATAGCAATTACAAATAAACATAAGTTCATCTTAATTATTACAGAATAACATAGTATTTCTAACATTTCTCTTGAAACACTAAATATAATCAGTTAAAGCAAGAATAATTTTAAACATTTTATATTTTCTTTAATGATTGAGAAAAGTATAAGTTCATTTTTGCTCACTTAGGGTTAGTATAAGTTCATTTTTGCTCACTGAGGGTTAGAATATGTTCATTTTTGCTCACTAAGGGTTTGGCAGTAGTGAGAAACTGCTTTAATTTAAAGTAAAATTAAAGCTTCTTTCCTATTAATTTGAGAAAGTAAAATATCAATATGGGTTTTGTACACCGGGTTCCTGATTAAGTTTTTTATAATATTAAGAACATATATTCAATAGCTTAATTACAAATCCATAGAAAACATTTTTCATCTCTCAAATTTCAGACGGTACATTGGTCTGAGACCATTAAATATGACTCGGACAACCATAAAATAGGTATTACTGGCCCTCAGATGTGTATGATCAAAATAAATAAATGATATGGTGCTTTGGTTTTTTTTCTTTTTTTTTCTTCTTGCTTTGGTCTATGTTTTTATCTTAAAATAGCATGTTTCATGCACGTTCTCTGAAATGTAACTTATCATTTTAATACACTACAGAAAAATGGACCTACAAAAAAGTGTACACTAGTAGCATCTTATAGTTACTGGTACTTTGGACCAATAGTTAAACTTTCTTAATTTCTACTCATGCTTTTGGTTGTATAAATATAAAATATATCAATTTACCAAATGCAACAGTCCAGCAATCTCTTTTGTCATGACCTGCCTCTGGTTCCATTGTTGCTACAGGTAAATCTTTTTGACGTGGATCCCAAACTTTAACACTGCCTTAAGATAAAATAATTTTTCTTAGCACATAATTGTATATTTTGTGTATAGGTAAGCTTATTTATTATGAGCCTCAATATAACAAGATGTCTTGTTTAATGAGAAATTTTTAACAGATGGGTGGTTATTATCTTACCATCTCTACTACATGTGACAATTTCTGGAGCTCCAGCACCAATATTTAAGCCTCCAACACCATCAATTGCATTTATTATCTGTGAATGAGCTTTTACGGAATAAATAGGAACTTCACTCTTATCCAGGTCCCTGAAATAGACATAAACTGTCTAACTTTAAAGGATGTACATGGAAATATAACACAAGTTTATATTAAGCAAAATATCATAGAAAAACATGTTCCCGTAAAATTTATAAGTACAATTATAAATAAATAATTAAGGTTTGAAAAAGTTTAAAATGATGAGCATCTTCTTTTGGATTTTGAAAATTTTTTTAAGAAATAATTGAATATTTTGACAAATTTCTTAACTTTATAAAATCAATAAGCTAATTTAACTAATATGTATGAGGGTATTTATATAAAAGCTAACAAGACACACATAAAAATAAAATATGATACATTGAGATGTCTATCCAGTTTCAGATCAATACACTATGAAGTACATCAGGAGAAAAAACTTCAGTTATCAAGATAGCTCACTTGAAAACAAACACCAAGTGTTTCCATATTACTTAATTAAAATGCATTAAGATAAAGCAAAAATCCACAACTATGTTAAAAATATTTTCTTTCTTAGATATCTAAATGACTAATGAGAAATAATTAAAATACATTATAATATTTTTCATTATAATATGCCGTTAACATAATGCTCAAATATCTATATCATTTTTAGATATCTCAGTATAGACTGAAAAAATATTTTTTCTTTTAAAATTTTTTTCAAAAACTTCAAAAGTTTTTTTAACTACAGTAGACTCTTGATTAACCAAGAGAGGAATAAAAAAAAAGGATTATCTGAGAGGAATAAAAAAAAGTGAAATGCAGATTGCTGCCGCTGAAACATGCGGAAAGATCTCATTTTCCTTAACTTTTCCTTCCTACTGCATTGAACTCATCTAGCTGTATTTGAATACAGATGATCAGTTTTGCTCCCGGAATGTTCTTGTGGCGGGGCAATGCGAGATATGACTCAGCGTTGTACAGATTAAAATTTTTTCACATTTTACATTTCGTTTATAGTGTTAACATGCTGAAAAGGAAAAGAGTTGTTCTTAGTATAAATCAAATGCAGGAAATAAATAAAAAACCAGAAAATGGACAAACAGTTATATTATAATTTCGTGAATATGAGACAAGTGACCAAATTCAGGAAAGACATGAATTTTATTGCATCATAATTATACGTTTTGAATAATTTTTTCATCAAAATTTGCATAAATTGAATAATCCGATATTTTTGCTTATCTGGACTGAAGCATTTCCTGATGATCTTGGTTTATCAAGAGTCTACGTTGTTATTTAAAAATTTATTTAACTAACCAGATTTGTAAATTGCCTTCAAAATCTCCAGTACCTAAATGTCGCTGATGAAGACCAGATGCCCCGAAGGTCCCACACTTAAACCCTTTTGGTTTAGTAATCTGAAAGTAAAGTGAGTTTAAACAAAACAATATTACAGGAAATGCCATCAATTAGATCAAAGCAAATAGTAAATAAAATTATTATTATTTTTTTTTTTTTGAAGATGTTCAGATTTGTTATTGATATCTTTTATTAAATATAATAATTAATTAATATAATAAGTTGTAATAATTTAATATAATACATAATATAATAATTTAAAAATTTATATAATAGGAAATGGATAGGTTAGACCAGGTTCTAAGAGTTTTGTTTGTTTTCTCCATTAACATGTTGCACAACCAATACTACAAATCCTTATGAAAGAATCACACAGCACTGTTATAAGTGTGAAATTTTTATTTTAACAAGTTGTATCTTAGCGCATTTTTTGAACTTTGCCTATTAAAATACGTTTCCATAAGCATACAGCAAAAAATTTAAATTATTTTACAGGGGTAGATCTTCAATTTAATAATTAATTATACCTTTTTATTATATATCATATGGAGAAAAATTATTGTGATCTTATGTGAAACCCAAAACATGTGATACGTTGGTCCACTAATGGAACATATAATTAATTCAGAGTATTTTAGTTTATAGAGTTATACAATTACATACTCTTAATAATAATAATTTAAATTTATTTATATACATATACTTGGAACCAGAAAAAAGAATCTCAGTATTCTTTTTTTAAAATTTCATTTATACAAGTCTGAATGACAAAAGGAATGAAGAATGACAAAATTTTAACAAAATAAAAACTAATAAATATTTTATAAAAAGTATTTAACAAAATGTTTTAAATCTTATCTACAAGTATCTATTTTATTTAAAAAAGACTTACAAAGCTAGTTTTGTTTACTTTAAAAAATAAAATTTGTTAGAAATATTGCATTATAACTTAAAAAAAAAAAATAGAGAAGTTTTGGAATAAAATTTAAGATTTGGGTTTGAAAGATAACTCAGTAAAGAGACTATTTAGTGCCTACTCTCTTTAAAATTAGAAGAAATTTTTTTAAATTTTTATTTAAAAAAAACTTAAATTTAATCGAACTTAATTCTTCTTAAGGAAATATGGTAAGAGATCAAAATTTCTACAGGCGTAAGATTTTGAGCTTGTATCTATATGTTTTTGTGTCTGTATGTTCTTCAGAGATTGTTTCTTACTGTTCTATAAATCAGTAATCCCCAAACTTTTAGCCTCGTGGGCTGTTCAATGAAGAATACACCACAGTAAATAAAACAGGAATAATTTAATGTTCCTTAGGCAGTCCGGTATCATTACATCCAGGGCTCAGTACCAGTCAGGGGTTAGAAACCACTGTAATAAATAATTATATTTGTGTGATGCAATGTCAATTTTTTTTTTCATGTTTAACAAATGTTGATAAATAATTGTGCATGAAGATGATATAATCCTAATTTTCTTTAAACCTCACCAGAAAATATCAAGCTTTTCATTGCATAACTGTTTGCATAGCAAACCTCTACACATTTAAAAATATGTTTTCAAGTTTAAAATCTATTTGGTGCCTTGGAGGTTGTAATTGGCGGAATAGATAGCAAAACAGAAATATTCCTAACACAAGATATTCTCGGGATACAAAATTGATAAATGTCTCATTAAACTTCATAACACGCTTACTAAAGGGGAGATTTCCGTATCATGATCTGTGGCATAATAATCGCCAAGTCTTAGCTATTTCTGGGCATTGGACCGCGAGAAACTAAAACAAACATCACAGACTGGGACCAACTGATCAGAGATTTCCGTATCGCGATCTGCGGTAGAATATTTGGCAAGTTTTGGTAACTTCAGGACAGTTGCCCGTAAGAAATTTAAAAAACATCACTTAAAGGGACCAACTTGAAATGTATAACTCGTAGCCACCCCTGGGCAAACATCTACATGATTTTTTATAATTTGTAAGCTTAAATGTATTTGCACATTGGCGACTGTAGTTGCGGCAACAGATCACGATACGGAAATATCTCCTCTCGTAGCCACCCCTGGCAAATATCTACATGCTTTTTGTTTTTTTTTAATTTGCAAGTTTAAAATTTGTTTGGCACCTTGGCAAATGTGGTTGGCGAGACAGGTAAAGATACAGAAATATCCCCTAAAGGTAAATATGGAAACGCTTTATGTTTCAACTTACATCGCTAACTAACTGAACTTTACCGCTGGAAATTTCATATATTTGCAATGAACCCGTCCCATTAGGATGTGTACCAAGAGCAATGAATTTCGTACTAATTGGTATCCACTTAGTATCAAATATTGTATGATTCACAGGAACATTGGCATGTAAAATTATCTGAGGTTTATCCATAGTATACGGTGTAAAAAGTGAAACAAAAACTTAAAAATAAAACAACGCAAAAATTTCAATTTTCGCAGTGTTTATTTACTTAATGATCTCAGTCACCGTTAAGGAATCAAACTTGTACACAACAGTAATTTTAAGCATCTTTATTTTATTTTGAAATATTAATGTAAAATATTATTAAGAATTAATTATTTTAATTCAAATGCATCAATTCAATTTTAGATTTCATTAATCATAATTGCGATATCAAATATTATAATAACTTAGCTTTTGGCAATGCTGATTAAGTTACGTTATATAACTTCAACTTTGCCTGGCGCCATTACGTAAGTTAATGTTTATATTTACATTTTTCTTTTTAAACATGAGATTTTATATATTGAATTGCGCTTATATGTCTCGTTAAAGACGATAGTATTGGTGTTTAATATCTGCATTTTATTATTTTTGATGGTGATAATTTTACCTGTTATAATTTCGTCTTTATAATTGCCAACATTCAATAATGGCTCTTCTAGATTATGAAAATCAAATGTATCTTGAATCATTTCACGATGATGCTTTAGTAGTTCTCGCTAAAGGCATTGGGGCAGAAAGATTAGCTGTTAATTTGATAAAAACTTACAATGACCCAGGAAATTTGGTGCTGGTTATCGGTTCAACTACTGTTGATGAGGAGTTTATAATTGAAAAACTCAAGAGTTTAGGAGAGACTTTGCTTCCAAAAGTTATAACTTCCGATGTGGGCACAAAAGACCGTCGAAACGTTTACATGGAAGGAGGAGTGCTATTTGTATCATCTCGTATCCTTGTTGTAGATATGCTTGTTGATCGTGTACCAATCGATCTTATTACCGGCATCATAGTGCTTCGCGCTCATAAAATTCTGGAGTCTTGTCAAGAAGCCTTTATAGTTCGACTTTATCGTATGAAAAATAACAAAGGATTTATTAAAGCAATATCTTCGAACCCATCTGCTTTTACTCGTGGGTTTGCCCAAGTGCAGCGCGTCATGAGAAATCTATTTGTAAAACATCTTTTTATATGGCCACGATTTCATGCTGTTGTAGCAAGCAGTCTCGAAAGAGCTAAACCAGATGTTATGGAGATGCACGTTCCCATGACCATGGCCATGACTTCCATTCAAATTTCTTTATTAGATTTGATGAATGTTTGCGTTAAAGAACTGAAGCATATTAACCCATCTTTGGACACAGATGAGTTAACAGTTGAAAATGCCATTGCTAAATCATTTGATAAAATCATAAAGTATCAGCTTGATCCAATTTGGCATCAACTAAATGCAAAGACTAAGAGGTTGATCGCTGACTTAAAATTTTTACGTTCTGTTTTACTGTCAGTTACGCAGCAAGATTGTGTGACGTTTTATAACATGCTCAAGATGATTAAGGAGAACATTACTGTTGGAACACAAATGTCTGATTGGTTGTTCCTAGATGCCTCGGATAGTTTGTTCCTGCATGCGAAAGAAAGGGTGTTTGGATCTAGTAAGAAAAAAGATTCTTCAAAAACTGAAACTCTCAATTTCGAAGAGAATGCTAAATGGAAACCGTTGTGCGAAGTTTTGAATGAAATAAGTAATGAATGCACTGATGAGGAAAAACAAATGGTTATCGTAATAGTTAATGATGATTACGTTTCTAAACAACTGATTGATGTTTTAACTATTGGAGGAGAGGAATATTTATACAACAGATTTCAAAGACTATTTCCTAAAATTTGTGCGGAAATGAAATCAAATCGTAAAACTCGTAAGAGAAAACTGAAAGATGACGAACAAACTTTGACTCAGATGATAGGTGAGAAAGATGAGGATGAAGAACAAGAAATTGCTCTGTCAATTAGTGAATTGGAAAAAAAGTTTCCAAAGTTGTTTATAGAGTTTTATTCAATTAAACATTCAGTTAGTAATCATTTTCGTTTTCAAACTTTGTGCGATCTTCATCATCCTAAGTACATGGTTTTCTACGACGGTGACATGGAGCTTATTCGCAGGATCGAACTTTATCAAGCTTTGAATCCTAAAACGAGAATCAAAGTCTATTTTCTAATCTATTCTGGTTCTTCGGAGGAGCAAAGCTTCTTGACTTCTTTGAGACGAGAGAAAGAAGCATTTGAGTACCTGATAAGAGAAAAAGCATCTTTAGTGTTGCCGGAAGGTATTGATGGTAAATCAAATGACCATCCAGATTTAGTCAGAGGTTCATCTTTAGCCAATGAAACCGTCAATTCTCGAAAAGCTGGCGGACAAATTAGGAAACTGGAAGATCAGAAAGTGATTGTTGACATGCGAGAGTTCAGAAGTGAATTACCGTCCTTAATACATAGGAGAGGTATTGATGTTGTACCTGTGACTTTAGAAGTCGGTGATTATGTATTAACTCCAGATATGGTCGTTGAAAGAAAGAGCGTCAGTGACTTGATTGGCTCTCTCAATAGTGGCAGGCTGTACACACAAGCACAGTCAATGTGTCTGCTGTATAAAAAACCGATCCTGCTCATAGAGTTTGATCAGAATAAGGCATTTTCAATGCAGGGAAAATATTACTTTACCAGTTCTGCCTCTTCTCAAAATGTGATTTCAAAATTGATTTTGCTTACTTGTCACTTTCCTCAACTGCGTATTTTGTGGTGTTCTTCACCATACGCAACTTCGGAGATGTTCGAACTCTTAAAAGTAAAGAGAGAACAACCTGATGAGGAAAAAGCTGCTCTGATGAGAGTGGAAGAGAACGCTAGTGAGCTATCCATTTCGAAGTTTAATCCGATCGGCTACGACTTTATTTCTAAATTGCCCGGTATTAATTCTAAGAATATTTGGCCTATTTTGAATAATGTTTCCAGCATAGCTGATTTAGTTAATTATTCGGAAGAGGATTTTAATAAAAAGTTGGGAAATTCTGTTAATGCAAAAACTCTGTGGAAAAGTATTAATGAGGAAATGGTATCAGATGTTGGAGTTTCTACTAGTAAATTTAAAAAGACTTGGAAATCAAGGAAAACATGATGCACTCATGTTGTAAGCTGAATGCATTTGCAAACTTTTTTTCTAGTGATAATGTGTTATACAAACATCTACAAATTTTTAAACTTGTTAAATATTTATTATGTTATTTTTGTTCAGTTTGATCAGTATATTTTGTCACGAGTAGAACACTTAATTGAAAGATTTTTTAATCAATTGGTAAAATAAAAGGATTTAGTTATACATAATTTCTAAAATATATTTTGTACAGTTGTATTTTAAAGTTGTTTTTTCTGTGAATAAAAGGAATTTGTATTACGGTTAGTTTATAAAATTATTTGAATCAATTTTGGTTTCTGTGTTTTGAAACTATAATTAATAATGAATGTGCCATCTTGAATTATAATCCATTTCTTTAACAAATCGATTAATAATAAGTTAATTTCAAATTTTTATTTTTCCTCGTGTGATTGTGTGTATATATATTGTTTTAAGTAGAGAGGTATCAAATATTCAACCATTATTTGGTATTTAGCCTTTTTGCGGAATATTTGTTTAACTGAATGTTCTGTCACATATTCGGCAAAGTATTTTTTGACAAAGTTACATTTTTGAAATTTGAATAGATTTAATAAAGAATAATCTAAAATTTTTTTTGACAATACATTGTTAGAAATAGTTTTTAGATATATTTGTTAAGTTCTAAAATTAATGTGCTTGCTCAGGACTTGCAAACTTATGTTCTGGAAGACAAATGTAAAACTGAAATAGCATTGAAACTACTTTGTACTGAACCACAAGTTTTGTACTGCTGTTTTTTTTCTCCTTAATTGTATTCCGGTAAGTAAATTTCGTCATTTTTTTGGACACTTTTTGTTTTAACATAGTGTTTTTAAAAGGTGCTTATTTTCGATATTCGTTTTTTAAACGCTCTTAAAGGTGCTTTTTTCATTGAATGTTTTTAAAAAGTGCTTAATTTTCCCTTTTCGAGAATTAGATATATTCTTATTTACCATGTCGATTTTCACCACACATTCACATTGTTCTATTAAACGTTTTTACAATTCATTCAACAATCTATTTCGGCTTACTGTCGGCCCATAGCCATATGAAAGCGCCGAACATTTACATGTTTGATGAAATGCTTGCGAGTTCGCATGTGGGTCTATTGAGCTGAGTTCAGTGAGATTATTGTGCTCTCATGTGCAACTCGTTACATTTTGCAAGATATTCTCAATTTCAGGCTTCATTTTCTACCCTCTCAAACCGAAAAATCTCTTTATCATTTTAGAATGGCTAATATAATCAAGAAAAGAGTTCTTTGTCAGAAACTAGCTATTTTATCATGATCATGTAAAGTCTTAGAAAATTATTTTGCATTTTGTTAATGTATATAGTGCTTAAAAATATTTTTTAAATGCTTGAAATGTACTTAAGCGGTGCTTATTTTTTATTGAAAGATTTGGCTACCCTGTTTAAGAATTGAGAATGATTGTTTTTTTTTTTTTTTTCTGTTTTTATTAAAGCAGCAGAGTGTTTCTGGTAGTCTTTATTCTTTTATTGTCATTTTTTCCTGTATGATATATTTAGAAAACTAGTAACATTGAAAGCTGTGATTTTCAATGTTTTAATTTAGAACAAAGTACAATTATTATTTTTTTCTGTTTCTCTTTTGCTTTTTTTTATTACTTTTCTTTTTATTGCTGTTTTTAAAAGTTTTCATTGTGTTAAATTTTTTGAAATGCTCTTCAATAAATTATTTCAACTTTACTTGTTCTTAAATTTCTTTTAAAAGCATAATTTCAGTATTGTTTCTAAATAAAATTAAAAAAACTTTATATGTGAAGAAGATAGGAAATGCTAAATAAACTGTATATAACTTATTAAAGTAGTTTTTGAAAGGATAAATTGATATTTACATCTACCTCATTGCTTATAATGCATTGATATTTCACGATCAATGAATGTCCAATTTTATTGCAAGTGTATAAGTTGATGATTTTCGTAAAATTCGGGGATTTTAGAAGTAGGCTTATACACTGGCATATAGAGTATTTATTTATCTTCAGTAATTTTTGTGAACAACTATAATTTTTTTTTTTTTTTTTTTTTTTGTAATTAGAAGTGCTGGTGTAGATAATAACAATATTTAGTTTTTATATAGATGCAACATGCTTTTTCTAAAAGGTAAAGTAAAAATCAAAATTTTCGGGGCTAAAGTATTAGGAATATGTGCTTATCCTGATATTCTAACATATTAGTGATTTGATATATTCTATAAGTATTTTTTTCTTCATAAAATTACATTTATTTACAGCCTCCTAATGTGTAAATGCTCTTCTTATAACTCATTCAGAAATGAAATAAAAAGTGTGCTACTAAAGATATTGTTGCTGAGATGTTTTTAGAAGTGTGCATTGAAGTTTAATAGATTGCTGTTCTAACTACATTGTAAACCCTATCTGTTATAGGCTTGTATAGGAAAAGAAAGCTTTTTATAAATGTATTTAGTTAGTTATTTATATTTGCATTTTTTATGTACTGTTCAACTAACTAAACATTTATTTTTCAGTTAATAGACATCTAGATATAGTGTGTTTGAACAATGTCTCATGAAAATGCTATTCATTGGTTTAGAAAATGTCTAAGAATTCATGATAACCCGGCTCTTCTTGAAGCAATTAAAAATAGTAAACACTTTTGGCCAATTTTTATATTAGATCCATGGTTTGTAAAGAACATGAAATGTGGACCTAATCGATGGAGATTCCTTGCTCAATCTTTGCAAGACCTTGATGATTCATTGCGCAAATTCAATTCTAGGTATGTTTTTATATGGCAACTAAATTGAATTAGTATCTAGTTAAATAAATATTAATATTGCAATAGTTAATCAAGAGTTGCAAATCACCATTTGCAATTAATAATACTAGAACTTTATTTAATAATATATATATTTGAAGTTTTATTGTTGGAAAATATATGAGAACATAAGTTTTGCTAAAATTTTTAAAGTGAATAGTTTTTAATATTGGTGAGGAAATTTTTTTAAACCTCCTCACATTGAGCCACTTAGTGATATTGAATTGAAGTTTCATTCCTACCTTTTCCATTGAATAACTTGGGGAAACTGACTTTTTTGATGCAGGAAAGCACACATCTACAAGCTTTGAAAAAGCAGAGGTTAACACTAAGAGACTTAAACTGGTTTTAGGTGGTAAACACAAAATAACAAACAAAAAAAAGCGAGTACATTTAGTTATAACCAGAGGTTTTGTTGAGTAGAATCTGGATTTCTCAATTATTTTTTAGAAAAAAAAAACGAGGATATTTCTTTTGAAGATATTTTATTTCATTTTTAAAGCATAACAAACTCCTAACCTCGAAAAAAATCTATATATATTAAAAACCGGTATAGTGCGGCTTTCGGAAGAACTCCTTCGGGCATCAGCTTCACGTCGTGGCGGTTACCATGGTTACGAGGGAAAGTCACTTCAAATAGGGGTGTGGGGTGAATAGTTTTGTTGTGATCTTTGCATTGGTCAGCGTGAGTAAACCAATCGACCCCTTCATTTCTCCATTTCACCCCCATTAGAAATGTGCTCTCGCTTGTTACCATAGCAGCAGATAGCCCCAGATTTTTCATCTGGAGGAGTTCTTCTCAAAGCCGCACTATACAGCACATTTATTATCAGTGCTTTAGTTGTGAGAGTGGATGCATAGTTTCACCTATATTCTAACAATATTTGTTGGGTTTTTAAAGAGTTTGGAAAAGTAATAAGGTGAGCCCTGCTAAATTTTTTTCTCCCCTTTTACACAATTCATGATAAAATTGATTTACAATTCTAATTTTTATCAAACAATCCAATTGTCATAACACTTTTAGCAACCAACAAATCTGATTGGTTTTTAACTTCAATATAAACACTATGAAACTAAATTTTATGTTTTACCAACTCCAACATTCAACTCTCTTCATTTTTCATACATTTTCATGTTTTGTTTGCTTAATTTCATATTTATTGTAATGCTTTTACTTGTTAAAAAAAAATCATTTTTTAACATTAAGGAAATCCCATTTTACGTTAAGGAAAAAAGAAAAAAAACAAATCTAATTTATTTTGGCGCTCCTCACACTACTGTATTAAGATATTTTGCTTTGATGATATTGATAAAATATCAGAAAGCAATTTTTGCATTTATAACCATTTAAGTTTAGAAAGAGATCATATCTTTAATCGGTTAATAAGTTTTTATTTAAAGTTACATCATTTATTATTTTTTTTACTCATTTATTTTTTTCTTTTAAACTATTTTTTATTTTTTTACGAGAAGATCTTTTTCATTTGTCTACATAAATACATGCGAATACTGCATTTGATTTATTTCTTCATTTTCATTTTAAGCAATTTTTGTAATGAGATTGTTGTTACTTCAATATTAATTTTTTAGGCTGTTTGTGATTCGGGGTAAACCTATGGAAGTTTTTCCACAAATTGTCAGGAAATGGAAAATAAAGCTCCTCACATTTGAAAGTGACACGGAACCTTATGCTAAAGTGAGAGATGAAGAAATACATACCTTAATGAAGATACTGAAGGTGGAAGTCTGCACATTTTCTACAAATACCATTTATAATCCAGAAAAGTAATTGTATGCCATAAATTCACTTTTNAGAGGTATTGATGTTGTACCTGTGACTTTAGAAGTCGGTGATTATGTATTAACTCCAGATATGGTCGTTGAAAGAAAGAGCGTCAGTGACTTGATTGGCTCTCTCAATAGTGGCAGGCTGTACACACAAGCACAGTCAATGTGTCTGCTGTATAAAAAACCGATCCTGCTCATAGAGTTTGATCAGAATAAGGCATTTTCAATGCAGGGAAAATATTACTTTACCAGTTCTGCCTCTTCTCAAAATGTGATTTCAAAATTGATTTTGCTTACTTGTCACTTTCCTCAACTGCGTATTTTGTGGTGTTCTTCACCATACGCAACTTCGGAGATGTTCGAACTCTTAAAAGTAAAGAGAGAACAACCTGATGAGGAAAAAGCTGCTCTGATGAGAGTGGAAGAGAACGCTAGTGAGCTATCCATTTCGAAGTTTAATCCGATCGGCTACGACTTTATTTCTAAATTGCCCGGTATTAATTCTAAGAATATTTGGCCTATTTTGAATAATGTTTCCAGCATAGCTGATTTAGTTAATTATTCGGAAGAGGATTTTAATAAAAAGTTGGGAAATTCTGTTAATGCAAAAACTCTGTGGAAAAGTATTAATGAGGAAATGGTATCAGATGTTGGAGTTTCTACTAGTAAATTTAAAAAGACTTGGAAATCAAGGAAAACATGATACACTCATGTTGTAAGCTGAATGCATTTACAAACTTTTCTTCTAGTGATAATGTGTTATACAAACATCTACAAATTTTTAAACTTGTTAAATATTTATTATGTTATTTTTGTTCAGTTTGATCAGTATATTTTGTCACGAGTAGAACACTTAATTGAAAGATTTTTTGATTGATTGGTAAAATGAAAGGATTTAGCTATACATAATTTCTAAAATATATTTTGTACATTTGTATTTTAAAGTTGTTTTTTCTATGTATAAATGGAATTTGTATTACTGTTAGTTTATAAAATTATTTGAATCAATTTTGCTTTCTGTGTTTTTTACTAAAAAATCACTGTTTATATATTTGGACTCTCAAAATTTATTCTCTGTAGAACTTGTAGTATATTTACAAACGTGAGCGAGTGGGTTCATGTGTGACCGTGACGTCTAATAGTGCAAATATGAAATTGAAACTATAATTAATAATGAATATGCTATCCTAAATTACAATCCATTTTTTTCACAAATTGATTAATAATAAGTTAATTTCACATTTTTATTTTTCTTGGTGTGATTATGAATATATTATTGTTTTAAGGAGATATACCAAATATTCATCCACTATTTGGTTTTTAGCCTTTTTGCAGAATATTCGGTTAACTGAATGTTAAGTCACATATTCGGCAAAGTATTTTTTGACAAAGTTTTTTTGTTTTGAAATTTGAATAGATTTAATAAATAATAATCTAAAATCTTATTCTTAACTAAGCATCATTAGAAGTAGTGTTTAGACATATTTGTTAATTTCTAAAATTTATGTGCTTGTTTACGTCTTGCAAACTTATGTTCTGGGAGACAAATGTAAAACCGAAATAGCATTAAAACTACTTGGTACTGAACCACCAGTTTTTGTACTACTGTTTTTTTTTTTTTCTCTTCTTAAATTGTATTCAGGTTAGTCAATTTTGTCATTTTTTTCAACACTTTTTTTTTTAAGAATTAATTATTGTTTTTCTTCCTATTTTTATTAAAGTGGAGTGTTTCTGATAGTCTTTATTCTTTAATTGTGACTTTTTCCTGTACGGTATATATCGAAAACCGGTCTGGGATTTTCAATGCTTAAGTTTTGTTTTTAGAACTAAGTAGAATTTTTTTTTTCCGTTTCTCTTTTGCCTTTTTTTATAAACTTTTCTTTTTATTGCTATTTTTATTAGGACACAGTATTTTTTACAAATCATTTCTAACAAACTTTATCGTTACTTTTTTCTAGAAATACTGCAATGTGGAAAAAGTTAAATTGAGATTCTCAGTGTTAAATGTTTCTTTGTTTGATTGAGAATGATCTTTGTTTTTGTCTCTTTCTAGCTTTTTATTTTTAAAAATCTTTGTTTTTATTTTTTGCGGCAGTTTTTAAGAGCATTTTCTTGAATAAATAATGTTTAAAAAATCATGAATTAAACAGAATTTTCTCAAGTTGAAAGTATTCTACATTCTTCTCTCATCTGCACTGCCTCTATAGATGTGATGCGCCTAATAGTAATTGTATTTCGGGTGTTTTCCTGTTTTTTCCTATTATTCCAGGTCTAGAAATTAGGAGCAGGGCATGTAATTTTTCCGCTTATCTTAAGGCTATTGATTAATGGACTTCCGCTAATCAAAACTTTTAATTCAACGATATTTTCACCAAGTTTCGCAACTTAAAATTTAAATTGTGAAACCTTCTACAAATCATGATAACGAGACGTTTTCATATATGTGATTCTTCTGACATTTTGATTCTTTTGGTTTGTCTGATTTTCGTCGTTTTTAATATTTGAAACTATACTGGAATCTGCTAATATCGCAATTTCAGTATCAAGCATAGATTTTCATAATTACCTGATTTAAAAGATACACATTACAATTTAAAATTCATACATTGCGATTCGTTTTCATGTGATTTGATTCTATATCCCAATTCGTATTTAGAAGTTTTTAGAATCATTATCATGTTCTGTATTTACGAATTTTTAAAATCCAAAACTGCGATTTATATTCATACGTGATTTAAAAGTTATACATTCCAATTCATATTTACGTAATCTAAAAATCCAATATCATGATTCATATTCATGTGAATTCTTGTAAGAAACTACTATCAAAATTTTCGGTGCTCAAGTATTGGGAACATGCACTTATCCTAAAATTTTATCATATTAGTGATTTGATATATTCTATTAGTATTTTTTTTCTTCATAAAATGACATTTATTTGCAGCTTCTAATGTGTAAAAATTTTGAACTTTGTTTTGAAGATTAGTATTTAATCAACATTCAATCCTGTAGTTACACCACAGACAAAAATATTTAAATCTTACATAGATTTTCAAATGCTCTTCCTATAATCCCCATTGTATTGTAAACCCTATCTGTTATAAGCTTGTATCGGAAAAGAAAACTTTTTATAAATGTATTTAGTTAGTTATTATTTATATTTGCATTTTTTACATACGATTCTACTAATTAAACATTTATTTTTCAGTTACTAGACATCTAGATATAGTGCGTTTGAACAATGTCTCATGAAAATGCTATTCATTGGTTTAGAAAATGTCTGAGAATTCATGATAACCCGGCTCTTCTTGAGGCAATAAAAAATAGTAAACACTTTTGGCCAATTTTTATATTAGATCCATGGTTTGTAAAGAACATGAAATGTGGACCTAATCGATGGAGATTCCTTGCTCAATCTTTGCAAGACCTTGATGACTCATTGCGCAAATTTAATTCTAGGTATGTTTTTATATAGCATTTAAATTAAGTTAGTTTCTAGTTAAATAAATATTAATATTGCAATAGTTAATCAAGAGTTGCAAATCCTCACTAGCAATTGATATTACTACAACTTTTTCTATAATGTGTATATATATATGATGACCATTGATTAAGTCACTCAAAATCAATAACGACCGTGCTTATCCTTTAATAATTAACAAAACTTTCACATAAAATTATGAGTCACACAGACTCCTTCTCGAACCACACAGGTTAGTTTAACACTTAAACTTCTTGAAACACGAGTCACACAGACTTTCAACAACTACTCTTCCTTCCCATCGAAAAAGTTCTCACAGTTTTATTAAGGAGAGCGACATCTATCGGTCTTTACTCACACAGAGTTTGTTTCGTCTCGTTTGTCACATGTGTATGTATGTATATTCAAAGTTTTATTACTAGAAAATTTATAAGAACAGAAATTTTAGTAAAATTTTAAAGTGAATAGTTTCTATTATTAGTGAAGAAATTTTTTATCTCCTGACATTGAGCTACTTCGTGAAATTGAAGTGGCAGCTCCCTATTACCTTTTTCATTGAATAACTTTGGGTAACTGGCTTTTCTGATACAGGAAAGTATGCATCTATAAGCTTTGAAAAATCAGAGGCTAACACTCAGAGAGTTAAACTGGTTTTAGGTAGGTAGTGAGCACAAAATAAAAAACGAAAAAATAGAGCACATTTAGTTATAACCAGTGGTATTGTATGGATTTCTCAATTATTTTTTAGAAAAGAACAAGGATATTTTATATAATTTTTTTAAAGGTATTTTGTTGCAATTTTATTTTCATTTTTAAAGCATAACAAACTCATAACATCAAAAAAGAAAAGGTAAAAAACTGGTACAGCACATTTATTATCAGTGCTTTAGTTGAGGGAGAGGATGCATAGTTTTGCCTATATTCTAACAATATTTGTTAGGTTTTTAAAGTGGTTGGAAAAGTAATAAGGTGGGCCCTGTGAAATTTTTTTCACATTTTATGTTAAAATTGATTTACGATTCTAATTTTTATCAAACAACCCAATTGTCATGACACTTTTAGCAATCAACAAATCAGATTAGTTTTTAACTTCAATGTAAATGCTAGGAAATTAAATTTTATTTTTTACCAACTCCAATGTTTAACTCTCTTCATTTTTCATACATTTTTATGTTTTGTTTGTTTAATTTCATATTTATTGTGATGCTTTTACTCGTTTAAAAAAAAAATCATTTTTTAACATTAAGGTAATCTAATTTTACATTAAGGGGGGAAAAAAATCTTATTATTATTATTATTTTTTTTTTTTGTGCTCCTCACACTATTGTAATATGATATTTTGCTTTGATGATATTGATAAAATTTTTGGAATTGGAAACCAATTTTTGCATTTCTAACCATTTAAGTTTAGAATGAGGTTATATCTTTTATAGGTTAATAAGTTTTTTATCGAAGTTATATCGTTGATTATTTTTTTTTTACTGATTTATTTTTTAATTTATTTCTTCTTTTAAACTATTTTTCTTTTTATTTACGAAAAAGTCTTTTCTATTTGTCTATATAAATACAGGTGAATACTGCATTTGGTTTATTTCTTCATTTTCATTTAAAGCAATTTTTGTAATGAGATTGTTGTTACTTCAATATTAATTTTTTAGACTGTTCGTGATTCGGGGTAAACCTATGGAAGTTTTTCCTCAAATTGTCAAGAAATGGAAAATAAAGCTCCTCACATTTGAAAGTGACACAGAACCTTATGCTAAAGTGAGAGATGAAGAAATACAAACCTTAATGAAGATACTGAAGGTGGAAGTCTGCACATTTTCCACAAATACCATTTATAATCCTGAAAAGTAATTGTATGCCATAAATTCACTTTTTCTAGTTTTTATTAATAAATATTTATTTTTATTTATTTAAGGAGCCGACTTCAATTTTTACTCCTGTTATAGTGGAAAAGATTTCTATCATTTTTTTAATCAATGCATTTTCTATATTTTTTAATTTTATTTATTTATTTCTCTGTTATTTTTGACTGTGAATAAGTTTGAAAGAATATTTATGAAAGTCTTTTATGCATATCATTTCATAGTCTAGAATGTAAGACTATACATTGACTATTAAATGGCTACATTTCGGTTCCCAGACTGCAGGCAATGCAACCTAGTGTACAATTAAAACTAATTTGCTTTAACAACTTAGATCGGCATGTTTTTGATGTGTGGCACTGTTTGATAATTTTAATCATGGATAAATCTGTAAAGCTAAAAATAGGGTTCAGACAGGTCAGGGAAAACCTGGAATTGGCAGGGAATTTTATTTTAACTCCAAAAATCAGATAAAGTTGCAATTTTTTTAGAAAAACGTGGAATATTCCTATATTATGCCTGGAAAATAACCAGCCTTAAAAATGTCAGCAACAGTAATCAGTTATTGAGATTCGAGTTAAATAATTCTGGCATCTATTACTATTATTTGTTGTAAAAATTTCACATTTTAATCAAACTGAAATGTTCCCTTTCGCATTTAATAATATCTTTTTACACAGAATATCTAATATTTCATACTACAAATAAAAGAATCAAAGTTTGCTGATGAAAATATGGTCTCAATTTTCATTGAAATTTACAGGGAATTTGTTTTTCTGAAATTGAGTGGGTGCCCTGTAAAAACCTTTAGCTACATCTTTAACCAAAAATTAAGTAATATCTTTAATCATGATAGACAGTTTTATTGTTGTTTTTTTAACTATTACTATTAATTTTTTTGCAAAAGCAATGACATAAAATATTTTTTTTGTAATATTTTATTTATGTTACACTGAAGCCGCACAATAGGCTATCGATGACGGTCTAGAAAACATCCCTGAGGATGATCCAAAAACATGCCAACACAGTTTTGATCCTCTCTGCACAGGAGATAACTTCTGTATTTTTTGAAAAATTTCTCTTTTTAAAAAATCTTATTCAATTATTTTAGGAAATTTGTATATTTCAGCAGTAATGATGGTGAATTTTTGGAAAGATTTAGACATGGTGTTTTATAATGTTTGATTTTCTAATTCTCGTAAATTTATTTATTTATTTGCAAAAGCAACTCCAAATAGAAACCATAATCACTTTAAATTTTTTCTTGGGAAGGGGGAGGCTTATTTTTTTTAAAAAAAAGTAGCAAATATTCACTTTTACTTTTTACATTGTATTAGTTGCTTAAAATGTTTAACAAATTATTAGTTTTATCATATTTTGTTGCAAATTGTTTTTATATGTTATCTCAATGGTTTAAACTATTTTCATTATAAAGGAACTTTTATATCTATTTTCATGTCGAAACATTATTTATTTCAGGATAAATAGTTTTTTACTTACAAATGTGTATCTTGTGTATGTGATATCAAGAGAGCAGTGAGAAATTTTTCATATGAGGATGGGAATCCAAATTACTAGTACATACATAACATTCATTATTTTTTTATTTCAAAAATTCAAATCGCTTAAAAATTATGTCATTGCCGCATTTAACATAATTGTTATGCCAGCAACTCATATCATAGATGCAATTATTGCATTAGCTATAAAAAAATTTCTTTTCCAGGTCTGCCATTTCAAGAAACTGTTAGATAGGATGGAATTTTCCACTTACTTGAACTTGCACTTAAATTTGGGAAATTATTCATTTACACCTTCATAACTTTAATACATAAAGAAAGATATCAACTATTTGGTTGAAAATTTCTAAATGCATTTAAAAATTAACACTTACGCAATTTTTATTCTATTTAAATTAAATTTTTGAGATTTTGTAAATCGTCAGGGAGATTGTGACTCACACATCCCACATTGCCCTGTGTTATGTTCCTGTATGCAGTGGTCTTAAACTTAATTCTTCTATTTTTAAAAAGTAATGCATGCCGTCTTTAAAATTTTGTCACTGTATTTATTATTATTTCAGCGATTTTTTTAAGCTATCTTAGAGTGCATACTTTAGCTCGATAAATTTAGAAGCACGATAAATAAAAATTATTATTTATTTTTTTAAATTATTGAGAACTGAAATGTTGTTTTGTAAAATTAATGTGAAATAGTTCATTTATTCCTAATTTTCTCATTTACTAAATTATTTGTTTTAAGCAAAATGTCTGCTCTGTTCAATTTATGTAATTATATTTTTTACTTCAAAATTATGAGCTTCTTTACAGCTGACAGTTCTTTAAATAAGAAGTTTGAAAATAATTTGTGCACTAAAATGGAATCTAACCATTTTTTTTATAGTTGAATATTTTAAGCAATTTTAATTTTTCATTTAAATGATATTGCTCATTGCATTAGAGATGCTTGTATGACATGTTATACAATAAATTATATTCCTGTTAAATTTTATTAGAATTATTGAATTTAATGGTAAAGTGCCCTTGACGATGCAGGCATATCTAAATATTGTTGACAAGATTGGATTGCCAGCAAAACCAGTTCAGTCTGAAGAAAAAATTATTCAGCTTACATCAGATAAAGGTAATTAATTTTTAATTTTGTTAATTGGCGATTTTCTTCAAATGTTAACTGTTTCATTTATTTTCTTAATAAATAAATCTAAAATAGAGGATTTGAGTGAATAAAGCACAAATGAAATATAGAAATGGATATACTCTAGTTTTGGTTCTCCAGACAAGAACCTTCTTAGGTATCTAAATACCAAATGACATTAGAAAAATAAAGAGATAAGCACGTGCTAAGTGGTTTAAACAATCAAGATAGAAATTTGCCTCTGTGGAGGACTTTTTGATGGAACTAACCAGCATTTGCATTACATGAAGAGGAAAACCTCCCATGATTAGCCTGATGGCAAGGGGACTCTAACCTATGATCTGTTCACCACTGAGGATATTTTATGTTAGCCCTGCCGTCGAGTTGAGGTGGGAGAAGTGTTCGTATCGAATAACCATAGGAGTCAAATCTAAGCTACCTCATTGGTAGGCAAACACTTAAGAAGCACTCTATCGTCAGAGCCACAACAGCTCAGCTATAATATTATGTAATTAGTTATGTTAAATTTTGGTTAAATTACAGATGCCCCTGCATTGAATGTTCCTATTGTTTCCTGCATTTGCCCTCTAGGGCACTGATTATTTGACCCATATTGGAGATACTTAAATTAATTTAAGTGAATATTTTAGTATCATTTCCTAACTAAAAAATTTTTCGACATAAAATAGTTTTTTTTTTGTAGAATTAGTGGAAAATACCTTCTAGAACCCTAAATCAATAACTGCATTTCATATTTTTATTTAAACATTATTATTCATATTTTTAACATTAGTATCATTGATTTTTAGAAAGATGCTCCCCCCTTGAAGATATTAGTGATTCAAAGTATGATGTTCCAACCTTAGAGGAATTGGGAGTTAAAGTAAATGATTTATACCCCTGCTTGTACCCAGGAGGAGAGACAGAAGCTTTAAAACGCCTTGAACGCTCTCTCTCAAATGAGGTAGAAACATTAAAGATTCTATATCCATCTTGTTTTTAAATATTTATTGCTAACAATAATTTTGGAAAATCTCCTGAGCAAGAAAACGTCACAAAATGAATTATTTCTTTTTCCGGAAAATTTTGTTGACTAACGAGTTAAACAAATAAGTATAACTTCTTTCAAAATATATATTTTGCTGAGTTTTTTTTTATTGATAGCAGAGATAAATAAAAAAAAAATATATGCTTTATACTTTTTTACATTGAAAATGTTTTCTAGTATTAGCTTTTAAAATTATTTTATATTTTATTATTAAAATAATATTAGTTATACTATATAAATATGAATAATTAAATTTTCTATTTGTTACAGCTTCAATAACATGATAATTTTTTTCAAATTTTAACACTGCTTTGATTAATTAAATTTTCCACTCTTACAATTTTTGGAGTATAGTGTCCTCATTTTCATTAAAGTAACTTTGAGAAAGAAGAACTCAGAATTATTCCTAACAATCATATTTACATATTGTTTAAAACAGTCCTTGCATAAAACTATTCTGATAATAAAAATTTAAGATATCTTTCACACCATGAAACTATTGTTTTATCTTGAGCAACAGTTTTAACTTTTTTGGACCCTTAATCTAGTAGCTTTTTAGCAACATAAAAGTGGACGCTTCTTATTTTATTCAATGGATAAATACTGCATAACTAAGAAAATTCTGTTCAATTTCGCAATGAATTGTAGCACTTGGATAGTAAATGTGTGATTCTCAGGTTGCAGTGAATATTTTTTTTTATGAAAAAAAAAGTCGTAACGTTTGTTGCTTTAATTCATGTTTTTTTTTTAAAAAAAATGCAATTATCCAAGTCTATTATCATGAGAAAAAATTAATAGTTGAAAACGATTGTAATCAATTTAGCTATATTCTTTGTTGCATTTTCAATGTGATTGCCATTAATATTTAGCAACACTTTTTGATACTAAGAAGACGTGATACTAAGATACCTAGAAGACGTATTCTGATAGCTATCGTGGACAACAGTTTTTCCACATCCCAAATAAAAATGTCTGATAAAAAAAAAAAATTAAAGCTATTAAGAGCTAAATTATGTAAAATAAAATCTAATTTAATGTTTATTATAATTTTAGTCTCAAATCTTTTCATAAATCATTCAGCAATTTTGACCCTAATACAGCAATTTATAAATAAAGTGTAAGCCTTCATAAAATCAGTACTTTAGATTTAGAAATTTTTTTTTACTTATTTTTGATTTATAATTAATTTTTTTATTAGGAAATTAAATAATTAACATCTAATCGATATAATATAATTATGTTATAATAAATGGTATTTGTATAAATTCATTCTTTTTTTAATTTTTTACAAAATTGTTTTTTTAACTTTTAGCAATATGTTTGCAAATTTTCAAAGCCAGATACTTTTCCTAATTCTATCAAACCAAGTACAACAGTTTTGAGCCCTTATGTAAAATTTGGATGCTTATCTGCTCGGACATTTTACTACAAAATCAGAGACGTTTACCTTAAAAGTAAGGTTAGTATTTATGTGTACTGTTGATATTGAATTTTATTTAATCCAAAATAATAAAAAAAAAATTAATTTTATAACTTAAAATGTAACTAACTGCTAAGTTTTAAAAATGATTTGCTTATTTAATAAAAAGTGTATTTATTATTTAGCTGGTATGATTAAATTCGTTTTTTATTTTAGTCTGGATATACCAAACCTCCAGTTTCTCTACATGGCCAATTATTTTGGAGGGAGTTTTTTTATACTGTGGGATCGGTAACACCTCATTTTGATCAAATGATTGAAAATTCTGTTTGTAGACAAATACCTTGGATGGAAAATAAGGAACACCTTGAAGCTTGGGCACATGTAGGTATCATTTTGTTTTAACAATTTTTATTTGACTAGTTAACATTTTAATTTAGTTTAATGTATTTATTCAGTTCTTGTTATGAATATTCTATGAACAGAGATTCTACACTTTCATTCAGCTTTGCTGTTTCTTTTCAGATTTTGAACCTATTATGTGCTTATTTTTTTTATATTGTTAATATAATTGTTAAACTTTTTTAAACTTTAGGATGTAAAGAAATTTTTAAAAAAACTGGGGACTTTATTTTAAAATCTATAACAATAAGCTTTTAAACAATTTCAGAATATTAAATTAAACTTTTCTTTTTAATAGTGATATATATTTAAAATTATAAGTCAAATCTTATTAAAATATTTTTAAATTTCATGAAACTTCCATTAGATGTAGTAGATGCCTATGACTGACAGTTATTTTGTGTTTTAAATTTTGTAGATTTAGTAGTATCTCAAAATTTTGTCAATCAAAGCGGTTTCAACTCCCTTTCTATCCAGTCCTTGACACTTCATGTAGATCAGGAAAAAAAGAGGTATTCTTCCTATGATGATGATTCTTTATAATAAAATCTTCTTTATTTAAAAATTTTCTTATAGTAAGAATTTTTTTTAAAAAAAATAATGCAAAATTACCCTAATTCTTTTTATCAACATTCTGATAAGATTATATTGACTTATTTTTCAAAATCGATAGTCATTGCATCGATTATGGTTCATTACCTTCTTGTTTTGCTAAGAATAAAGGGTGGGATAAAGTAAAGAGTCAAAGTCTGTCATTTAATGTATGGATTTAACCCTTAATCATCTAACTAAAGTCAGTCGAATATACTTTCTTTCTTGCACAGAAAACCATTTTTTTCTCAGAAAAAGGTAACTTTTGAGAAAAAAAATCCCTTATGTGAGAAATTAATTAAAGAAGATCCTAATTGGAGAATAATATTTTTCCTACAACTAAGTAATTATCTCTTACTTAAAATTGTCTGTGAGTAATCTTCAATGCTGAATATGTGTATACAACAAATTTTATTGCACATCTCTACTCAATAGTTAAACATTTTAAATAATTGAAGTAAAGTAAGTTCAATAGGAATATTTTTTCTTATTTTTTTTTTGTAGGGTAATATTTAACTTCCCTTTTCAGGGACGTACGGGTTACCCTTTTATTGATGCTATCATGACTCAGTTGAGACAGGAAGGCTGGGTTCATCACTTAGCCAGGCATGCAGTTGCTTGTTTCTTGACTCGGGGAGATTTATGGATTTCCTGGGAACATGGGATGAAGGTATTATAATTATTACATTTTTCAAATATTTCTGCTTAATATGCAATCAAACTCTTTTGTAATGAGAACGTAGGAAGAGTGGTCATTGAATCAGAGTGCTGGCTATATACTAGTCTGTCAAATTAATCAAAAATGAATGCTGAAGAATTAACTTAAAATGTTTAAAAATAGTTTACATGTTATCTTTTTTTTAAATTTATTCTAAAAAAGGGTGCATAGCATCTTTAAAAAGTGCTTTAAGCACTTTTTAAAGACGCTACGCAACCTTTTTTTGATTTTCGTTTTTTAAAAGCCCTTAAAGGTTCTTTTTTCATTGAATGTTTTTAAAAAGTGCTTAATTTTTCTTTTTTCCAAAATGAGATATTTTTTCATTACCGTGCCACTTTCACCGCGTATTATTCAAAAGCGAGATTTTCTCATTGCCTCTCATGTCGTTTTCGCTACGTATTATGCAAAAGCGTGATTTTCTCACTGTTCTATTCAACATTTTCACAATTCATTCAACCACTACCTGTTTTGTCGTACCGTCGGTCCATAGAGTATGAAAGCGCCAATCATTTTACAAGTTTGATGAAATACTTGCGAGTCTAGTTGTGCATCTACTGAGCTGAGTTTGGGGAGATAATTGCACTCTCATGCGCAATTCTGTTGCATTTTTCTAGATATTCTCAATTTTAGGCTTCATTTCCTTCTCTCTGATATAGTATCGAAAAATCGCTTTATCATTTTATATTGACAATTGAATTCAAGAAAAGAGTTCTTTTGTCAGGAACTAGTTATTTTATCATGATCATGTAAAGTCTTTGAAAATTATTTTGCATTTTGTTAGTGTATATAGTACTTAAAAATATTTTTTGAGTACTTAAAAGGTGTTTATTTTTTGTTAAAAGATTTGGCTACACACCCTGTAAAAGGAAAAAAATTTCAATTTCAGCAATTGCTTTTATGAGTTGATAACTATTTGAGATATTAAAGATGAATGAGATGTAAAATAAATACAACGATTTCCATAGCAACATCTTATGGTGGTCATTTCAATGAACACAATTTTTGATTCTTTATCTATATAAATTCATCTGATTCCCCTTCATTGCTAATCTGGCTGTTAATTTATCTAATCAAAATTTCATCTGTTGCCGCTTCATTGCTCATCTGGCTGTTAATTGCACATTACAAGATAGATAAGAGACAAAAGCAGATTTTTGTACTAAAGGGGAGAAAAGATTGATTTAAACTCTTTTAAAAGGTATAAAATGCCCACTAACAATTAGATACTTTTTTAAAGTATATGCTAAGCTAAATGCTGTGTTAAATCTAATTAAGTTAAGCTAATTGCTTCGTTAAATCAATTTTTTTTCTCTTTAAATAGTTTTTATAAGTTTTGAACATCAAACCAAGCAATTTTTAAATTGTTAAATCAAAACTCTGTACTGTTAAAATGTTCAATTTGTCTTTAGTAATTTAATTTGTTATACAGTGATACCATATGGAGTCCATTTTGTGTGTCACCTTAAATACAAAATTTGAATGTTTAGTGAATGATTTGATTCTATTTGTCTTGAAAGTCCGAATTCTTCTGATTTGTATTTTAGTTTCTGTAAATTTTTGAGAGTGTAATGATTTTATTTTAAATTATCATAAAGCATAGAAACATTGACAGAAACAATACATAAATAACTAAATAAGATTAAAAAACACTAATTATTAATTACTAGTTGCATTTAGTTGTTTTGGTGGTGGAATTTATATAAATAGCTTTCTAAAATGATTATTAAAAAGCTCACAAAATTTAAATTTAATTGATAATTTTTCTGGTTAATAAATATTTTTAACCATTTGGTAAAACCTAAAGAACTAGTTTTTTGGCATAATATTATGTACAAAAAAATTCTACAACTCTGTCATGATACCAAGTTATATTATTTCTCCAAGTATGGAAACAAACAGACTAAAATATTAGCCATGGAAAGTGGGGAGTTGAGTGCAGTTATATTTTCTCTACTGACCCCATAAAAAGTTTCTTTACTTTAAATACCAGAACATTGAATGATGTACATCACATTGCAGGTTTTTGAAGAACTGCTTTTAGATGCAGACTGGAGTTTGAATGCAGGAAATTGGATGTGGCTTTCAGCTAGTGCCTTTTTTCACCAATATTATCGTGTTTATAGTCCCATCGCCTTTGGTAAGAAGACTGATAAAAATGGAGATTACATAAGGTAATGAAATATGATAAAGAAGCGAAACCAGACATCAATTATGTTTATGTATAACAATTGTTTATTCTTTTAATAGGAAGTATGTACCAATCTTGAAACGATTTCCACCAGAGTATATCTATGAACCTTGGAAAGCCCCAAAGAAGGTAACTAGTTTAGAAAGATTAAAAGATAATTAATTTAATATTTTTTGAAGCTCTTTCACCAAGGAAAGTAAAAAAAAAAAGCCACAGTTTAAGTGCCTTACACTTGAAGCAAAACTATCATTTTAAATTGTATATACTATTTTGTTGTGAAGAATTTTCTGTGTTTTAGAATGGACAAATAACTTAAATATCTTAAAAGTTATTCAACTTTTTTAAAAATTGCCAATTTGGCGACATCTTTCCTCCTAGATGAAAATTATCAAAATCAATCCCCTATTCTCATTTTTTGTAACCTTTAATGAGCCCAGATAATGCAACATTGAAATGAGTTTTTAAATATAAAAAAATTAAACCACAAGCCCTTTTCATTTTCTCAAATGGGTTTTGTTCATATTGACATTTTTCGCCATTTTCGGTATAAACTTAAAGAGCACTGGCCGGTTAAACTTGATCTAAAAGTCATGAGTAACTGTTGCGAATTTTTATGAGAAATGTAAGACTCACATTTGGGTTCAAAGTTGAAATTAGTCTCAACTTTTCAAGTGAAAAATCAATTTTAAAATTTCTTGTGTTTTAAAAAGGCCTTTCCAAATATGTATCAATACTTTTACATTGTATTAAAAAAAAGTATTTTTACTAAAAATGGTATATGTTTCAGTTATTTGCAATAAAATATAGAACAACTTTAAAAACCTCAAATCTTGCTATAATTCTGTAATAAATGAAAGTATTTTACAATAAGTGATTAAAAATTCAGGCATTAAAATACTTTAAATTTTGACTTGTCATTAATGACTTCATGATGAAAGAGAAAAAAAACAGCTACATGAAAGAATTAAAAAATAACCTGCACATTTTGGAAAAAATTATTATTATCTAGCATATTTTTTATTGAAATAAATTTGAAGCATATATCACATTCATAATTTTAATTTAAATGTTGTTTTTTTTTTTTAAAGTTAGTAAAATTTTAGTAATTTTGAAATTATTATGCAAATAAAGCATTCTACATTTCTAAGAGATATAAGAGAGTTGAGATTAATAAATTAAAGTTTTACATTGAAGACTTGATTATTCTAGTAGTATTTAATACCATGGAAATTAAATTTAAAGTTGCATACATTTAGACAAAAAAGCAGGATTAAATCAACTAAGATTTTACAAACCAATTATTTTTTTTAATAAACTATTTTTAGCTGATTTACTTGCCTTTTTTTGAGATCTTAATTTTATTTGCATTTCTTTGAAATTAAATATTAAAAATATATTTTGTTATTATTAATATTGATTGATTTAGTGTTATTAATATTTAATTTCTACTAAACTTCTTAAAGTTAAGACATTGATTATAAAATCTTTAATTTATCGATAAATCTTTCAACATCATTGCATTTAACATTGTAATTTTATTAATCATTTTCCAGCTTCAAGAGCAGTTGGGCTGCGTTATTGGTAAAGATTACCCCTCCCCCATTGTAGATCATGATAAAGCCAGAGTTGAAAACCTAAGGCGAATGGATGCTGTTTACAAATCTGCAAAAGAATCAGGTTTTAGAACAATCTTTTTTTATTTCTTATTCATTTTATCTATTAAATTTTTTATGAATATTCTTAGTTATGAATTTTTTTTATGTAGTTTTTTAGAACATTTGTACTACATTGATTTTATAAACAACAAATAACTGAAATGTTTGATGTAAAGGCAGGTTATTGCTCAAGGATTTAAACTGAAAAACTGTGTAAGAAATTTAAATTGAAAAACTAGGTGTGGTCAGTTTTTGTGCTAGGTTTTGGTGCTATTAAAATGGACAATCATCAAAGACAAATCAAAAAGTCCATTATCAGCCAAGGTGTCGATGATTTAAATAAAAAGAATTGATTAAAATCAGGAATTTTTAATCTTTAAAAAAAACATTAAAATTAAAAGGCAATGATGGATGTCTTGCTTTTTGAAATATATCATTAATAAAAAAAATACTCTTTAATGTATTAAATAGTTCAAAATATATTTAACAAATTTTTTAAGATTTTATTAATTGTAAATTTTAATTATTCAACTTAATGTCTCAAAAACATATTTTTAAAGTGTAAAACATTTTACTGAATCATGGCCTTACAGAAAGTTTAATGAATAAATATGCTACAATTTTTCTTTTATATTTTTCAATGATAAATCTATTTTTGCATTGAATAAAACATTGTTACGAATACTAATTATTAGAGCCTGTATTTTGATGACATAAAAAATCCTTAAAAAAAAAACATTAAAAAAGTTTATTAAAATAAAAATATTTTCTTGTAATTAATGAAGAATTTCTTTCCTAAAATTTCATACGTCTATATTAAGATATAATTTTCATTAAAGTTCAGAATTAATTGTAAATCGAAAAAAAAAAGAATAAAAGTCAACTGCCTATGAAACGTCTAGACAGACATATTCCTCTTCACTCCAAATTGGAACACAGGGCTTCTATCATTGTTCTCCGTCTCCACTCTGTTTGTAGCCAAATTTTTTGCCTCTCTCTATGTCTTTCCTATTGTTTTTGATTCACTTACAATTGTTCTGAGACAAGTATTTTTTTAGATCTTCCTCTTTTTCTATTACCCTGGGTTTTGAAGTGTATATTCAGCTAAAAAAAATTGCGATTAACAAACGAATTTTTAATCACCATTTTTTTTGTATTTTGTCACTTAAAGTAAAAATTGTTTTTAAATTTTTACAACTAAATACATAAATGCATTATCACAAATCGTGTTACTTCAAAACATATTAAATTGGTGTGCAATTATTCAGGATTTTCAGGAGTTATTAGATCAATCTTTGAAAACAATTCCTCTGCTTTGCATTTTTTTATTTTTTTGATGTCTCTTCTAAAAAATTTTTAAAAAATAAAATATTTTAATTATGTTTCAGGTGGGAAAAAATCTGCCTCTCCAAAAAAATCTCAAAAACAATCTCCAAAAGCAAGCTCTTCTCATCAAACTTCTGCCTTATCTTCTACACCTAAAAGCACTAAAAGAGCTAACTCTCAGCAACAAAATAAAATCACTAAATTTCTGAAACTACAGTAAATCAAAAATTTCATTTCTGCATCAAATGGTTGTTTTTTTTATCATCTTTATGTTTTTATTGTACAGATTGTTTAATGTGATATTTTTGGCATCTAATAAAGTTATTATTACTAACTGCTTGTCATATTACTCAGAAACTTTTCTTATTTGAGGTAGAAGCATCCTCTGCATTTTAAAGTGTTAGCTTGGTTATTTTCATACTTTTTAACACATCATGTCACCCAACCGTTACCAAGCTCTAAGCCCATTTTGTGGATATTTCTTTTATTGCTCCTTATAGGTATGCAAAGTAAACTTAGCCTCAACCAAATGACCATGGGTGCCACTCTTCAGTCCTGGGGACTGAAATCAGTCTTGAGAAAAATCAATGGACTAATAAATTCTATCAATTAAATAAAATGTTCTTTTTTTTTTCCTTGGAAATTAAAAATTTTTTTTTTTGTCAAAATAAAAAAGTAATATGATATCTTAATGAAAACATATGATATGGTAATAATGTCAAGACTTTTATTTATTTTCTTTTTGTCAGCTTCGCTAAATCTTATTCTTAAAGTCTTGAGAAATAGAATTAAGTGAACTTCATCTACTTGCGTAATTAAATTTGTACTATTGCTGAATCTAAATCTGCTCGAGTTTGATTCCTTCACCTTAACCTATTGTCATGCTGACCAAAGTTAAATCAAGATTTTTTTTTAATAACAAAGAAAGAAATTATAATGCTAGAACAAAAAATAAATAACAATGAAGTGACAAATAGAGGTATGAATGGTTTCAGGTTGTTCAGTAATAATTGTAAAAAATTATACAAGGTTAGCTGTTGTTTTCTTTTTGTTTGCTAAAAAAACATAAAATAAGGAAAAAAAATTATAGGAAAAATAATCAAATGATTTAATATGTAGGCCAGGCTATTATCAAGGAAATAAAAATTTCGGTGTCAGTGAGCTATAAATTTCTAAAAGTTTGGTAAACAACGCTAGACAGTATTATTTAGTCAAAAAATAAGTTCAGTCTTGGAATTTTTTTAGAGTGGCACCCCTGCAAATGACATTCACAACGCCTGACCTGGTACCTCTCACCTAATTTTTATGCTACAACCAATGAGAGGACTATCTGCCATGGCAAGTTTACTTGTTGTGTATTCACGGCAATTGTTTAGATAGTTGCCGTGATTGCAGTCAGATCTCTAATAGCGACATGAGTAACGCCATAACATACACTTATCTAAATATTAGCGTTTCATTTTCATATTCTGTAATTAAAGTTATTACTTAAAATGCTCTGGACCATGTAATAAAGTCATGTTTATCAAACTCTTAAGAAGAGTATTTATGGTTAAAAAACGCAATGGTTCCCTAGTTAGAAATAAGGGAATGCTGTGTAATGTGGTGTTATCTTGTAAAACTTTTAAAGTATTTATCTAGAAACAATAATAAGGAACAGTTAGGAATAAAAATATCACCTTTGAAAAATATGGCTTATTACTAACCCTATATTACCCAATTTTTCTTCCTTTAACTTTTTTTTACATACTCAGCTTTTTACTTTTGATTGTATTAACTCATTTTCTTCATTGAGAATACATCCTTTTTGGATTATTCTATTAAAAAAAATAATTCTGTTCCACAGCATTTTGTCTTTATGAGGGTCTAATGAAAATAAATTATATCTAATAACTGCACAAAATATGTATCTGGTCATGCTGTAAAGTAAATTTTACAAAGTTTTTAGTTGATATGATAGATTCAAAAGTATAGAAAAATTCGTATTGTAAAAAGAATGTCCGAAATAAATACCTACTATTATACGCTATCTTTGGAATGAATAATGGCAGTGGTTCCAGAAACAGGTATGTTGGTTGCATACTAATGTTGGTATAATGGTTGTATACTAATGTAACAGGCATGTTGGTTGTATACTTATTCCAACTTTTACTCACAAATTTTATTTTATTCGCAACCTATTTCGGTATTTTTTTCTTAATTAAAAATAATACTTATAGATTTTTGAAAAAATTGTTCATTGTATTATTTTTAATTCAAAAATAAATAAATACACATTATAAAAGAGTGTATGAAATGAACACAAATATTTCTTTTCTTATACGTTACCCCTGGAGCAAATGTAAGAGCACATTGGTTGCACAGACCAAATAAAATTCCAACTTAAAAATTATAAAAATAAAAAATTAACCCTTAATTTGTTATAACGAATACTTTGTTAAATGGAGAATCATTCCGATTAAAAATTTTATAAGGTTAACTTCACTGTTGGAAAACTACAGAGTTAAAATTGAACCAATGCCTCAAAAGAAAAATATATTGTTGAGAATTTAGTTATTGAAACAATTATGTTATTAATACGTTAAATATCATTTGAAATGTTATTAGACGTTCTAAGTAAAAATTTTCTAAATTGAAATTCACTGTTCTGAGACTCTACAGTTTAAATTGAACAAATGTCGCATAAGAAAAATATTGTATTGTTAAGAATTTAGTTATTGAAATAAATACACAAATATTACTACAGCACTGTTTTAATTTTCAATCATATGTTATGAGGGTACAAACATGAAAAAATTATTTTCATTTTTTTAGGAGAATCTCATCATTACATTTAATAGGTACAAAAATTATAATGATTGTAAAGGTGTACAAATACGCATGTATAAATATTTTCTTATCAATTTGTAATCTAACAATAGATTGTAACAAAGTCTAGCTGCATTTTTCACACACACTCTGGACTGAAGCCAGCAAGTACAAGGTACAGATACAATTTACAAATTTTTTATATGCCCGAAACAATGTAAATAATGGCTCTGTTTGAAATAAGAGTATTTTTTAAATAGCAATGATAAAAGAATTTAGATTTTTTTTTTTTAATTCTTCAAAATGTTTGGCAACAAAAGAATTACACAATTCTAAAGTACAAGGATCACATAGGAAATCAGTTTCCCACAACCCAACAAAGAATCAAAACATTACCTGGAGATATTTATCACAGAAAATACAACAATATTTTAGCTCATTTTCAAGAACCGTTGGAGTGATAACAGTCCAGCTTCAGCACATCTTCCTCTGTGGGAAAGTGATACTCGTACAGGAATTTCTTCAGGTTCAAGAACAGGTTGGGACAATAGGGTTAATGGTCAAACACCACCTTGTGAAATTTCAGCGGCATGTTTTTTACGGAATTCACCCTATCCTGACGAATGTTTTCATGGAACAACACACTTTAAATTTTCCATCCGTTCTTGCACCTGAAGAAACTACTGTGCAGGAATCGCTTTTAAAACAGTTGAAGATGTGTAGATAACTATGAAAAAGTTTCTATAAATCTACCACAGAATGTTACAATTCTGGTGGTTTTTGAGTTGAGAAATAAATGTAAATATTGTTGTATCTTTTGCAATAAATTTTTGCAGGTAACTAAGTTTTGCTTCCTTTTATGTGCTGCAAAAATTTACTTTCTGCATGACCCATGTAAAATTACATAAATTTGGAGTAAAAGAGAAAGTTCCATTGCCTAAGATTTGCTTGCGGTGTTTTGTTTCCTTTTACGTGCTATGAAAAATTTACTTTCTGGATGACCTTTGTCGAATTACATAAATTCGGAGTACAAGAGCAAGTGCCATTGCCAATGTTCCTAAAATTTACTTGCAACGCACAGAAAATTATAATTTAAAAAGTGAAAAAATTATATTTTCTTTTCTTTTTGTTGATAATTAATGTTTGTGACATCACATGTATAAGTGACATTTGTAGAATAATTAGTCACTCCACCAATTTTATGCAACATACAAATACTATCAGTCTTTAAATGTGTCCGGTAAATAGAGAAAATTATTGCGTTTAAAAAAACAAGCTTTTTTTATATTTGTGTTATTTCAAAGTTGTTGGATTTTTAATATTCCTCATTGAATTGGATTTTGCTTACGTGCTTCACATTAATATGCAAAAGATGGTTCAGATATTTATACATTTGAGCTTATTTTAAAAAAAGTTATAGTATAAACAGCCGTGCTGATAGTTTTTCGTGCAATGAATGCGAAAATAAATTTTTGTTTAAGAAATCTTTAATCTGTGACTTTATTAACAGTTAAGAGAAAGCTAACTGAAAAGAATAGACTTTAAGTTCAAACTTTACCAAGGAGTGAAAGGCATACATAGAAGACATTTGAAATAAAGACTGCCGCTTTCACAGGCCTAAAAAATTTAATACCCTAAAAGTACCTTTTAACTAGAAAAAATTGATGTCAGAAAAGCATTTAAATCTACAGTCTAAAATATGTCACAGACATAACAGTAGTCTTTCACAGATTAAATTCCATCATAAATATTTTGCTGGGATTGTATAATTATAACAATGCACTGCCATTCATACTTCTTTATAATAAAAGTATACACAGAGCGATTATTTCTTGTCATACTGCAAAGGGATAATCTACAAAATATATTTTTAGGATAAATATTTCTGAGTGTTATTGCTGTTTGATAAAAAAAAATTAAAGAGAAATGGGCTCCTTTTTTGTATAATGAAGCTCAATATAAAAATTTTAATTTCAGACTTTTAACAGCAGCATTACATTACACAATCACGATACAAATTTATATATAGCCTATAATAATTAAAAAAGTATATAATCTAAAATGGTATAGTAAAATTATTCTTCAAAATATTATATTCAAATTTATTTATTGCATAGTAATAAGCATTCACAAATTTTAGTAAGGAAATTAATAGCATGTTCATTTTTTTGCTAAGATACTATCCACATTTCTCTTAGTAATACTTATGCATAGATTTCAACTACAATAAGTTTTAGCTCTCAATTCAAGAGCTACATAAAGACATCAAAAAACTACAAAATATTCAAATGTTAAGAAATTTGCAGGAAATTATAATTGTTAAATTATTTTGACTGCACTGGTTCTTTTTTAATATCTAATTTGTAGGTTTCTGATATAACTGAATAAACTGAAATTTTTCTGATATAACTGAATACTAGTTACTAGAAATTTTTATGATGATAAACATTTGCGTAAATGTTTATAAAAATAATGAATATCCTGTATAAGCATGTGTCCATATTTTGAGCATTATAAGAAAATTTCTGGATAAAATAAAATTTTTTTTTATTTTAAACAGATATAATTCTAGGATTAAAAGTATTAAAATTTTTTTTTAAATTTTCATAAAAAGAAATANGTTTCTGATATAACTGAATAAACTGAAATTTTTCTGATATAACTGAATACTAGTTACTAGAAATTTTCATGATGATAAACATTTGCGTAAATGTTTATAAAAATAACGAATATCGTGTATTAGGCATGTGTCCATATTTTGAGCATCATAAGAAAATTTCTGGATAAAATAAATTTTTTTTTATTTTAAACAGATATAATTCTAAGATTAAAAGTATTAAAAAATTTTTTAAATTTTCATAAAAAAGAAATATTTAAAAAAAAAAACATTAGGTAACTGTAAGATTTTTTTTTTCTTTAAAAATAATAGAACTAAAAATGTTTTACATAATTTTTTTTTTTTTAAAGAAAAAAATCTCCGGATCCTATCTTATTTTTAAAAATTTTTATTATTTGAAACTTCGTAAGGGATAAAAAGATTTAATCAAAAAAATGTAGCAGTAAAAAAAATATATGTTTGCTTTCATATGAAATAAATGATACACAAAGCACAAGATTTGTAAAGAAAACCCTTTTGTGGCTTTAAATTAAAGGATCTTTTAATTGTAAATTTTTTTTTTTTAAATTTTCTGTGTGTGGGTGCTTATTTTGAGAGGATCTAAGATTCTCACATCACATATATTGTATGGATATGTATTGAATCTCTGAGTCAGATTCATAGAATAAAAAGTTATGATAAATTGTTATTTTTAGATCCATGAACTTTTTCTAATTTTACATTTAATCATTCTAATAAAACTCAAGTCGAAAATTTTAGCACCTCACAATAAACAAAACAACCTCATATAAAACAATATCTTTCTCAATCAAGTCAAGTATTTACAAAAATTCAATATACAAATCAACAACCAAATCAATAGATTCCTTATTATATGAAACAGGAATTAACTTTGATCCTTCATAAACACAAAAGAAAATACATAATAAATTGATTATTTAAATTGTTCAAGGTAAAACATAATACAAAATCTCCAAACTTTATTCGTATTCAAAATTTAAAGTTTCCGAAGTTACCATTAACCTGTACAGCATTACAAATGGGGTATGCCCATTTGCATTATCTAGTGCTAAAAGCGCCATGACCAGTGATTTCTAAGCCTGTAAACAAGATCAACACAAATTCTAACAATGGTAACAACTTTTTTCAGCTATGGAACCATAAATGATTGAGCATCTTTTGGCTTAAACCTGGACCTTATTATTTAAGTTAATTAGCAGCAGCGAATATACTAATAAAAAAGACTACAAATTAAGCTGAATACATTTAATGTGAAGAAACAAATTTTATTATAGCTTTATGAATAGCAATATTAGAATTAGGTCAAACGTTAGGTCATTAAATCCACAGGTCAAAAGTGGCTTCCAATTTGTTTTTGGCACATGCATAATAAAATTGAAATAAGTTGAAGAATAAGAATTATTGTTTTTGAAAATTAACTGTTATAATCCATGAGAACAGTTATTAGAGAAACATAATTCTTTATTCTTGAATTTAGCTATTTTGAATTGAAAACTTAAAAGAAATATATGTATGCACCATTTGTAAATGCATATCCTTTTAGTGATTTACTTAATATATTGTTATTAAAAACTGTAGATATATATTTCTTAATTATTCTATAGTTTTTTTTTTCATTGGGAATTTTTATAAAGAATTTAAAAAATAACCAAAATATTAAATAAATTCTGGCTTATTGATTGGATACAAATATAGTTACAGGCTTCAAAATTAAAAAAAAAAACAACTAATTCTCAGAAAACCTATTAACGTGCCACAGAAACCTAGGGTTCCACAGAAAACCTTTGGGGAACTGCTGGTTCATAAAGAATACCTGGCGCTCAAAAACAGTATCGTCTTTGAAAAATGGAACACTTGTAATTCATTTTCTAAAAGAGGATGGAATTCTGAATCGGTTAATGTTTACGTAAATAATTTTATATTTATGATACTTGTATCAAAAAATACAAAATGTTAAAGTAAAAACTTAAGCAGATATTTAAAAGTAGTTTTCAACCATAAGTGCAGCAAAAAAAAAAAAATATATATAATAATGGATTTAAAAATATTTTTTTAAGGAAATTTTACACAATTTGGCACTTTAGATTTTAGCCTCTTGCAATGAGATTTTAAGTATGTACGATATTTCAATTTAATAAAAATAAGAAGACTTTTTGTTATTTATAAAATAATTTTTAAAAAAATTTATAAAATATGCAAAAGCTCAAGATCAATACATAATTTTCAATTTTTTTTTAGAATATATCAATAGCTAATACCATTAGAAGTTATACTGCTATAATGAAAAAGAAATAATTGAATTTTGTATAATAGCTACAACAAAAAGAAATTATATCAGAAAAGAAAATAAGTCATTTTTTTAAACCATACAATAAATTAAACACAAAACTAAAAAAAAAAGATAATTTTTTCTTAATTTATTCAACAATTATTCATTAAAGTAATAAAAAATTCATTTTAAATTTAAAAAGAAAAGTACAGTATTTCATATGAACAGTACTTCAAATAAACAGTTTTTCTTATCATTTCAAAAATTACATAACACATCTGAATACAAGCATCAGAATTTCTAAAAAGTATGTATAAAAAAAATTTGGCATTTATTTATTTAAGTATTGATCATAAAGAAAACTAATATAACGACCACCACTTTAAAAATAAAAACAAGCAACAATTTGTGTTACACTACACAAAATATATACAATAATAATAATAACAGGACATTTCTAAAACTGTAAAATGAAATAACATGCCAGACAAAAAGCTTAAAAACGTAACTATTATCAGGCACAAAAAAATATCAGAATTAAACACATTCCCTGCAAATCCTTTGTTTGTAAAAGTAAAATTGTCTATAACTAATCAATTTATTTGAACAAAATTAAGATAAATAAAAATTTTCATCAAAAAGATATTTGTTACAATAGGTTGCACTATCTTCTATTATTTTAAGCCCAACCAAGTAACAGAGGAAATACGCAGGGAAAATATTTAATAAAAAAAGAAAAGAAATATAGGGCGATCCAAAATCACAGTCCTTAGTAAATATTTTTAGAATCCTTGCTAAAAATTTACACATTTGTTTGGAAAAGAATATTTAAATGGGATAAAAAGAAATACGGATCTGAAATCTGAGATATTTCTATTGAAGAAGATGAGAATAAAAAATATTTTTAAAAAAAAAAAAAAACCTGTTAGATTGCTGAATGTAACTTATAGGGATTTTTAGATACTTCTGCCTTTCAACTACTATCTGTTTTCTTCTGCAATCAAAGATGTTTTGATGTTTTTAATCCATTCTTCCTCAATAGCAATTTGTCAGATTCCAAAAGATTTATTTCTTTTTGTCCAAGCTGAAATAGTAATTTGTGACCCGCGATGACCAATATTCTTTTTACTTCATTTTTTTTACAAGGATTGTCAAAATGTTTACCTCAGTCTGTGATTAGAGAGCACTCAGCATATTTTATATAAGGACAGCACTAAATAAGAAAAAATCAGTCACATATTTCTAGCTGCAAAAGCTCAGGAAAATAATACTACAACTCAATGTAATAAATAAAATTCAGGTACAAATGTAAAAAGAAAGTTTTTTACAAAAAAATGGAATGAAATCTGAGCAAATAAAAAAGAAAATAGTTTTTTCTACCGTTTCTAATTGTACCGGTAAAAGAAAGAGAAATTACAATTGGCACTACAATTAATCACAAATGCTAATTATGTATTAAGTGGCTTACTTGCTTTGGTCAATAGGGAGAGGTAAAAGGGTCTCAATAGGCCTAAATAAAATAGCATGAATACTATACCAAGAAAAAAGCTGACAAAATGAAAAATTACGATTGGTAGATGAAAAGAATAATTCCCGGGAGCTAGAAAATAAGCGGAAAACACCATGCAGACATTTTGACAGAATGTGAAAGCATAGTATAAAATGTATAAACCAACAACTCTACCCAGTTTTCCAAAATCAACCTTGTACTCAACAAAGCAAAAGATATAAACTATACCCATGAAAATTGCAATTGCAAATTTGTTGACAGAATAACTGGGGTGGTTGAATATCAAGCATGTTGATATGGTTGCAGCATGAATGCCACATATAACAAATACCCATAATTTGAACACTGAAGCAAAGAATGCTAAAGCAAGAACTCGTGCTGTGATGGATAATATCCACCACAGATATTCCACAATTACGCAGCACAAATCACTCACTTCTTGATTCTCATCAGCAGTTGCAGTTCGGCTAGGATGGTGTTTGCTGTTTACTTCAAAGTGAACAACCACGATGGTTAATGCATTTAATGAAAATATGATGGATATGACTTCTGCAATCACTGTAAATATATAAATATATATAATTATTTAATAAGATAAATTACTTAAAATGCTTTCAATTGCAAAAAAAAAACAGTTCAATAAATTTTTTTTAAAAAAATTTATAAAATGACTTATTAAACTCTGAGTGTTGCTACCAAGTTGACATATGTCCTTCTTTATAAACTATCTCTATTAATTCTCCCTTAATGTTTTAGACAAATAATTAAATTTTTCATGAATCATTGATTTTAACTCAAGGTTAAAACAAGTTAAGAAATAAATAGGTATTTAGTCGATGATTGTCAATTATTTCGATTAAAAATTTTTAAAAAAACTATTTCAACTATTATATTATTTGCCAATTATTTCGTGTAAAAATTTAAAAAAACTATTTCAACTGAGTATTTTAATTCCGCCTCCCCGAAAAATTGGATGCTTGATGCTTATGGGTAAAAACAATCTTGTTAACTTCCAATATAATAATGCTTTAATGATATAAATACTGCAACGACTTAAATACATTTAGTTAATTAAAGAGTTCTTTACACAATATTAACTGCTAAAAAAAGAATGATTTTAGACTTTTTCTTCAGAGGAAAACAGAAAAATTATTTGTGAAATTTATTTTTTTCTCTTATTATTTATTCCAACTAAAAGTTATAAAATTATGTTTTTTTCTCATTATTTTAGTCCAATTTACTTACTACTTTCAGGAAGACAATGTGGTTACATTTTCAAACAAATTAATTTTTTTAAGGAGTTTACAGAAAATATTAGAACACATATTTAAGAAATTATTTATATTAAGTTACCCATCTTAACTCGGATTCAAAGTTAAAATCGTAAATAAAAACTAAGTGCAATTATAAAAGGATGGCAACAAAAAACTTAGTTTTCATGAAAACTCCAAAAGGTATAGATAGTAAAAAAAATAATACAAAAATGTTTTCTTAACAATAAAATTATTAATAGCGCCATATCGAAAAAGGGATCAATCCAAATTTTTTTTTATCATGGATTGGTTCATGAAATTCCGTGAAAAAAGTCCACAGCATTTTCTAAAGCTTTTCATTAATGGAATTTAATGAAAAGTATTTTTGTCAAAAATGAAGATCCTAACAAAGCATACAATTTTATTAAAATTTGTCACGAGGATAAAAAATTTTAAATACAAGAAAATTAAATGACTAAGACTTCTTAATATAAAAAACTAAATAAGAAAGTAATCTTAATGCACACCTATAGAAAAGTTTTTTTTTCTTTTAATAACCATAGACTCAAATCTGAAATATTGTTTATGAACTAATTTGGCCATGAATCTAAGAGAAAAATTTTAATAGTTACATCTTCAAGTGTAGTCCATTTAAATGTGTTCTCACCAATACTTTAAATAAAAATGAACATTTTTACATACGAAAGAATTTTTATTTTTTTAATTGTAAAGATACAAATAAATATAATTATTAATCATATAATTTTAAATAAATAAGATTTTTTGAATCTCTTTGATAGTTTAGAGTTTTGAAAATGGTTTGTTTAAGTAGTTCGGATTTTTGTGAAGGGATTTTCCCTATGGCTAAGAATTTTGGGAACAGTCAAGTCCTTAAGCATACCTAATTTATTTTAGAATTGAACCCTTTTAAAGGATCTAAATAATAAATGTCTATACAAAATAATTTTATTCAATAAATAAAATAAATACAATTTACCTGTATTTGTATCTTGAGGTGTAGTGGCAGATAAAAGAATGTATAATTGTAGCAACAATTGAGGAGCAGATTGTAAAAATGCATTTAACATTTTGTGCATACCATCATTAGGTATGGTTGTACTGTGGTATTGTTCTAAATATACAGTGCTATTTTCTTCATCCGTAAAAGCTCTTATTGCATAAGTGAGCTTTTTCACATAGCTGGAAAAATTTTTTTTAATTATTAACATGATTCCTTAGATTGTAAACTTATAAATATTATAATACTACCAATAGTAAATTTGAAATATTTTGTGATATTAAACATAGAATACAGTGATTGCTAAAACTTAATATTTATCACTAATTAAGAAATGTTCAGAAAAATTATTTTAATGTTTCTCAAAAATGGGCTTCAAAAAATAAAACTTGGAATGTCCCTCAGAATAAAAAATTCAGGAGCATGAGAAATTATATCAATATTATCGAAATCAGGGTTGATGAAAATCATAACTTTTCTTTAAAAAATTAGTTTCTATTTAAATTATTTTACACATATTAATCAAAGCTCTGAAAAAATATGCTAATGATGCTAAATAATATTTACAAACAATATTATAACTAAAATGCTTTATATTTCTAACTAAAATGATTAAAAACATTAACTAATTATTACAAAATAATCAATGAAAAAATAAAATCATATTTATTTTAAGATTTTCTTCATATTCATTTATTAAATCATATTTATTTATTAAAATAAAATCATATTTATGTAATCATATTAATAAGAGAATTGCTTTTTTTTATATTTATTATTATAATGTAATTCTGCGCTACATTTTAAGATAAAGTTACTTAGAAAGGTTGTCTAATCTTATTAACCATTTTACAATTATTATTTTTGAGCAAATAACATTAATATTCTGTTGTAAATTACAGTTAAAGAGATCTGCTAAATGATTTAGAACTTAACGATCAGCTTCATGAGCAAAGAGATGCAAGCAAAAATAGTATTTATTATATATCTGTACGTTCGGTAAACGAAAAAATTAAATTACGGTTGAGAACTCATAAAATTTGTTTGAACAATATAAATGCTTCAACAAAAAAAAAATTACTCAGTTCAACAATAGATCTAAATATTTATATTATAAAAATATTTATTAATAATGTTTGGACGTGGGAAGTGGATGCATAAGTATAAGCAAACAGAATTTCTTCCAGTACATATATGTTAACCCTTTATCTACTGATGGTACTTATAAGTACCAATCACTTTAAACTAATTAGTTAAAGTGGTACTTTTAAGTACCATTTTATTTAATTAGTTCTTACAAATAAAATTTCACAACAGGGAGATTTTTTTTGTTGTATATTGTAATAGGGTAGCTAAAAAAATATATATATTTATGAAAAATTTTTCAGTAGTTCAAAATGCAGTAGATAAAGGGTTAAGTGAATAATTTTAACTTCAGCAGAAAAACTGTTTTTTGCTATGAAACAACAATTATTGTGAAGCAATCATCGGGGTTGGCGAGCGGTACCGATTAATAAAATAATAGCCCCCGAGTTACTTGTATAAATGAGTATTTTCTTAAATAAAAAAATCAGTTAATAGAACAATGATTTTAAAAAAAACATTTGAATTGCAATTCAAATCAAGCAATTTAAATCATGTCAGCCCTGGTAAAAATAGTAACGATTAAAAACTTACCCCCACAATGGCCACAGTAACAATCCAGCTCCTGTGAAAATGTACAAAACAATCCAAAGTATTTTCTTCTTGAAATGGAAATCTTGATTTGTAATAGTTTTTAAAACAGCGTGAGCAATGAACATGACAGCAGGTGCGCAAATAAATAGTATAGTCAAACTAAACCATACAATATGGTTATCCCTATAATGCCTGTAAGCTACAGCTGCACCGCTAAAAATATCAGCAGCAAAACTAACTAGCAAAATAAGAGTGGGTGCTATATATTTTACAAACATGAATAAACGCCTAGGCAGAGGTATGCAGCATATCTTTAGAGAAGAATTGAGTTCTTCAGTTTCCTCACTGTTCCAGTTCTTGAACTCCACTTCTGTTCTAATGTATTCAATTTGATCGGGAGATTCAGGATTATTCATGGTAGCTAAAATGCAAACAAAAAAAATATTAGACAAAAAGTAAGGGATGATGTCAAAAAGCAAAGCAAATATAGTTTAAGCATTCAAGTAAAAATTTTTGTTTTTAAATTTCTAGCAGTTGCACTTGATATACTTCATTTTACCGAGTGAAATACTCTGCATAGGGTTGGCAAGTTTTTGACACATGACGGTTTTTACCGTCAAGTCAAAAAACCCTCTGTCAAAAACCCATAGTTTTGGTAAAATAATTTTAAGTATTTGGTAAAATAATTTATAAGTATTTGGTAAAATAATTTATAAGTATTTGGTGAAATAATTTTGAATCTTCTCGAATTTTGAACTCATCCATACTAAACTTAGAAATCAACTGGGCAATGAAAAATGCGCAAAATTAGTCACTTGCTATCGTATGCTTCGGCACAGTGACCTCGACTACTGAACTTGTAATTTTGTTTGTAATTAAGTTTTGTTTAATGTACTTTTTCAACTGAAAAAAGTTTTTAACTTGACAAAATAGCAGTAATTCTTGGCTTAAGAGTTTGTTAGTAGTTACAAATGAGACAAAGAAAATTCAGCAAAAATTGAAAAAGTATGACAATCAAGGCTGACGTCATCAGGGCGTACCAGCCCTGAATTGTCATAAACAGGGATGAGAGTAGTCAGAAAGTAAAAGAGAGGAAATCCAAGGAAAAAAGAATTATATATATATATANTTTGAAATCTTTGTTTAGCTTATTTCTAATATTTAAGAAATGCCAAATTTTAAATTCTTTTTAGTTCTTGAATTTATTAATAGTTCCAAGCTTTTTATTTGTTTGTTTATTTCTAACAATTAAGAAGTGCAAAATTTTAAATCCTCTAAAATCAAGCTATAATGATAAAAGTAAGTATCACTATTTTCAATAAGTATATTACAATATTTCTTTATGAAATGAATGCATATCCTTCTATAAGAATACATGTATATAGTTGCAAAATCAATAGCAATCATTTACAATATTCATTTATAAAGGCAATTATGTGAAAAAAATACACTATCCGCTATATGCTATAAATTAAAGAAAACAGTAGGTTTTTGACAGTTTTTACCGGTAAAAACATGGTTTTTACCGGTAATGGTTGGTACACGGCATCCACTGTCATGTCAAAAACCAGTTTTTGACGGCAAAAACCCAACCCTGACTCTGCACTCACATAGGGAAACAAATAAAGACATTAGAATTCAAAATTAAATATTAATGAAACAAATATTACAAAAGTCAATGAGTCTGCAAAGATTGTAATTTTTCTCTAGCATTCCAGTGAAAAACTCTGCACACACGTGGGGAAAGAAATAAACACAATAGAATTCAAAATTAAATAATAATTAAAAAAATATTACAAAGGCAACGAAAATCAATGAGTCTGCAACGATTGTAATTTTTCTTTAGCCTTCGATAATAAATTTCTCATAATTGTTAATGAAATATAGTAAGTTTTAATAAAATAAAGCCTCTTGAAAATAAATATAGCACACTAAATATCAAACTACATACATCTTAAAATGAGTTAAATGCTTGTTTGAATCAAAATTTGAAATCATCAATTTGCAAGTTTTCTGAAGATAACACAAGATCTTTAAAATAATTTTTATTTACCTTTGATGTTAGAATTCAATTTTCAGTATGTTGCAGTCCATCATGCACATACTAAGTACATAATATTTTAAGTTTCCAAAAGAATTATAATTTACAGCTAATTAAAAAAATCCCTTACAGTACAATATTTCCAATTCTGAAAAATTTGATCATAAATAGATGTAGCTAGAATATATATTGCTGTAAAAAATATTTTATGAAAATAAAAAATTTAAAATATTGAAAATTCTATAAAAAAATAAATAATAGATAAAAACTGACCCTAAATGGTTTTATTTAAAAAAATTTGCACTAAAAATCATACATTTGTTTAGTGTAACATTTATTCCAGACTTTATTTGAGGCTGAAAATTTTAAAATATAAAATATTTAAAATAATATAAAAGTTATTGTGCAAGGGTCATTTTTAATTATCTGTAAATAACCCATTCATAAACCAATATCACACTAAATTTAAATTTTTTAATGAAACTTTGCAGATAAGATATTAAGTATATGTATAATGGACACAAAAAATAAGTTTCTTAAGTCCATGAAACACGTTTTTTTTTTTATTACTGTCATAAAACCAGTAGCAGGGTCTGATCATCAGAGGACCCTAAAATGTTACAAAAAAAATTTTTTTTTTTGTATTTTACTTCAAAATTGTGAATTAAATTTAAGAGTAAACAAAAATTGAAATAAATATTAGCAAAAATTTACAAATATATTATAATTTGTAAAGAATTTAAAAGCATTTTCTAAATCAACAACAGGTAGATTTGAGGACCAATAGTGCCCCAAACAGTTTTTTGCTCAGGACCCCTTGATTTCTAAACTAAGCCCTTGCCAGCAAATTTATTTAGCATTACCAATATTTATTCAATATTAATAAAAATTATGAATTAATATCAGAAATATTAAGTTATTATTTTTCATCAATATCAATATTTCACGAATTAAAGACCCTAAGCCATTGAAAAAGCTGTTAAACAAGTGACTAATGAAATACAAGAATTAAGCACATTTAACCTGCATTAAGCAATTTTTTAGATGATAAAAATATATTCATCTCATAATTAGTTTCTTGCACTTATTAGTTTGAGTAACATTTAATAAAATTATTAAAATATAAACAAATGACTTGTTGAATTTATGTAATTAATTTGATCATGTCTTTACATATAAAAGTATTAAGATTCTAGGCTATTTGAAATTTTTTTGACTGTATTACACTTATAATCAGGAGATCACTCATAAAATTTTAATCATTAATAAAATGACTAACTGGTACCCCAGGCCTGTTTCTTTAAAATATTTTTATCCTATAATATTTTCCTCTATAAGAAATAAAACATTCAGTCAAATAAAGCACTCAATCATAAGAAGCATTCAATCAAATAAAGTTCTTTTTATAATTCAGAATATAAAAATTAGCAAAAACGATTACCTTTTATACTTTGCTGATGAAAATTCAAACTAAGTGTGATCTTAATGAGAGGTAAACAGAGAGTCTGTAAACAATATAAAAATAAGAAATAATTAAAAGAACGTTTATTTCAATAAATAAAAAAATGATTGAGAATTTTGAAATACTACATCAATTATGAAAAAATATTTTTTCTCTTGTCACATAAATAGTTTTATGTATATTTAAAAATCATTAACAATTCTGAAAGTACGGTTCATATTACTTGCATATACAGTGGGCCAGGTTGTTGGAGACAAAATTGGCTAATAGTGTTAGCAAGACTGAAAAATCCTTTTTTAACAACTAAACTTTAATAATAGCAACACTAATTTTCACTTCAAAATCATGGTAAATGAATGGTTTGATTTAATAATTATTGACAGGAAAAATTATTCAACAATTTCAAAGAAACTTAATGTATCAATAAAACTAAACAAAATATAGTAATTTAAGTGTAAACTCATATTTTGAAGCATTTCATCATAATAATTTTAAAAATTTATTTTAGGGAACTAAAGATTTGAGTACAATTTTAAAGTGTATACATGTTTTCTTAAGTACATTATTAAATTTATAACAATGATTCAACATGAAAAATTTAACATATTAAAAATTAAGTTGCTTATTAAAAATAATGCAATTTACCTGTCTTAAAACAATGCAGATCTACTTTCGGTTCATCAATTCATGTTTTATTCACATACACTTTCTGATATCTTCAAAGGAAGACTATGTTATAGTAAAGGATAGAATTCGCATCAACATTTGATAGTGGAAGAGCAAAAATCTGTAAAAATATAAATATAATTTTATAAACCAAGCTTTAAAAAACTAAACATAGAATTTATTACATGTGAATGGCTAACGAATTAAAAAATCGAAACCCATCGAGATACACAGACATAAAGCATAAGTTTTAGTGACAGTTGCTTGAATAGCCTGTTTATCTATGATTGAAATAAAAATATGTGTGCATTATACAATCTTACGAAACACTGCTTATCAGAGGGTTTATGCTTACTCTTTGTGCGTTTCATATATTAGCATTAAAATATCCTAGTTAAAAAAAAATCCCCTCCTGGCTTTTTAATTGCTAAAACACAAACAAAGTTTTGTTTGTTTTTTTCATTTTATTGAAGTTGCCATATAAACAAAAGCTTGATAAAACTTTAATCGCAATAGAAATTTTTTAAAATTGCTCACATATTAATTATAGGCATCAAAAGAGTTATTTAACATACACATTATTTTAGATAAATACAAAATTTTATCATTGATTCCGAAGAAAGGGTGCAATTTTCACTTTCGAAAGCACGGGATGAAACGTTTTAGATATATTTTCAAACAGTTCTTATCAAATCTTATCTGTAGTTTCTATTTCCGTTGATTATCAAGTTAAATTCATATCTATATTGACATTTATTGAACTAAACATTCAAAATACAGAATATTGCGAGCATATATATAATTTTAACTGCGACTGTATAAACAATTAAACGTCTTGTTTTGTGTTATGTTTTTGTTGATGTTTCATTTCATTTGACACCTCGCGTGGTTTTCGTTGGTATTAGTCTAATATGACTAATAAATCTAAACAGAAAAGAAAAACCGAAACGGCTCCAAAAAATAGTGAACTTTATACCGATACCTCATTATTGAAAAATGATGAAATAAATACGGAAGATAACGACGTGTCACTTGAAGATCAACAGTTGTATGACCGGTTTGATACTATGGTTAATTCAAAAAATGATTTACTGTGCAATGGAAGCGAAATGACAACTAACAAAAAATTATTAAAGGTGATTTTCAGACGCAGATTGTCTAAATTTGTTGATTATTTAGAAAGACCCATCATTATTTTGTATTAATTAAGTTCGAAACCTAATTAAGGTTACAAATGTTCCAGCTGAGGTTTAACTAATTTCTGCCACTTTATACCAATAAATAAGGGAGAAAAAAGATTTATTTATCTATATCAGAATTTTTTTCTCACAATTTAATTGTTTAACTCTCTTCTAGCATTTGTTTGCAATTTTCATTTTAGTGTTTTCTGTGTAAAATGTTTAAAAAAATAAAAACCAAAGCCTGGGACCTGTGAAAAGTGTGCGAGACACAGTTTTTTCAACGACGTGAAGAATTTAAAAAACACAAAATTTTTAGACACTCATAATTTAGTAAAGACTAGTAATTCATTCTTTGGAAGTATCACATATTTAAGGTTATCATGAATACACTCTCCTTCATTTATATTTGATGTTGCCTAGGTTTTAGTAACCTAAAAAAAAAAAAAAACACACACACAAATTACAATTTGTATAAAGTATTAAAAAGAATCTATAGATGTTTTTAAAATGTTGTAAGTTTAAATGAAATTAAAAGGAAAATATTATGGATTTCTTACATGTCACAAAACTTGTTAAACAGAATAAAGGGTTTTCCTTTCTGTTTATTCTTGAAAGCCAATTAAATTGTATTATTTTCTATGCTCAACTCTTTTTGTTTTTTTGACAAAAATTTTACGAGATACTGAGTAAGTAGGTAATCTTTTTTAATAATAAAAGAAGAGGTATAGGTGCCTTATGATTGATTGATTCGAGGCTATAAAATCGCTTATGCAAAATTAATGGGCACACGTAAATTCAAGTGTGTGTGTGTGTTTTTTTTTTGGTGACAGATTTTTTTTAAAAAAAATGAAAAACACAACAATATTAGATTGGATTTTTTTTTTAAAATAAAAACACAAGGGAAATATTATGGCTTTCTAGTATGTCACTTAACTAGTTAAACAGAATATAGGGTTTTCCTACCTGTTCATTCTTTAGAGGAAATTTTTGTACTATTTTCTTTATTCAACCAATTTTTTAAACAAAAATTTAACAATAGGAACTTATTTTAAGCATTGGTGTCTAAGCAAGTAATATTTTTTTTTTAACAATAAAAGTGATCTAGGTGCTTTATAATTTATTGATTTGAGGTGATAAGGTTACCTATGCAAAGTTATTGGGCACAAGTAAATTCAACTGTTTTATTTTTTTAGGTGATGAATAATTTTTTAAAAAAAAAATGAAGATATTAAATAAATAAAATAGCTCAATTTACTTGTGTGGACTAAATGGAAAAATGCCTATTTTTTATTTATTTTAATTTATATTACCTGAATTTGTGTCTAGAAAAAACACATGCGTCATTCATATTATTTTATTCATTTTACTTTCAAATTGAATCAGCATTTCATTTACAATTACAGTTTTTTTTTTTCATGTTATTGTAGTACCTCAACATTCTTGTATATTTAAACATTTAAATTAAATACATTCAAGCTGGTAAAATAAACTCCAATGAAATGTCAAAAATTTCTCTATTTGATATTGATTTTTTTTTTACTATTTTAGGAGAAAAAGTCTTCCAAAGATGATGCATCAACTAGCAAAGATCAATATCCAAATACTTTTTTTAATCAATCGGACAAACCTCCCTCCTTCCATTTTGAAGTAGATTCTGCTGCTCTTTTAATGTTTCTAATTGCAATTTGCACTCGTATGTGGCGATTAGAGGAACCTAAAGGAATTGTGTAAGTATATTCAAGACTTTTTTTTGTTGCCTAAACTGGTAGTGTAGGAAAAATGCTGCTTTGGCCATTTAATAGCCACATTTACCTAACAAGCACCAGACTCCTAACCTAAAAATCACTTCTTTTTTTTTTGTATTTTACAAGGGATTTTTTTTTTTTTAATAAGCTGATTTTTATCTTGTATAATTTTTTTTGTTTGTAAACTCGTGTCCTTCTATTTTGTGTCTATTGTTTCTTCTATTGTTAATGTAAAATTCAATTGCAATGAAAATGCTAATGTCTTGAGGTTGTAATATCCTCCTAAATCAACTCCTTTTTCTATTAATTTTTTTACTGTTTTCTTACCTTCCAGCTGTAAGTATAAACCTTCATTATAAGAAGTGGTAAAAACACAATGGCGATAATGATTAAAATTATTTAATATCATCAATGATTGAATTTGATAATATTTGTGTGAAACAACCAAAACAGAAAAAAAAATTTCAGAGTGCTTGCAAGAAATCACTAGAGAAAATAGTGAATAAAAAAATTAACTAGATTTTAAAATTACTGCGGTTTTATTTGTCAATACTTTTAACTGAGCTTTAATGCATCAACTTTCTTTTCTATGAACTTGATGTTTTTTTTTCCTTCAGAAATATCGATTTCTGGTGATAATCTTGAAATTGCAATTAATGATATAATTTGTAAGTAAAAGTTGCATTTATTATTTATATTGGTGTACTTTCTTATGCTCCTGTTATTTTATTAAGGAAAGGATTACACAAATATTTTTTATTCAGTGTTTAAATTTTATATACTATGGTGAAGCTTTCTTAGGTATTTTGCATATGTTGTGTATGCCAAGAGGGTATTATGTATGTTGAAGATTTCAGTCAGAAAAAAAGAAAGAAAACAATTTTCAGTCTTGGACTTTTTTTCCAACTTGCACTCAGTCCCGCAGTGGACTGATCGTTAAGACACGGTTCCCAGCAGATCACCGAAGTCAAGCATCACTGGCTACGGTCAGTGTGCGGGTGGGGGACCACTTGGATCAGTCTGCGTAAGGACCGAGAGTGTGCAGTATTGGTTCTCGTTTAACTGTGCTACTGTAAAGTGCTCGACTTCGCGCGCAGGTTGTCGGGGTATCGAAGCGGGGGTGCCATCCCCTCCGCAGAGGATCAAAATTATGATGGCATGTCTTCAGATCAACCTTCGGGATGTTTCCCAGACCGTCGCCAATAGCCCATTGTGCAGCTCTAGTGCGACGTAAATTAACAACAACAACCAACTTGCACCCATGCTTTAATTTAGATTTGGTGCAGCAATATTTCATAATTTATGCTTATATTGTAAATCAAATATAGCTTTTAATATCATTTTTATGTATAGCAAAAATAAAAAAATTAAATAAAGATCTATTGCAAAATAATAAAAGAGATAGAAAATAGTGCAAGTGTCCTTAACATTTTCTACCATTTAATTTCTTTTTTTTTTTCCTCATTAGATTTGATGAGCTACATTATGGAAAATTTGCAAGCATGTATATGAAAAGAACATTTTTCTTTGATTCTCATCCACCTCTTGGAAAACAATTAATTGCTCTTGCGGGTAAAAACATTTATTATTTTTTTGTAAGCAAATCTTTAATTTTGCTTCATATCATATCACAATATTGTTTATATTTTCACAAAACTATTTCAGTGTTGCAACTCCACAGAGAGAATAGGGAAAACCTGGAAAATACAGGGAATTTAAAAATCATCTAAAATAACAGAGAAAATGTAGGGAATTTTTTAGTTTTTCCTTACAAACTGGGAAAATGAAGGGAATTTTTTTCTTTTTTTTTCATTTTTTAAAAAGTGGTGACCACTAAAAGTGCATTCTATGGGATATTTAAGGATGATATTACTGCTATTCTAAGCTATTAAGATTTGCTGTAGCATTGCTTGTTTTCAATATGTTCAGCCGTTCCTTATTTCTTTAAGTTTTTTCTGCAATTAAAACAAGTCTAGCTAACCCAATATAGCTCACACACAAAAGCCCAGTGATTGTGTGTTTCCTCTTAATATGTTACGTATAATGTCTACAGGGAAAACACAGTGAATTTTTTTCCAGATTTGAGGTGCAACCCTCTATTTGCACTTACAGCATGCACAAAGCAACTTGATTAATGTTTTCCCTTTTATATATGGATTTAATTGAACTATACTGCATGTTTTTAAAAAAATATCTGCTTGAATTTTAAAATAACTTATTTAAATTCCACTTTGTTTTACTGGTGACATTTACATTAGATTTTCTTAAAAGTTTCTAGTGTTTGTTGTTCATCTAGTCTATACATGTATATACGCTTTATCTCTTCAAGTGTCTNCGCAAATTCAACGGTAGTTTCACAAAATACTTTTTCTTAAAATTTTATTTTTGTATCTCTTAAGAACATTGGGTAACTGCTGGACAGCAAACCAGAGAACATTGGGTAACTGCTGGACAGCAAACCAGATAGATTGAGCAGCTAGAATTAATATTCAAAGTCAGGGGTCTGTCCAGGCCGAATTTACTACCGTTTAGCGATACCTTCTCAAATTCAATTTTAGGTAAAACGGTAGTTTCACAAATTCAACTTTAGGAAAAGCAGTAGTTTCACAAAATACTTTTTCTTAAAATTTTATTTTTGTATCTCTTAAGAAAGGATAAATCTATATTTTTACCATGTTTTTGTATTGATTTTTTAATATAATTTTTAAATTTTCACAAATTATGTCTAAATTTTCACAAAACAGGTACCTTTCAGAAAAATCTAGACAGACCCCTGAAAGTATCTCTGATGAATTCATTATAAAGCATCATCATTAGATCTATTTACATTTTCAACTATTCGGTCATTCTGACTGCACTTTTTAAACTCACTCAGCTTACTAGTCTTCAGGGGCTAGAGCTCACAAAATTTATTCTCCAAACTTTTGGAAATATTTATCACTGGCATAGACAAGACAACAACAACATTAGATTAATCAAGCATTCAATTTTTAAATTTTTTTTTCCATCTCTCAGATTAATAAATAATTAGGTTTGATATGAGAAGATTCAATATGAAAATTGTTAAGAAAAATTACTGTTATTAATCATCAAATTATGTTTCAGTAGGACTATTATTATTATATTATTTGGATCAGTTAGTGCTGTAAAAGCATCAGATAAAAAGGCAATACCTTGGTTTTATGTTTTCCGTTTTGTAGGTTATCCTGCTTCCTACGTCATTTTCTGCTGGGCTGTAAAAATTGCCTTTCCTGCTAACGTTGAGTTTACGCTACCCTTGACAAAATGCCGCTTTATATGTTTTTCCTCACAAATCAAAAAAAAATTTTTCTCTATGAAGCTCACACAAACTTTTTCCAAGTTTTTTCCTGTTCTGACATCCTTTCTGTTCTATCTTATTGTGAGAGAGGATTTCTCTTTTGAGTCGAAATCACGAGAGTGATGGTATGCGCAAAGCACGGGAAGCGAGGTTAAATGAAATATGGAACTTTAATTTGAGAGTGGATTTTTCTACCCAGCTAACTTCAATCTTGAAATTTTCAAATCATTTAAAGTACGTTACACTAAAATACTCATTTAGTAACTAAAACTAAACTCAGCGGCGCAACAGCCCTAGAGAGCCAAGGCCTACTGTGCCCATCTCAGTTTTCTTGACTTTGGGCTGTGGGGTGCAGAAGCAGATGTTCCGGTCAGGTGGTCAGCCGAACGCGGAACCCCCAGTGTTTAGTTCCCAAGCATGCTTGGTACTCATTTATCGACCCACTGAAAGGCTGTCATTTAGTAACTACTCGTTTGCTAACTTACACTAAACTACATATTCTTTTTCTTGATTTTCATGGCCTACACCAGTGTTCCCCAACCCCCAGTCCGCGGACTGGTACCAGTCCGTGGATCAAATGGTACTGGGCCATCCATTTCATTGAATCTGAATTTAAATTTCTAGGTTTATACCCCAAATTAAAAATATTTGTGTTCCATTAAAATTTTATTTATTTAAAAAAAAGGGGCCCATTAATTTTTTTAATGTTTTAAAAAGTGAAAAAAGAAAAGAAAAAGACCGCAACTATTTTCTCTTTCAATTAGTTTTAATAAAAGAAAATCAATCATCATAACTTTAAATATCATAAATAAAACACGAAAACGCCCCACGAAATTTACATTGGAACTAATGAAGAACTTCGTCTTCTATCTCCATCATGACTAATTGATTTAACGTTCTAGTAAGTTAAAATGTTAAATCCCTTCATATTCTGTATTTTATTTTGAAGTCATGTTTAAATACAAATAAATTAAAGTAATCTAAAATATAAACAATCAACGCCTTCCCCCCCTAGTGGAACGCGGCAAAATTATCAAATGTTGACAGGTCCCCGGTGATAAAGAAGTTGGGAACACTGGCCTACACGATGCAAAATTAAGCAAAAATAAATGCTCTGGTGCTCTAAATTTGATTTTTATAGCACTGGACAGTGTATCTACATTTCAAATACGTTTAATAACGCTTCTTGGGGTTAATTGCTTCTTGTGATCCAACGGGAATATTGGCCCTTCATGATAAGATTGTGTTGCTAAAAAAGGTGATGACATGTATATCCACTGCAACACACGTCTCATAACTTTTTAATTTCTTCAATATCTGATTTATTGACTGCCAATGATAGTTATGAAAACGATGTAGATGATTAAAAAATATCAGAGGATATACTCTGAAAATCGCATAAAAACTGTGAAACAATATTTATTTGCGAATGTAAACCAAAAAGCAAATTTGCAAGCAATATAGCAAGTGCTAAGAGGGATATCTAGAGACCAAGAACAAGTAAAAATTGCACTTTTTCTTCAATAGTTCATCTTGTAAATGCCAGTATTTGAAAATTATACTCTTATTATTTTGTTTTCACTTTGATTTTACGTTTTACCGCTTTTTGCGTTTTTTAACGTTATTCCCATGGAAAAGGTAAAATTGAGTATAACTTCAAGTAGAAACTTCTATAAAGGAGATCGTGTATGATCAGCATTACTACTCATTGTCTTCCTTTTCATCCAAGACAAGCTGGTGCCCATCAATCAGAAACTAGGTGGGCTTCATGTCAACATCACAGATAGAATCCTAGCTCTTCAATGACAGCTCAAAAATTTCTATAAGTGCATAAAATTTTTACCTTTGAGAAAAGAAAATGTCGAACAATAAACTAATTAACCATTGTCTTTTACTCCCTAAAATGTACAAGGACTGTCTTGTTTTGAATGTCAAATATCTCTTTTTTTATTTATACTGACGAATGAATTTTTAAGGATGGGACATATGATATTTTTAAAATTTATACGTAGTTTTTTTGGAAATAATATCGTTCAAATATCAGAAATAGAGTAGTATACTTTAATGTCATTCTTATTGATAAAAGACTACACTAGTTTTTAAAGTTATTTCTTAGATTTTAATACGTGTTTTAAGCAGTTGAGTAATCAAAACATTTATTTTGCAATTATTCATTATTAGTTAAAAGTATTTTTTCTGAAATTTTTAGGTTATTTAGCTGGTTATGATGGTAACTCTCAGTTTGAAAGAATAGGTGGTGGTAAGTAAAGTTTCATATTAATAAACATGTTTTTTTTTTAAATTGTTTTTTAAGGATTATTTTTTAAATTATACTCTGTTTATTTTGTAACCCTACCATTTAGCCAACAACTGAATCTTTAGAGCAATTACTAATGCAATTATTATAGTAAGTTATTTGTAGAAGTGTGCCATGTGTGTAGGGCACAAAACTGTTTAAGCAATATTGACTAGGGATAAGATAAGAAAAGTAAAATTTGCTAAGACATTTTAATAACTGAAGTATATTGTGTTATGAACTTACATGAAAAATTCATGGCATTATGAAAGTTCACTGAGAGATTATATAAAAAATCAAGCAATAAAATAATCAGACTCAAATTTTAATTCATTAAAATCTGGTCATGATCGTTTAACTGTTTCATGATGTTCTTCAATTTTTAATGAGGAATAAAACTTTTAATTTTTGTGCAATTTAATGAATTTTAATTTTTATAAATTATTATTTTTCATGAATTAATTATTTTTTTAGTTGTTTTTTTCAAATACAATTTTTGAAAAAAGTGGTATTGGTTTGGATTAGCCGAGTCTCGTAGTATCGGTATTCATATCTCTTTTCGAGTTATAGTAAAATATACTACGTCTTTTAGTTTTATCAGTTCAAACCTTGTTAAATGTTAATTCTAGTATACCCATAATAGTTACTACATCTATGTGTTTGCATATTTGGGAATAATCTATAATAAATGGTAATTTTTTATACAATTAAAGGCTTGGGACAATATAGGGGTAAGCCAAATTTTTTTTTTTTTTTTGAAATATCAAATTTTTACATCAAATTGTTCTTTAGCATTGTTACCAAATGGGTACTTTACAAGTCTTTTGAATTTTCACTAAATAACAATCTACAAAATCATACATAGCCTACTTTCATAGAGAAAGTGGTATTTTACACTAAAAATACCATAAATATTTTAAAAATGTGATTAATTTTGATCAAAATCCTTCATATGTATTTCATGTTTGAAGTATCTTATTTATTTACTATATTAGAAATATAGCTTATATTTTTATTATATGTTTAATTTATTGCAGAATACTTAGCTACTGTTCCTATTCGTGCTTTAAGAGCAATTCCTGCATTTTTTGGAAGTTTACTTATCCCTACAGTTTATTATCTTATCATTGAGTTGGGTTTTACTCATAGAACAGCAGTATTAGCTGGAATACTCATAATTTTTGGTGAGTAGGTCTAAGTATATCTAGCTTTGAATGTCTGAACTTTTTGTTTCAATTAATCAAATGAGTTTTAAATATTTTTTTAGAAAATGCCTATTTAACTCAGTCCAGGTTCATTTTAATGGAAAGCATGCTCATTTGGTTCTCTGCATTTGGTTTACTATCGTACCTGAAATTCAGAAAAATTGATAGGTATTTATGAGTGTCTATCTCTTGTTTTCATTATGTTTTTAAAAGGTAATGGCTACTGTTTAAAAATGTTGAATATAATCAAGGCTAGGATGTTGATGACTTAAAATTTTTTTATTTAAATGGAAAAAAAAATGAAGAAATCCAAAAAATGATCTTTTAATAGAAAAGTTTCATTTAGAAACAAGTTTCATATTATAACTTGTTTTTATAAATTGTAACTTGTACTTATAAACTTAGTAAAAAAAGATAATAATAAAAATAAATATGTAATTTATGAACCAAATAAAATGTGAATAAATACCTGATAAAGATAAATAAGAAAAAATACATTTTTAATTATAATCTTCAAGAGCGTCAGAAAAGCACTTTATTATCAAATGTTTTTTTAATATTCTTCAAATCAAAAGATTGGTTTACAAAAGTAAATTTGTTGTATTTTGAAAAACTCTGTCTGATGTCAATACTTGTTAATGGAAAATATTTGTAATAACAATATGTTAGAATGATGCAATAAAATTTAGCAAATTACTTGGCGTATATTTTTATAGGGACATTCTTACCCAAAGACAGCAATAACTGTATAAAAGCAGAAATTATTTCTAGCTAAAGCAATAAAAACTTTGATTGGAACAAATTATGATAAGTTTTAATTTTATTAGTTTAGAACAAATAACTATTCTTAAAAAACTTGAAATAGAAAATCATTTACTGCCATTAAAATAATGTGTAGGTTGCTGATATGGAACACCAACAGCATTGAGCTTGCCGACTCATCGCATAAAAATATTTTTAATGTTCAAATGTTTTTTTAAAAAAATTATTATTTATACATTTAAAAACTGTTTTCTTTCACCAATGACTGTTAATTCTGTCAGATCATCCTCATCATTTCTACTGTCAACCTGTTTATTTACTATTGTAAATGTCACAGGGCTGATTGTGCTCCGGAAAAAATCCAGATTTCCGGAATTTTCGCTAACAGTGATCCGGAAGTTTCCGGAGATCGAAGGTCCAGATGTTTAAAAAAATCATTGATCACTGAAGTTTCCGGAAATCAAACTTTCAAAGGTGGAACTTAAAAGCACAGTTTATTTTATTTGTTCGTTAGGGAGAGCCAGAGGGATACTTTATGAGCTTATATTCATGATTAATATTCATTTTTTATCAGTAAATAGTTGTTATAATCATAAACTCAAGAAAGAAAGACATATTTGTAAATTTTAATTACTTCTCCAGGTCATCATAGGTATGTGTAAATGGTATAGGTATGTGTAAAATTTTAAATATATTTTAAGCAAACTAAGAAATATTGAGAAAAAAGAGAAAAAAAACCTTGTTTATATTTTTTTCCAATTTTTCAATTTAATCATTTTTTTCTTCTTTTTTTTTTTACTCAAGAAATTTTCCGGAATTTTGACTTGGGCTCAAAATCACTCCTGATGTCATCAAAGCAAATTATAATGCATGAAATGCAAATGGTCTAAATAGTCCCAGTTTGAGTTGCTCTTAATTAAAGGCAATTTTTACTCAATGGAGAGAAATAGGTAGTTGCTGATAATTCAGGCAACTATGGTTTCTGTATGACACCAACAATTTTGGTGGCAGTTGAAGATACAATTGCGCTTATGATTGACTTGCCGGCTTCATTGGTGATAATTTTCATTGTGTGATATCCCTATAAGACTAACTATTGGAAAACACTTTAATGCTTGTATGATAAAGGTTGAATTTCATTTTTGCTATGATCTATTTATGAATACATTTCTTAATAAAGTTTTTTTTCTAAAGATAATTTTTTAACATCACTTTAAGGTGACCTTTAAGCTTTCTATAAAAAACCAACTTTTGTTTTAATCTGACATTGCAGCTATCCTATTTTCAACGGTTTTTTTCTTTGTTTAATAAAATGTCTTTTTTTTTTAATAGATCATTTAGTTTAAACTGGTGGCTATGGTTTCTATTAAGCAGTGTGTCTCTTACTTGTGCGATATGGTATGTAACATTATTGATTTATATTAATTGTTATCTTTAAATTCGTGATACTTTGATTTTAACTGCACAAATATTTATTTTCAGTGTCAAATACTCTGGGATTTTCTCAGCTTTTCTAGTGATTACTCTTGTAGTCTCTGATTATTGGAAGTTAATAGCTAATACAAGTCTTAGTACTGTAAGTGTACATCTTTTGCTTCTCGTTTAATGAATGTGTGATTTATTGATTTTTTTTAACTCAAAAAATCTATAATGCTATGTTATTACTTAAACTTCTTTATTTAATGCAACCAATTTGTTTTACTAAGTATTATATTTTTAATAATAATATTACTTGGCTTTCTTTATGAAACCCTTTCCTTACATTAATAGCTTGTTAATCATTCTCTATTTATGATTTTTACTCCCTATAACTCAATTTGTTATTTTTTAAAAAAAGGTATTCAATATTTCATATTTGAAAAATAATTAAATGAAATTGAAATTAATCACTTCCTAGAAGGTAACAGTTTCTCCCCTTTTACTTTGCAATCTATACGTCTTAATTGGTCGTAAGAAATTCAGTCACAGTAAGAAAAAGAGATACTATTTATGGAAACGAGTGAACTTGCTTTCTTTGGTTTATATTATATGCGTCAATGCTTCATCCCAATGCATTAGAATTCGGAAATGAAGGAAATCAAACTACAAGTATGCATTCAAATTTATTTAATTCATTTAAAGCTCACCATGTTCTGGGATTTTATTCTAAATTCTTGTTTATTATTGTCAGAGTTTGTTTGGAAAATTTTTCACCTAAAGATATCAAAGTAAAAAATAAAAACTCTTACTATGGTGTGAAAAATGAATCTTATTATGATGGGTTTAGAAATATAATCATGAACAAGAAGGCTATAACACTGAGGTCTGTCATCAGAATAGCCTTTTATCTATATCAAAAGGGAACATTCTCAATTGATATAAATCTTTGAACTCTATATTAAAAATATAGTTATTATTATTATAAATATTTGAATACTTAAAAAAAAAAAAAAAATTTAATGTCGAAGGCTAACACCAGTCCTATGTGATTATCTTGGCTCTATTATCAAACTCTTGCATTGTCAATAATAAGTATTGTGTGCTATCTTATCACAAAACAATGTGTAATAAAATGGATGCATTTTCATTTAATATATATTAATTAATTCCTCTTATGGAAATATGTTGCAACTTCTAACAAATGGTTTCTTGAAGAAAAAAAAAACTTTTGCCAATTGATCTCGTGTCTTGGAAAGACACAATTAGCCTATTTATACTTAAAAATGAAAATTTGTCTTGTTTGCTAGTTAAAAGGAAAATAAAGTCATTATGTTTCAAGCCCCTAAAACACAACGCTTTGCCTAGGAGGACAAATCAGTGATGAAAAATTTAAAAACATGCTAGAGTGTTAGATTTTAGTATTGACAATAATATTAATTTTTCTTTGAGAGAAGGGTTTAGATCTACTGTTGTTAGTATAATTAGTAATAAACTTAATATTTATGAATGTGATGTTGAGATATGACATGATTGCAGTTAATTTAAATAGTTATGAATTGGAAAAACTAATTTTTGCTTCTTGTTAACAAAAATAAGATAAAATAATTTAAAAAAAAAAAAAACAAAAACAGCATGAAATAATTTAGCAAAGCAATTTGTCTAAACATAGCATTTAGCAAAGCAGTTTATCTATGCTAAGTGGTCCTGCACTTGAATTCTACATAAATTGTATTTGGGCAATTAAGAATCTTTTTTATTCTTAATTATCTTTTTTAAAATTGTTTTTCAGAAATGATATTAAAATATAATTAAAATAAAGAAAAAAGGATAACTTTAAGTATTAAAGCTTTTTACCAGTACAAAATTAGTAACATATGTATGAAAAATTATTCTCTGAAATAAAATGCAATGTTTTATAGTACTTTGAACAACTTTAAAATTTATATGCACATAAGTAATACACATAAAGAGTAAATACTGATAAAAAAATAATTTTGCGCATTTTTTAGGGAATCCAAAAGGTTGTTTCAATTCAAATCAATTCAATACACAAAAAATGATAAATTAAAAGATAGAACTTACATAATCATTATTATTTTTCATAACCAAAAAATTAGTTTCATTTTATTCATAAATTAAAGAATATTTTTACAAATAAGGAATATTTTTTATAAATAAGAAATATTTTTATTTTGTTAATATTTGCTTAAAATTAGTTACATGAATTTTGAATAAATATTTGTTTTAAATATCTAAAAAGTCTTATCTTTTTCTTTAACAAATCTGTTAAAAATTCTTCTGTCTTTTGTTTGAATATGTCTTGGTGATATCTATTTTTATGTTTTATTCTTCAAAATTTTAAAGGAAATAAAGTTTTAAAATTTAACTTTTATAATGTAACATATTTTTTTAGGTGCAGTTATTATTTCACTTGTTGGCAAGATTTGTAGCAATTTTCGTCGTGCCTCTTTTCATTTATCTTTTAATATTTTATATTCATCTGAAAATTTTAACTAAAGCTGGACCACATGACAATATAATGACGAGCGGATTTCAAGCTAGCTTAGAGGTATAGCTCTTGAATTTATATTTATCCTTTCTCTTGAATCCATTTAGTACTGCATGAGTTAATTTATTTTGTCAATTAACCATTTTTTTTAAAGTTTTATTATTAAATAATATGTTGTTAAGATCCATTTACTGAACAAAACTTACTGTTTTTTTTTTTTACTTTAATGATTAGGAATGTTGTTTTTACAGCATTTTAATTCTATTTTGTATGTTTACAATTAAATTTTTGATTATTTCCCAAAGAACTAGAGCTCTCAACTTTCTACGTGGGTTCTATGCAGAATGACAGTAAAAGGTTTAATTGTTTTCCTAACCTATACTCGTAGAATTTATGATCATTTTAGTTTTGAACTCTTTACTTTCAGTTAATTTGCTCAAATTCAAACTAGAGCTCTAAATTATGTAAAAATATAAATTTCTATTATTTCTTGACCACTATACAAGCAAAATGAATTGAAATTTGAAATTTTGCCATGTTTTTACTTGCTTGAATGCTAAAATTTTAATAATTATTGTGTTTAAATTAGCATAACTAATTATGCAAAATAAATTTGCATAAGTTTTGATAATGAGAATTTATACCAAATGTCCCCAAAATTACTGACAAATTATAAAAGATCAATTAGGTATAAAGAATTATATTACATTAAAATTAAAGAATTATATTAGTATGATACAGTTTGCCTTTCGCTTAAGAAACTATGTAATTTTTTCACGTTATGTTTCAAGAATTCCTAATTTCCTCAATAGATGGTGCTGCTGACTGGAAAAACTTAAAACAAGGTTTGCGGCTGCATATCAGACTTCTTAATTTTATCCTTAGACTGTACTACATTTTTTTAAAAAATAAATAAAATTTTGTACTACATTTGCTTTTTTGCTTAATATGAGAGCATTCTTTTTTAGTTTTTCTCAGCTTGTAGTACCTTCTCTTGAGGAACTTTTGAAACTTGGAATGTAAAAAATACCTGGTTACCTAGGCAGAATGTAGTAAACTCAAAATTTTTATCTACTTCTATTTTTCTTTAATTTATTTTTCAAATTTTTGGTCATTTTTTAAAAATACAGGACTATTGAATGTATGTTTACAAATGCGTATTTCCCTATTTAGGGAGGCTTAGCATCAATAACTAAAGGCCAACCTCTTGATGTTGCTCATGGCTCCCAAATTACTTTGCGCCATACTCATGGAAGAGCTTGTTGGTTGCACTCTCACCTTGCAGTTTATCCATTGCGCTATCCGGACAAACGAGGAAGCTCTCACCAACAACAGGTTAATGCATTTTCCTTTGAAATTTAAAATGTATTTTTCAATTTATTGTTATGCCAAGTTAATTTTTTATTAATTATATAAAAAAAATTCTGTATTATGCTAGCATGGAGGCTGATGACACTTTTATACAGTATTAGTTTAAACTTAATTGCTTGGGCTGAGATAGCTTGATTGGTAGGGCACTGTGTCCATGTCCAAAAGGTCATGGGTTCGATCCCCGCCGGCCGAAGACTTCCCGTGTAGTAAAAGGTGACTGATGCATGTTAAATCTGACGAGTCACAATCTTCATGTTCCCATAACAAATCATATCTTTGGGGGTACTGATCTAGGAGTTTCCTTGTCTTATGGATTGGTTCAAAATTACAAGGCTACTTAGTTGAACATTAGTATTAGTAAACCCAAGATTGGGTCAGCTGTTCAATGATGATTATAAAAACGTAATTGCTTTAATTGTGATGGCTATAAGGATGGAGCATTTGCCCTCCAATGAGGTGAACGGGGTTCGAATCCCAGCGAAGACTGGTTGATACAAAGCCGCATCCGAATTGCACCAACTACAGTGCTGAATAAATATCCTCAGTGGTAGACGGATCATGGGTTAAAGTCCATTCGCCGTCACCAGGATTTCCCTTGTCTTCTGGATTGGGTTCAAAATTACAAAGCTACGAAGTTAAATGTTAGTAGTAAACCCGAGAAGTAGTCGTAAACCCGAAATTTGGTCGGCTGTTCAACGCTGGTCGTAAAAAAAACTTAATTGGTTTATGTACAAACTTGTGTCTTAATTGTTTTTAACAATTATCTTGTTTGAAATTATCAATTTTGTATTTTCTTCGCGTTTTTTTTCCTCCCCAAATTGTATAACCTATTTCTATTATTAATTTGCTCTAAATATTCGTATGTTTTAAATTCGTACATCAAAAATTTGGTTTCTTTCTTTAGTGTCTTACTTTTTTATTTACTGTAAACAAACTAATGTATAATGCAAATAAGGTAATTAGCATAAGTAGCTGTAAAATAAGTTATTAAAAGAGAGTTACAGCTATTTTAAATATATTATGAGCATTGCCGAAATTCTGAATAAAGATTTTGTCTTGTGTCTTTGCACTGCTGAGGATTATATAGTATTATAATTGCTTTCTGACTTTTAACTATTTTGTGTTAATTAATAAAATAGTTTGCTAAATTTGTAATTACCCATTAATTCATTCTAACACTTCAGTTTATTTCCAGCAGTTTTAGTTCGTTTTTTTTCTGTTGAAGATCTCAGAACTTATAGGGACACTAAAATTTATTCCATAATTAATACAAATTTTAAAATTTTTTAAAAAATTAAAATATTTTTATAAAAATATTAAATATTAAATATAATATTTTTATAAAAAAGTATTTTTATTTTCAGAAATTCTGTTATTCAGGATTTTTTTATGATGTTAAAAAGCTTTATTAAAATTTTATTTTGTTATATTAGATTATTAATTTAATCTTCTTTTACTTATAAAGGAAAAATTAAAGTCATTTAGCATAAATTTTCTTTATATTAGACATTATAGTACAGTAGGGAACCGATTATCCGGAACGGTCGGAACCATCGCTATTCCGGATAACTGATTTTTCCGGTTTTCTGAATCGCTGCAAAAAGCCGGGTTTTTTTTTATTGTTAAACCCAACTAAAAAAAATAAATATTTGGAAATAATCTTAAGAAGAAAAGAAAACAATGAAGTAATACACTAATGATTATTTCCAAAATGATGGTAAGATAAACATCTTTCAAAAAAGAAAGAAAAATCCTAAAATCTTATGAGGAAAAAAAGAATTTTTTTTAAAAATGTCGAGAAAATTTATCGAATTTCGTTCCGGTTTCTTGGTTTTCCGGTTTTCTGATTTCCGGATAACGGGTTCTGTACTGTATTACAATCAATTAAATGTAATACTATAATGTCCTATATAATGTCTTGAGACAGTGTCGAGAAGTTTAATTAATTTTGAATTTTGTGGACATTTTTCTTAAGCATTCATTTTGTGATTCTAAAAATGCTGAGAGTTATACATTTTGGAATTCTATTCAATATTTATGAAACAGATAGATTATTTTACATAATCTATTCTAAGAAGTCATTAAAATTAATTTAAACCATTTATTTATTTTCAGGTGACCTGTTATAGTTTTAAGGATGTGAATAATTGGTGGATTGTTAAACGACCTGACATGTGAGTTTGTCTTTTGACAAATCTATGATTTAAAGTATTATGGCTGATTTTTTAATTGTGGGTAAACGCGAGCGATCCTTTTTCTGTATTCAAAATTGAAATGTTATCTGTTGCAGTGGTTTCCAAGTAATGTCCCATGGAAATCTAGGGTTCTGTGGAAAATTTAAAGGGGTTCTGGGAGTTAAGACTTTATATAGGCAGTTTTTTTTTAAAATTTATTTTTGAAGTCTGTAATTATATTTAGGTCCAATCAATAATCCATCATTTACTTATCATTTCGATTACTTTTAATTAACATTTAAAGTAAAATTCCAAAGAGAAAAATGAAATTTTCGTAATAAATTTTTTTTTAACAACAGTTTTTAAAAAGGACATGCATTTATAAAGCATCGTACTAATATTTCCCATTGCGCTTTTCAAATGAAAATAACTTAATTCTTTAATAATGAAATATGTTTCCCTGTCTACCATTTTCAGCATTTATAACAGCTCTTTTTTTTTTAAGCAATATAAAAACCAATTTTGTGAAACATAAAACCTAATTTAAGATTTATTAATGATAAAAAAATTCATTCCTCTTATTAAGTATAAAAAAAGACTAGAAGTTAAAATAAAAGTCTTTTTAATTATTATTATATTCACTATTGTTTTTATTTACTTAAATTATGAAGTCGGGGTTCCGCTGGAAGAAGCTCTTTTATTTAGGGAAGAAATTGGGAACCGCTGATTTAGTGTTTGATTTTTTATGTGTGCAAAAAATCATATTGATTCGATTGTAAAATGTATATTTTTTGTTTTATTTCATCTTATAAATTTTTTTAGACCTGATCTGGTGGTATCTGACCCTATTGACAAAATCAAACATGGAGATGTAGTACAATTAATTCATGGAATGTCTACCCGCCCTCTCAATAGGTGATAATTTTATTTTTGGCATTATTAATTATATTAGTTTTATGTTTGTTCTTGCATTTAATTATATGAATAAGAATTTATGAAATAAAGTTGGCTTATTCCTTTTTTTCTTCTAATCATACTTATTTTTATTAAAAAATTTTATTAAAAATAAGTTTTCCCCAATCACTGTTTAATGGGAAAACAAACACTAGAGTGACATTGACATCTTTGCTTATTTTATTTCAGTCGTGCTTATTTTTATTAAAAATTAGTTTACCCCAATCACTGTTTAATGAGAAAGCAAACACAAGTGTCTCATTGGTATTTCAGACTTCTACATTGATGAACTTCACGGAACTGTAAATTTGAGCTTATATTTATTCATATTTTTGTTAACTGATAACTCTAATAGACAATTCTTCAAGAAAAACATAAAAGATAAATTATTTGTAACATTTAGAAGGACTACAAAAATGGGGGCCCTAGGCTTGGGCCTCTTAAGCCTTATGATAAATCAGGCACTGTCTGTTAGGATAAAATAACAATGCATATTAAAATAAAAATGTATAGTTGTTTTAAAGCTTAAAATTTTTCACCATTTCCGAGTATTTATACATACTAATAAATTTGCATTTCTCATTGTAGCCACGATGTTGCAGCTCCAATGTCACCTCAAAATCAGGAAGTTTCATGTTATATTGATTATAACATTTCATTTCCTGCTCAAGATCTGTGGAAAGTGGTAATTATTATTTATTTTTCTCACTTTAAAATTAAATGAAATTGAAAAATAAATAATTTATTGTGTGTGTAATTGCTTTGTAGTAATTTTGCTAAAATAATGATTTATGAAAGGTAAATATTCTCGAATACTCAACTCAAATTTGTAAAAATATTTTCTATTAATTTGCAATTTAGTTCAGATTTATTTGTTATAAATTCTACTTGTAATTTGATAATTTTTATTTATCGAAATATGTATTCTGAAATATTTCAAAGTTTCATTTTGTGATAGGATATTTTAAATAGAGAAGCTGAAGGTGAAGTTTGGCACACAATCCATTCTCATGTTCGATTTACTCATGTTAATTCTGGACAAGCCTTAAAAGTGAGTATTTAGAATTATCCTAGCTGGAAATTCTTTGTTTTCTTGTAGTTTTATTTTGTGAAGTAGTTATATAAAAACATAAATAGTTAATATTTCTGCTATCATGCTTATGACTGTTTTGTTATCTGTTAACATTTTTAATTTAAATGAATTAAATTATTTAGAATTAACATTTCAGTGCTTGCTGACAAGCAGTTATAATGCATTTTTTCATCTTTGTTTTCAGGTCTGAATTTAAATTAATGAAAAATAACCAATTTTGTATTAAAAAATGTCAAAAAATTAAATTAGTTGAAAATTTTAAATGAAATAAATATTCAAATTTATCACTGTACTTTTGATACGATTTTATCCTTTTTCTTAATTTTTTAACTTTCCTTTTATCAGTGAAAATATATGTATTTCTTTATAACACAGCTGTAAAATAAGACTTTATCTTAAAATTTCCATTTGTACCACAACTGTTTTATGACCAATCACTCAGAGTGTTTTTAAATAACAAAAAACGAATTTTGTGCACCATTTTTTTTAAATATTTCTGTTTCATCTTTTTTTTATTTTATAGTTATCAAGTTCACTCTAATCTAAATCGTTTATACTCATTATTATTATTTTGAAAGTTTTATTTTCCTACTTTACTTTCTACAATCTATGAAATTACTATATATAATTGCAAATTATATATTAAACCATCATCATGATCCCTTTTATCCACAAATAAAAATGAGTATCTTTTTTATATTATCTTATTACTACTTTTCTAGATTTTATGAATGTTAAGGTATGTAAGCTTACATTTTTTGATGCACACTTTCGTTACCACTGATTTTAAAGTATTATAGCAAAAAAATTGTTTCTAATGGCTGATATTCTGTTTTTGAGAGAAATAAATTGCTTTTGCACAAGCCATAATACATTTTGTTTAACCAATATTACTCTGCATACATCAATTACTGCAACAAATTTAATAAAATTATTTTTTCTTATACTAGTTTAGTGGTAAGCAGTTGCCTGAATGGGGATTTAATCAGCATGAAATAGTTACAGATCGTGTGATTAATCAAGACGATACTATATGGAATGTTGAAGAACATAGGTACACAAAAAGTATGTCTGTTTTCTGAACATTTAACATTAATGAATTTGTTCTTAACATATTTTAACAAAATTGGTTCATTTCAATTTTATAAAAGTTTAAAATTTAAGTGTCACAAGATTGAAATTGAAAACATTAATTGAAAAACCTAAATGTTTTAGTTTCATTTTGGTGTTACAAAAAAGGTAATATTGGCCCAAGTCTATGCAACCAGTCTTCATTTCTTTAGACTTTGATGACAACTTCTGAGGAGTGACTACTTGGAGTGAAAATAATTTTAGAAACAAAAATCAGTTATTTTAAAATAGCAGTTCTTTTGACATTCTTGCTGTTCCCCTGCTGTCGGGCTGACCGTGGGAGGTTTTAGTGGTTTTCCTCTCCATGTAACGCAAATGCTATGTTTTTTTTATGGACCAGTTCCATAAAAAATGTCTTCCATGAATGCTAGTTCATCCCGATGTTCCCTTGTCAGGGTTGCGTTCAAATTACAAAGCTACAAAGTTGAGCATTGATAGTCCTAAACTGAGAATTGGATCAGTTGTTCAATGCCTATTATAAAATAAAATACTTTATTGGAAAATTCCCTTGTCTTCTGAGTTGAATTTTTAATTTCATAGCTGTCGAGTTGAGCCTTAATGCAACCACAACTTCCATATGAATTCTCTGTCATACCTCCTACCTCAGTGAGAAGTCAAAGTATTAATGCGTGTTTTATAGCATTGAAACTTAAATTCTTTAAAACCTGCTTTAAAAAAAATATACTGTGTTTTTGTTATCAATATTAACTCGGTCACTCATTATGAAGGCTTATAATATTGGTATTTTATTTAACGATTATGTATTTACATACATCTTTTTTTACCAAACAACCTTTTTTAATCTTTAATCAGGATCATTTCGCAGCTAAATTAAGATACGATAGATTTTTTTTCCTCTGTAAGAATACGAATAAAATGATTTCAGTTACTGGGGAGCCGAAAAAACCTCAGATAAATCAAGGAAATGCAAAATGCAGAGTATATAACTAAAATACCCAGAAAGTTAGAGAAATTATTTAATTTAATATTAATGTATTTTAAAAATTGATTTAAAAAATAAAAAAAAATTAGCAACATTTTTTTAAAAAAAAGAAAGAATTGTTTATTTTTGACTGTAATAACAAGGATAAGTGTTATCTACTATATTTTATGTATGAGAATAAAGCATAACTAAATAATAAATAATAAAATTAAAAAAGTAAAAAAATACAATAAAATCAGTCTGGAAATATCAGAAAAAAGTCAAGAATTTTTTTTGTGTTCACCCTGAATTATTTTTTTAAATGCATTTTGTATTTTCTGAATTATTTTATTCTTAAATTAATTTTTTTTGAATTGGAGAATTATTTTTCTTTTTAATGTGTGCAAAAAAAAATAATGTTATAGATGCCTCCATAATTATGGAATTTTCCTCTTGGGTTTTAAAATATTTTCACCTATGAATATTTTAATGGCTACATACAAAATTATACATTTTCTTAATGCAATTTATAAACCTCATTCTTATAATAAAATTGTCCCATTCCACACTCAGTAATTTTAATTTACCATAACTAATTATGAATAGTAGATGCGGAACATTTTATTGCTGAAATTTCAAAATGTGCATTTATTCAACATGGAAATTCAAATGAGAAAATTTTCAATGCATTCTGTAATTTTTACATATTTTAAAATTCAGTTTTAAAAAAAAAATCTATGTATGCAATAAAGTTTTGTTTTGTATTGGACATGAATCTTTTCTTAATTGAAATTTTAGAAGCTGATCAAAAAGAAAGGGAGCGTGATATGGGTATGGCTGAATTTGTTCCTCTTCAACCTACTCAATTATCGTTTATTGAAAAAATGTGGGAATTACAGGTTTGTTTAAATTATCAATAATCTATTTTATTACATTTCAAAAGCATTGTCGATATATAAACCTTTATTTCATACTTTTTTGCAGTATAAAATGTTTACTACAAATAGTGAAAATGTTCAAGATCATATTTACAGTTCAGATGCAGCTGATTGGCCTTTTTTGACACGTGGCATTGCATATTGGGTCAGTCCACACAGCAATGTAAGTTCATAACTTTTTATGTTTATGTATTTGATTAAATATCTTACATACTAAAAATAATAATTTTATTTTGTAATTCATAAAATAATTTACCATGGAGATAAAAACATGTGAAAAAGGCATTTTATTGTAATATTAGTCTTTTAATATTCTTTTAAAAAATTTAATTATTGTAGGGAGGGTCACACATGAAATTATCTCATTCTATTTTGAAACTGCCTAATTCATTAAGTGGGATGTGTGCATTAATTATCGATGAATGTAAAAGCAAGTAAAAAATTCATTTTAAAGCAATTTTAATATTATTTTAAAATTTAAACTTAAATATTTATAGTATGAGTTAAATATGAAGTTAACCTGTTCTTTTTTGTACCTACCTATCATTATGCATTTTTTAAAAGTAACTACTTTAACAGTTGCAATATGTTCCATCCGGCAGAAAACTCACATTTTTATTTATTTTTTATACTATTAATTTTTTGTTTTACTGCTCTGATTTAGTTATAAATAAACTTAAGAATCACTATCTTTTTTCAATACATTATTTTCTGTAACACAATCTTTGAGCTAGGTGACTTTTTTGGTAGTGACCTAAGAGAGGTGTTGCAAATTTTATAATCCTCTGATTTATTTATGTATATTACTCATCTTATGATTTACTTTATGTATGTAATCTATTATTTGAGATAATTAAAAATTTTGTTTATTTATAACTACATATTTAGGCTCAAATTCACCTCCTTGGTAATATAACTACATGGTATTCTGCAACTACTGCTACTGTGGTTTATTTAGTGATTTTGGTATTTTATTTGCTTCGTCGACGCAGGTGCCTGTATGACATTCCTGAAGGTATGCTTATTGTTTATCCTATACTAAAAGATGTAGCTATTTAATAACATTCAATTTTCTAACCTTATTTCTTGAATTTTCAGATATGTGGGAAAAATTTTGCATATCTGGCAAAGTTTTTTTGCTTGGTTACATTTTACACTTTGTTCCTTACTTCTTTGTGGATCGAACTCTCTTTCTACATCATTACTTGCCAGCATACTTTTTTAAACTCCTACTTCTAGTTACTCTTGTTGAACACATTAGTTTTGCTGTGTGGTGAGTATTTTTTAGTAAATTTGTTTGAGGGTTAAACTACACTAATGTCCTTCCAGCAATTCTTCTATAGTGCACGTATATCACAATTCTGAATTTAGAGATTTTATAATTTAAATAAAATACATTATTCAGAATAATTTTGCTCAAGGGCTCAATTTAGGGCTAAAAAAGGACATTTTGCCAGTTATGGTATTTTTAGCAATGGCCACTTTTTCAAAAAAAAGAAAATATTTAATAAAAAATACTGTTATTATTAATAATGTAACGTTATTCTTTTTATTCTTTTCTTAAAATCTGATAAGCATTTCAAATTTTCATTTCTAAAATAAAGTAAAAGTTATAAGAAACAAAGGTGAAATAAATGATATTCTAAAATATTCAAAATAATTTAGCTTAAAAAAAAAGTGGCAATCGGACAGTGTGTGGCGCACAATTTTTTAACCGCAATTTGTTATATTTAGTCACCCTGTGCCTGGTGGTGGTCACTAATTTTTCCCTACATGCTACATTTGGAGACTTAGCATAGTTATAGTTATGAAATGAAGGTGTCTTTATTTAATTTAAAATATAACTGGCTGGATACTGGGCAAACATTGAAATTGTGTATATATATATCAATTAATAAAGCTCTGAATGTTTGCATATAGCATACGATATGAATAATCAATTCTATTTCATTGCAATAATGGAATTACTCGTTACATAGAATTTCTGATTAAAAAAAATTAAGTTTTCTTCACTGTGAGCCCCAGGGATCATGAATGTTAATACTCCATAATTTCAAGATTGTAGTAATGTAGTCAGAGCATTGTGGAGGCTGCCATCACTTCTCAGACAAGTTAGTACCCACCTGTGTGAAGTTATGTGGGGTTCAAGCCGCTACTGAGGATTGAACCCTTGACCTTCTATCATTGCTATTATTGATAGGACTCTGATATAATAGTTCTAGTTAGACTTCGATTCTTCAAGAGATTAATGCTGTATACATATAAATTTATATATTGATTGGAGAAATAATTTCCAATATTTAGTAGTTTTTGTTAATTATTTTAATGAAAGTTTAAATTCATAGAGAAACTGTGAGCATTGTGTATTTTCAGGTTTGCTTCAACTAAGAATTGGCGTTTTTTCTTTTCACTAAATTTTAATTTCATAGAAGCTTTCTTTCTTTTTTTTTTTACTTGCATTTTTCCTGTTAAGTAGTTTTTACTATAGTATCATAGTATCAATTATAATTTTTTTTGTTTCCCTTTAGCTTAGTCAAGTACAGTTTTCTACGGAAGATTCTTCATTATTCATACTTAATTGTTGTCTGCTGTTGGGTTCTGTTTGTTTTATACACCTTCAAATCATTTGTCGTTTTTTGTTATGGAACTGTGCCTTTACTGCCAGAACAGATTTTAAACTTAAGATGGAAGGACACTTGGGATTTTATTATTCATGTGGGATAAGTCTTGCGCCATTACATTTTTAAAGGGAGCACAACCTGCGGCTCGGGGACTAACTATGGCCCTCTAATGAGAAATGTGTGGTCAACCAAACCAAACATTAATTAGAAAACACTAATAACTATTATAAAAAATTTATAACTATCTCTTAAATTAATTTTAATAAACTTTGAAGAAGCACTAAATTTGTAAAATTAAAATATCTAAATTAAGAGGTACTAATTTAAGTTAACTCAAAATTTAAATCGTTCACCATTTCTATTTTTGAAGAATTTTTTATCTAGCAGAATAAATGTTGTTCAAAGATTTATTTTTAAAAATTGAAGACACATTATTAAAAATTTTATTGCTTTTTATGCACATTAAAATAATTGTAAAAATTTATTTTTCCACAGAGAAAGTTCAAAACCTTTATATATNTATATATATATATATAAATATTGGAGCTCTCTACCATAAAAAGGTTGTGCACCTATACTTAAGTTAGGTGCTTGTAATATCTCATAATTTGATCCCAGTGCTTTGCATTTATTTATGATGTTTTTAAAAAATGTGTATTGGTTGTTATGAGATTATGTTTGAAATTATTTAAATAAGAAATTTTTATACACATAGAATAATTTAAAGAATTATTAGTTTAAAAGATTGCATTTAGTAATTTCTTTCTTTTTACTGAAAGAAATTTTTTATGCATTTTGTGAATAAATATATACTCATATTTAGAATTCTAAATATTAGGTTAAAGAAATTTCTACTTAAATCTAGTATTAGTTTATTTTTTTCTATATATTGTGATTGTTTCTACTTAATATTTGTTTGTTTTTTAATTTATGAAATGACAATTTTGACCCAAAAGTTACTGTCAATTATTAATCCCACAGTATTAGTATTTTCTAACTTCAAGATTCTGGGAAATTTTATGTGTCAAAACTATTTGCATCTCTAAAAACTATGTCATTTTTTTATCTGTTCAAAATTTATACCAGCTAGTTGTAATAAGTAATACTTAGCTTGGTGCTTTTTGTGCTGGTTTTATTTTTTTTAAATTTAATTGAAATTTTTACGCTTTAACAAGTATTTCATATAAATCTGTGCACTTTTGATGTCCTATGAACTTTGCTTACATATTTATGGATATTTCTACCTTTTAATTTAGTTTTATTTTTAATTCTAACAATTTTAAAACTGTTTTGAGTTAAAGCGAAACCAAGTTTAAAACTTGTAATTATTATAGTTGGTATAAATTTTGCCTGTAAATAATCAGTATATGTAACAAATAGTACTTTTGTTAAAAATTTCATTGTTTGAGCAAAAATCAAAAATGACAATTAAATATGACAGTAAAAAATAATTTTTAAAGGACACTTTATTTACGTTTACTAACTGTTGAAAAAAATTATATTAAATTTTTTTAGCTAATTTTCTATACGTCAAAAAGCCAAATAACCTAGTATAACAATTATTGCATTGGTCGTTTAGGAAAACTGTGTACAGTTTTACACAAAGAATGTTTGTAGTAACACTTGAAAAATACTTGTGTAGATTAAGAAATCATTGTTATGATTTGTCAAATTTTGTATGTATGTTGTGTAAAAGTTATATAAATCTTTTAAATAAAAATTATACAATTTATTTATATTTTCTAGACAAATTAAATAAAACCTATCCTGAGATGAATTTATTCTCAATCTAGACTTTAGAATCAATTTTTTTTTCATAGTGTGTATTTTAATGTGTTTATAAGGGAAAGTGGATAGTGTGTATTTATAACTCCAGAAACATAGTGAGTTACTTTTGAAGTTCATATTTTTTTATTTTCCTGCTTAATTTTGTAATTGATATTTTGATTTATTTACTTTATAAAACTTATCTTGAGATGAATTTATTCCCTATCCAGACTTTTGAATAAATTTTTTTTCTTCATAGTGTGTATTTTGATGTTTTAAAACTGAAAGTGAATAGTGTGTATTTATAACTCCAGTAACATAGTGAGTTACTTCTGAGGTTCATGTTTTTTGTTTTCCTGCTTAATTTTGTTATTTGTTGCTATTTTTGTTATTGATATTCTGACTTATTTATGCATTTTTTTGGTTTATTAACATTTTCAAGCAATAATATACTAAGACATTTTACTTTTATTTTATTAATGAAATTATAATACTTTTTATTTTTATCATTTTAAAATAGATTCTAAAACCATTTTGAGATGTTCAGTTCTTTATTCATAAATGTGAATATTTGTTATTTATGAATATGAATTACAAAATAAGTTTAATCCTATATATCAATTATACATTTTTAACTTAATACCAACTCTAAAACAATTTTAAAATGTTTCATTTTTTCTTTGTAAAGTTAGTGTAGTTTTCCTTTTATTAGTATTATTGAAGTGACTACAACCTGAAATTTTTGAAAAAAATGCGAATTTTTTGTTTTTAAATATATATTATGACATGTAATGCTATTTACTTGACTTGAACAATGAACTAATTAAACTCGGAACCAATGCTTACAACATAATATATTAATTAAACTAATTATTTGTTTAATATCTTCGACATAGTACATCTTTTAACTGTAATTAAAAGTGTTAAACATACATTTATTTCTTTTAGTCAGAACCTTCATTGTAAAAGAACTTTTCATTGTCTTAAGAGATGCAAGAAATCGAAATTTTACTGTAGGTGACAATATTTTTATTAATCAAGTCTCTTAACTCAAAAATGAATACTTATATAAGAAAGATGATAGTTTATATCTTTAAATCTGAAATCTTCTGTTTAGCTTTAAAGTACAATTTTACCAATCATTTCATGGTTTATCCAATCCATTTATTAATTTTATACTCTCAGGTGAATTTATATCATAAATGAATAATTATGAAAAATAACTGTTTTTCAAATACTCTTTTTTTACATAAAAAAATTTTCTTTCCGCTTTTTTTGTTAATATACATTATAATTTAATGGAAGATTTCTTCTGTGTGTATGTAAAAAAGTTTCTGTAGAGTCGAAAATCCGTCCATTTTAACAAGTCCCTGTGTAAATTTATTTTGTTAGCATTTCATTGTGTGTTTGAAATATTCTCATTTGAAGCAATAAACATTATTGTTTAATTTTTTACAAATCATGCTTTTAAAATAAAGCTTTAAAAATTGAGTTTGGCTTTTCTATTATTCCATTTTCGGTAACTTACATTCCAGTCTCTAAGTAAAATAAATTTTAAAAGAATTAATCAAATTCAACCAATCAAGACAAATACATTGATAAACACATTTAATATAAAAATAATTGTATAGGAATAAATAAAATTAAAAAACTACCCAAATGTAAAATGAATTTTTAACGATTATTCAAAGGCTTTAATACTCAAAGCTACTAGTCTCTTTAAATATTGTGAAATTGTTATTTTAGAATTAATTGCAGCTTTAATGTATATATATATATATATATATATATTATACAACATTTTNTAATATAAATTATCAGTTTTACTCATTTTTTAAAAAGAAAATACCTTAACTTAGTAGGATGGTCCAAATTTTACAATCATAAGAATTTAAAGGTTTTATTTAGACAATATTAAGATATTCAAGGGGCAGTGCCAGGGCCAAGAGATGGTTAGACAAGGTGGAAAAAGACCTTAAGACTCTAAAAGTCCAAAACTGGAAACAAAGAGCTAGAGACAGGCAACTTTGAAGGATTATTGTTAGTGAGGCCATGATCCAACATGAACTCTAATACCAGGGAGTTAGTTAGACAATATCTAGCAATATTATAGATGAAATGAACAGAATTAATTTATAAATTTTCATATATTTTTATGGATTGTTAATTGTGCAAAACTCAACACATGTAGCACTAGCTGATAAAGTTCGTTATAAGGCTTCCTAGTCGCTGCTTCTGATTTATTTTCATGTTTAAGCTTGAAACTCAGGTGCTGAACATTACAAACGGCACTGAAATCCTGTGTCATGCACAACCTCTTTTGAAACCTAAAAACCCCTTGGAAATAACAAACATCGAAATAAATTTGGATCTTGTGAAAACTGTCCATGGTAAAAAAATTTTTGCTCCAATTATTCTAAAAAATCTTGCCCTGGAGACAATGGCGGTTAGATACCCAGTCGACGATTGGCTACATGTTTTTATCGATGGTTCTCAATTTGACTGCCATTTTAATGTAGGGGCTGGTGTCTTTTCGGAACTTTTCTCTTTCTACGTACCAGCAGGATACATTGGCACCACCTTTGATGGAGAAGTAGTGGCCTTGAGTACGGTCTTACAGCAGCTACTGGCCCTCCAACACAAATTTGAAAATGCAGTTCTCTTCTCGGACTCACAAGCGGCCATACAATCAATTAGCGCACATGAACGTCCCTTGACACCTGAGATTTCCCGATGTCAAGACCTCTCGAGGTCTTTATTTTTGAAGGGAAAACGAATAGTCCTCCAGTGAGTGCCAGCCCATTGTGGTGTCTGGGGCAATGAGCAGGCAGATTTACTTGCCAAGAAAGGTGCCAATTTGCTACAACAACCAAATATGGCAACTTCCTTTTGGAAAATCAAACTGCTCCTTAAAAATTTATGTAAAACCAACTCATTGCAAGACCTTCAGGCTCGCACAGCTTTGAAAAGTTGGAGAAATGTAAGCTCTTCTTTTAATTCCCGACAAACCAAGACGTGATGCAGTTGCAGCCTTCCGCTTATATACAGACCACGATTGTCTTTCTGCTCACTTATACCGCATAGGCCTTTCCACCACGCCTTTTTGTCCACTTTGTAAATCTGGAGAGAAATTGGGCAGTGACCACCTGCTTCTATGTGGGGCTCTTCATGGACACACTGAGTCCTCAAGATATTGGGAAGCAAGAGAACTTTTAAGGCAATGACTTTGGTCTTCTTTCTTTGTTATCCTACGTACATTTGTATTCGTTATTTATTTCATCTTTCTATTTGTACCTTTTGCCTTGGCATTAGAAATTTTAAAAAATATAAAAAAAAGCTTGAAACTCAAGCTATCCTGTACTGTTATTGCACTAGCACTATTTAGAATGACTTGAGATATCTAAAATAATTCAATATATAAAGCCATATTTTTGACTGAAAGCATAAAAATGAAGATTATATTTAAAATATTTTTACCCTTGCATTTCATTTATGCGGTGATATTAATTTCCTTAAATCAGTTTATGGCTCACAACCTTAATAAATTTATGAAATTGGATGAAAATTTAAATATCTCAATAATAAAACATCCTCCTGCAAGAGAAGCAATGTTGAAAATTCTGTTCTACTGTTAAAAGCTTTTTTTTACATTCCGTTAACCATCCAATTAATCGAATAGTTATATAAAATTTCAAAAACATTAGTTTACTCATTCAGAGGAAAAATTTACAGCACCATCTGTTAAGAATATAAAGAAAAATTATTATTTTATCAAGATAGCTTTTAAGATAGAATTTTTTTTTCTTTTTTTAATATGTTCCGACATACACACAAATAAGTTTGCGCCTGACTTTCTCAGCTTTATTACAAGCACATTTTTAAAAGCATTAAAAATCCGTAATCCGCCTAAAAAAAAACATAAACCAGCGTATTGTTATACTTCTTATTTTAAATAAAAATTTAGGAAAAACATGGTGCATTCTTGAAATATGCAGAACATCAAACTCTGCTATAGCAATACTGATGTCAATAAGTGTGATAGAGGGTTTTTAACCCTGAACAGGACAAAAACTGATTAAAAATAATTAGAAATATTAACTTAAATATGAGAACTAGGACCTAACTTTAAAAAACGAAATAAAAACATTGTTTGTGATTACAAATACAGTAGGGAACCGATTATCCGGAACGATCGGGACCATCGCTATTCCGGATAACTGATTTTTCCGGTTTTCTGAATCGCTACAAAAAGCCGTTTTTTTTTATTGTTTAACCCAACTAAAAAAAATTTTTTTTTGGAAATAATCTTGAAAAAACGAAGTAATACACTAATGATTATTTCCAAAATGATGGTAAGGTAAACATCTTCCAAAAAAGAAAGAAAAGTCCTGAAATCTTATGAGAAAAAAAACATTTTTTAAAAAAAATGGCAGGAAAATTTATCAAATTTCGTTCCGGTTTTTTGGTTTTCCGGTTTACTGATTTCCGGATAACGGGTTCTGTACTGTATAATGCTGAAAAATCACGGAAAGAACAAACACAAAAAGAAATAAAAAAAGATATTGAAAATAAAATATTTTATTTATCAACGTACAAAATATGTCAAATATGCTAAAAATAACAAATCAAAATAGTACACATCTCTTTGTCATCTTCTATGTCAAACATAAAAGCATTTATATTTGTTATGAGTTGGCACAGTTATATCTGTAAACAAGTGATTTTTTTTAATACCTCTCAAAAATGTAGTACCAAAAAAATTGACATATTGAGAGACTTGGTGAAAATATCTTGATAAAATTTAAGTAATTAAAAAAATTGTTGACTTAAATAATATAAGGAATTTCCTTTTGAAGCAGAATATTGGTCAACAAACATTACTAAGTTCATTAGTAAAATGGAGAAAATTTTTTAGATATAAGTAAATAATTTAATTCTCAAAATATTATAAAATACTTATAATAAATCCATATTTTTTAAAAATGACATAAAAAACATGGGGTGCATTTCCACTAAAAAATTGGTAATTGACAGACAATTTTCTATTCACCATTTGTTATAATTATATTTAGTTAATTTTGCCTTACACATTGTGTTACATAAATATATACCATCTCCATAGAAACAAAGTAATTCAGTTAACCTAAATCAAGTAAATTTTTTCTCAAAATGCATGTCTAACGGGTGGATCCTAGAATAGCTCACCCTGTGGAAATTGTTATAAATCTCGCCAAACTAGGTTTCCAGAAGATATTTCAGGGAGATTATTTTGATTGTCCGATCACACCACCAACATTCTTAAACCTGATTGGTTATTTGATATGTACACCTATGCAAAAGTTGGATTTCGTTAGAAAAGAGGTAATGGGTTTATTTTTTCGCCATTTATGCTTCTGATCTCTTCCGGTTAGAATCATCGTTCATTTTTTAAATGTTATTTCATTTATTGCCATTATTATTAAATTTTTTTTTTTGTATGTTACTGGTTGATAAGAAAAGATGTATTTAAGCCATCAGAGTAAAGGTAATTTATTTTTATTCTATTAAAAAATATTTTAATAAGTTTATATTAATTTAAATTTTTATTTTTTTAATAATCAAACAGCAACATTGATCCCAGTAATAATCTCCAACTTGGCAAGATTTCCAAAAGTCACCAAAAGGTGGGCTATACTAGGATTTTACCTGTCAAACTTGCCAAGAAAATTTTATCAACACATAAATCAAATATAAACAACCAGTAATTTATAACAAAATTTAACTAATTTATATAAACAAACATCATAAATACAAAAAAACAGGCTCATAAACGTGAGAAATATCCACCAGCAACAACAAAATTCTCTCCAGTAATGTACGATGCATCATTTGAACACAAAAATGACACCATCCCAGCAATCTCATCAGGTTCTCCACATCTTTTCATTGGAATAGCTTGATCAAGAACCTCTTTAGAAGAGGGATTGGACCACATCACCTCACTGAACTTAGTTTTTATTATACCAGGACAAACACAGTTCACTCTAATGTTCTTCTGAGCACACTGTGTTGCTGCAGCTTTTGCCAAACCTAACAATGCTGTTTTGCTAACAGAATAGGCCCCAAGTATATTCATAGGATTAAGTCCAGCAATGGAAGACATGTAAACAATGGACCCTCCTCCACGTTCTTCCATTAATGGAAGAACAGCTTGGGTCAGCAAGAAAGCTGATTTGACATTTATGTCAAATATTTTGTCCCATGCATCTTCAGAAGTATCCAGGACATGACCCATGGTGGGATTGACAGCTGCATTGCTGACTAATAGATCAACACCCCCAAACGTAGTTTTTGCAAAATCCAGTAAGCGTCTACGATCTTCTGCTTTACCAACATGACATGGAATGCCCGCAATTTTTGAACTAACTGATTTTAATTGATCCAAGGCTTTTTCAACATTATCTTTCTTGCGACTGCTAATGACAACTGCAGCTCCGTCAGTTGCTAATCTCTTTGCAACTGAAAATCCAATGCCTTCAGTCGATGCAGTAACAACAGCAACTTTACCAGATAGTTTCAGTACTGAGTGGGACATGTTTCGCAGAATATTTGAATCAATGCTAAAAACACGCAATTTTAGACATAAATTTCTAAGCATTTCCGATTTTTTCCTCAATAATACAAGGAATTTCAGCTTAACGAAATTAAAATCACGTTATCTCTATTGTATATTAAGTATGATAAGTAGATGATTAGATAAGGTTGAGGAAAAATTTTCTATTTTTTAAATCATACTAGAAAAAAATTTATTTCCAGAAATTGAAAGTAATAACAACGTAAGTTAAGAAGAGGAGGAGGGATTTTATCTCAATTTTAAGAGATTTAATTTGATATCAATCAAAAGTAATTCTTTTTTACTTCCTCTTCGCTCTAAATGTACAAGTACACAAGAAATACGAGAGCTCGAATCAGTGAAATCAAATTATATACGATGCAAAACCCGCTTTCAGCTTGTTTAGAAATTAAACATTTTGAGATCTGAACCATGTGTGAAACACATGCAGTGTGAATGACCCTGAAAGATGCATTTATGGGAGCAGAAACTGAAGCCTAAACAAAAGCTATAAGCTTTCGCAAAGAACTCGTCGTATTTTACAAAATCTGTTCTCGAGACCAAATTTTAAATTTCTTCAGTCTGTTTAATTTTGTGTAATTTGTTGTGTTATTGAATTACAAAATGTTAGAAAGCTTTATTCCAGACAAAGCAATACTGTTAATTGAAAGTGCTGGTTAGTATTTTATTTTTGATAATAAAATGGCATTTTAGTATGCTTTTTGCTGTCGAATTGTTAGAATATGTTTTACATATAGAATATGTTGAAACGATAATTCTTCATTTACGATTTTAAACTTGTCCTACACAAAATATCTACATTTGTTTTTTTCTTCAACGGTATTAAATTATAATGCATTGTTAAGAAATTAGAAGAGAAATTTTGGTAGAGATAGCTTGTCTATTATTCAAGTTCTGAAAGCTCGTTTTAATAGATGAACTGGAAGGAGGATTAATTTTTTGGAAAAAAATTTCTCAATGGCAGTTAATAAAATGTTTAAGAGTACTTAAAGATTTCCTCTCTTTTGTTATTTTAAATGTTTTCTTAATTTTATTATAGATGGGATTTTTATCATGACTCCAATTGTCTCTTAGCGACCTATCTAAAAAGGTCGCCATGGGGTAGGAGGAAAAAAAGGAAACACAATCATAACTTGGAGAGGAAAGATACAAAAAGGATAATGATCTTATGTATGAATTAATGAATTGAATTCATATTGCATTGTTAAATTTCTAGTTTAACTTCAATTTATTAATGCTGAATACATAGTACTTTTTTTCCTAATATTTAACAAACCTAATATTTAACAATTATTACATTTTTGATGTTATTTAAACATAAATTTTAAGCAATTTACTTTTTTCCATGTCTGGAGAAAATTGAAAAGTTTTTGCATGCATTTATGAAATTTGATTATCTAGAGTTAATTCCATGAAAAAAATGTTTTTTAGTAACTATTTATTATCTATAATTTTATTTAATAATTGTTGGTAAAATTTTGATTTGTAAGATACATAAATTTTTATATTTTAAAGAATATAATTTTATATGGCAAAATAATTATATGAACAAAATCCGTTGAATAGTTCCTTAGAAATCAAATTTTTTGAAAGTAAAATATTTATAATCATCAGTCAGATTTTTAGAAAATAGATCAATCAGATTGTTGAAGCAATAAAGAAAAAAACAATGGAAGTAAAATAAAAATATTTTTTTTTATTTTATTTCCATTGTTTTTTTCTTTATTGCTTCAATTATTCTTTCTTTTGAAAATTCTGCTGCTTTTAAGTGTGTTTCTTTCAAACAAAGTTCTGTTATTTTAGAATTTTATATTTTGTATTCTTTTACTAATACAATCAGATTGTTAGTCTCAATCAGTCAGATTTTCACAAGTTTGTGCAAAAATGCTTAAATATGGCGAGATACATAAAAAGTAAATTTAACATTTAGGGGTCCAAACTTCCTCCCTGATCAAAGTATTAGGACCATATTTCCCAAATTAATGCTACCCTAAATGTTTTGGGGTTCATAATCCGTTATGAAGAAAGGTTTATTCAGAGAATGTTCGTTTTTATCTAATTTTATGACTTAAAGTATCATCGATCACTCTTCGAACCATTAAAATCCTAGTACATGAGGATTTGATTATTAGATCACATTATTTAGGGAGGTTCATTTATTTTTTTGGGCACTGTACATTCATTTTGTCATACATTTCGTAGACTAACATGCCCAAAAAGACTTATAAAATTTTGAGTTTTTTGAAGCTATAGTAAACACTATAATCAGCATTAAGTATTATTATTTTATCAAATCTATTGTATTTTTTCTTTTCAGCAGCTGTAAATTAATTATTCAAATAAGTTAATATTAATACTAGCATGTATGTGTTCACCATCAATTATAATTTAATGTTTTTTAATAGTTTGACATAATTAAATTTTATTTTAATTGCTAATTAAAACTGTTTTAATAAATATTTTATTTGTTTTAGGTAAAAGGTTGGCATTAGCTAGTAATACTATTGCAAGGGCAATGCACATTTATCATCAATTTAAACGCTGCATTGACACTATTGATTTTGAGGACGGAGTAAGTACCAAATTAATTTTAGACACCCTAGCTATCCTTTAGGTATTTTGATTCTATCTTTTAATTTCAAATATTTATTTTCAGATATTATAATAATTTTTACAATGTTGGCAAATGACATATGTACCTTTTATACTTAGTTTTATCTTTTATAAGTTGAAGAAAATGATGATTTCTAATTTATGAGTTATGATGCTTTGAAATTTAGGCAATTACTCAGATCATGTGTTTGTAATTAATATGATATTAACTTAACGTTTAAGACGTATATTTCTACATATTTGTTAGTGTCAACTACCTTTGATAAGGTACCAAATTAGGGTTCACAAGTTTTCTGACACCTCATAGTTTTTACTGTGATGTTTTACCCAGATCTTTAATGACTTTGTATTTTCAATTTTCCCCAGCAAATTAATAGATAAATGTATTTTTACAGTTATGTTATGAAAAATGTACAAAATGACTGACTATAGCATGCTTTGACGCACCAACTCTGATTACAAAAAATGCTGTTTTGTATACAATTGTGGTTTGCATTATCGTGGGTTTCAATTAATTTAGTTAAAAAAATTTATAAATATTTCAAGATTATACAAGCTTTCAAGAGTATTATAATAAATATAAAAGCAGACTGGATATTCATAACATAATAAAATTTGAGTGGCACACAATTTTTTGCTGCATATAGTATATAGAAAAATACAAAGGGGTCTTTTCTCTCTTTCTTCATTCATAAAGAATAAAAGAGTTTTCATGTTCATTTAGCATTAACATCAAAGGATATAGTGGTTTTAATTATCATGGTTAATAGTGGTCTTGCTTAATTAATTCCATGTGGTTATTGAAAAGTATTTGTAATCACTAGATCAGTTTTAAATTTCAAATGAATCTTATTAGGTAAAATGCAAGATATTTTTGCCATATAGATCAGAATTTAGATTTTGTTTTCGTTTTTAAATTTATTTGAAATTTTTACATTTAAAATAGTTTATAGTTAATTGACGATTTTATAACTAAGTTATTTGATACATCTTTCAGCTTGTTGCTGCATCAGCTATAGCATTAAGTGCTAAAACGAATGAAGATACTTTAGATCTTCAAAATATAGTGATTGTGTTCTGGGAGTAAGTTCAATTTTTCTTGCCTAAGATATAGAATATATATTACATACAATTTAATTATGTTATTTTCCTTTGGTTTCTTTTTATTTACTTTTAATATTTCCTTTAAAAATCAGTAAATTATGCAAGAGAATGAAAATGATTTTAGTTTTACATAGAAGCAAAATAATTTTTTTAATCTATTACTGAAGCAAGTTCCTTGTAGTTTTGAATATTTTTTAACACTTGTTACAACATCTGAGTTGTGCATTTAAATGTGTGCTTTACTTGTGCCAATCTCCTCGTAAATCTAATGGATTTTTTATGTGTACATATATATTTTTTTTTTTGTTGGCAAATAAACTATGCTTTTTCACATGGTTGTGAAAATTCTGATATTTTTTATACAATGTTAAAATGGTTTTTCTAGTTATGAATCACACATTTAAGTAATCATTTTTTTGATGTGCTTATCTGTGATGTCCTTTATTTTTCAACAATTTTGTTATATTGTTTGTTAACAATCGTTGTTAACAAATTGTTTGTTAACAATCGTTGTTAACAAATTGTTTGTTAACAATTTGGTACTAAAAAAAATTAAAATCATTAACTGTTTGCTGCTTTGCATTTAATTTTTTATAGCTCAAGAAACTGAAAGATGAACATAAAAGCTGTCACTAAATATAGATGCCTTAAAGTTGAATATATATTTCTAACTAAATGTTGAATCTTTTGAATTATGTTTTTTCCCTTAATTTTAGTCATCTTAAACCATGATCTTTAATGTTAATTTATTTTAAACTGAAGTTTTGCACTATGTAAGATTAAATCGTTACTTTTCCCCTGTCTTTATATTTATTTTAATAAATCTATTTTTGATGAATAGAAAAAAGAAGAAAAAAAATAATTTGGCATTTTTTAAATATATTTTTTTTTTTTAATAACGGCAGGCACTGAACTTTTCGTTCTTCGCCATAGAAGATGCCGGAATTGTTACTCATTTAGCGTTACCCAGTGGGCACCTGTGAACCAAAGTCACGGAGGCGAGCAACATTACCCACGCCATACTGCCACAAACCCGTTCATAGGGTGGGCCACATTCACTCGTTCACACAACAGAAGACAACACAGAGAGAGAAACATCCATGCTCAGAGCGGGATTCGAACCCGCGGCCATTGGCTCCGCAGTCAGACGTTAACAACTCGGCCACCTGGCCGGCGGCATTTTTTAAATGAATTCCAATATTTAAAAGCATTTAATTTTATGCAAATATATCACTGATATTCTATTTTATAACTGTCATTGAATAGCTGGCCCAAGTTTTTGGTTTTACGACTACTAATGCCATAGCCTTGAAATTCTGAACCCAATCCAGAAGACAAGGGAACTCCTGGATCATGTATTGGGTGAAATTTGCTTTTGTGGAGGACTTTGATGGAACTAACCCGCATTTGCTTTCCTGGAGAGAGAAACCACGAAAACCTCCCATGGTTAGCGGGCTCAAACCCATGATCCACTTAGGATATTTTTACTTCAGCACTGCAAATTGGTGCAAGCCGGGTGCAGAATTCGTATTGACCAGCCATTGTTGAGATTCGAACACAGTTCACCTCATTGGAAGGCGAACGCTCTACCCCCTGAGCCATCACAGCTCATATATCTCTAATAAAAGAAAATTTTGTTCCTAGAACACTGATATTTATGTAAAAATTACCATAATTGCAGCCAACATATCTAAATACTTAGGCATTCGACCCTTCATTGGTTAACCCCCAATGAATATGGTCCTTAACTCACAAAGGTTTACCCTTAAATTATTACTCTTATATTAAAAGATAATCTGGATCTTACTTGATGCAGTCATTTGAAAGATTACAAAAGTTTGCATCACTCAAGAAATGGTTAAATTTTATAAGGATGAATACGTTTAAAACAAAGCCCTTTAACACTTTTACACGAAAAAAATAGCAACCACAAGCAAAATTTAATTAACTTCTTAACTTTAAAAGGAGAATATAAAGTGCCTATTCAGTGATTGATGAAAGCAGTGTCTTATAACAAATAAAACTAAAATGCATGGAAGTAATAGAAGCATTTCAGGTCCTGATAGATGTGAGTCGCAAAAAAACTTAAAAGAGATATTAATTATATTGTTTTCAGGTATATAATTAGTTTTAGTTCAGGAAATGAAAAAATAAAATAAATTTTGATATTATTAGTCTATAATTAAAATCTTAGTAATTTTGTTAATAAATTACTATTTGAGGTAAGTTTTTAATTATTAAATGATTATGATTTTATTAAAAAAATATGCATAAAGCAATATTTTTAGTTGTCTTATATTTTTTCTAAAAAAAAAAATCCTATATCTTTTTAAACTGTTACTTCTATCCCTGCAGCATGCTTAATAAGGACCAAGTAAGCCTACCTAAACTAAACTCAGAAGAATTCCAAGAGCTGACCGACAGTTTAACCAAAGTGCAATATTTAATTTGTCGAGCATTAAAGTTTGAATTGAATCATTTGTTGGCTCATCAGGTATTTATTAATGTCATTATCCTTTTTGTGTAAATTTTTTTAAAATTATTTTTACTTTTTCCTTTCAAAAATTTAACCTGTCATAAATGTTTACATTTTCTAGCTTTATTCTTACAAACTGTAGTTCTTAATCTGAAATTTCTAGACCTAACTATGGAGCATGGTTAGTTTAATGTTAAAAAGCTTATGAAGCAATGTCAGGGCTGATGGTTCTTGAAAGTTCTTGATTTTTGTTGTTAAAAATTGGGTCCCGAAAATTTAATAAAATGAAAAGTTAAAGAAGTCTACCATAATATAAAAGCAAGATTAAAGAGTATATTAAATTTCTTTGCCAACAATCATTAAAATCTTGCATCAGAAAATTCTTCGCAGAAAATAATGTTAATTCCAAGGTATAAAGACAATTGTTAAATTTTAAACTGCGTAATTTTAAAGGATAAAAACCAAAATTTAAACAGAACTTTTGAAATAATTTTTTAAAATGAGTGCATAAAGATCTGATTTATTTTGGAAATTTTTAGTATTCAAGACAGAAACTCTTTAGCTGATTGTTTATAATTTTGCCATTTATTAATATTTAAATTAAAATGTAATAATTTAAATATCTTGAATTTGAATACCAAAAAAAAAAATTTGAAAATTATTCAATTGAATTATAAAATGTAATCAAAGAATTGCAAAAGTATATTTTCATATGAATATATCTTTTATTTTCTTTTTAAAAAAAGTTATGATTGTATAAAAGCAATGTTTATGAATTTTGTAAATTTTATTAAAAAAAGCTTTGCAATCATATTTTAAAATTATACATATAAAGAAAACATGACCTTGAGAAATCTTGACTTTTTCTCTTTTTTCTAGTATGTTATACCATTTCTAAGGAATCTTCATGAAATAGCTGAATTTCAACACAAATGGGATGTTTTTGTGAACATTGTATGGAAAGTAGTTAGCACCGCATATATGTCTAAAAAGTGCTTGAACTATGATGCATGTGAAATAGCAGTAGCTAGTATCTATATTACTTGTCAGTTTTGCCGCATTAAAACTGATGTTATTACTAATTGGCCTGAGGTAAATATAAGTTTAAATTACTTTGATTTTTTCTTTATACCGTTTATTAAAATATGTTAAATGCTCTTAGACAGGTTAAGAAAGGTTTTCAAATCTTAATTTTACCCGAGCAATCAGATGTAAAATTTAGTTTTTTTTTTTTTTTTTTTGNTTTTTTTTTTTTTTTTTTTTTTTTTTTTTTTTTTTTTTTTTTTTTTTTTTTTTTTTTTTATGTCATAAAATATTATTTTGATTCCCGTGTGAAATTTTCTTTTTTGGAATTTGAGTTTTTAAAAAAAAGCACGTTTTTTTGTGAAAGAACTTAATTATTTCTTCTGATCTTGCTTTAAAAATTTTAAGTTTAAGCTGGTTTAATTAAATTTAAGCTGCTTTAAGAAGGCCCAAGTTCCCTTAATTTTCCCAAGGTTTTCTTAAATTTAAAGATGGTTCTGGAGATTCCAAAGATGCTTTTTTCCCTCTCAAAAACTATGGGAAAGAAAGTAAATACAGTACAAATGCTGAAATTTAAAAATTTTTTAGTTTTCATTTAAACTTGAATTTTCCAAAGTTCGAGGTAGGCTTGGTCCCGTACACCTCAAATTATCAGGTCTCCATTGTATATATTTTTAGGGTTCTGTTATATTATAGTGTTCTGTTCTTGATAGTTCTATTTCGCTGGTGCAAGTAATTTTGGTAATTTATCTATTTATTATATTTAAAACAAAGAAAAAATTGCTTAAAAATCAAAAAAGAGAAGTTGAATTAACTTACACTCAGTAAGTTTGCATTGTCAACATTTATTGCCTGTGCTGACAAAATGGAAAAGTACCTTTATTTTTAAATAATATAAAATTTCAAGTAAAGACATGTTTGGAATAATAAAGTTTTTAATTCTTTAAATAAAATAGTCTGTCAATATCCTTTTGATTAGCTTTCTCTTTATCAATTAATTTATTTCTAATCACAGTATAGACCTATTGTTTTAATAATTTGTTATCACTCAATATTCTTTCAGTTAAAAATGCTGTACTAGTGTCTAAAATTACAAAAAAATAGTAACTCTTAAGTTTTTTATTGAATCGAGTATCTCGTCAAAAGCTTTATAATCAAACATTTTCTTTTTTGCCCCATTTCTCATTACAAAAAATACAGGCGGTATTTGCAATCAATTTGTGCGAGGGTCTATAGTTGATTGAATAACTCTCCTAAAGATTCTGCCTGATCCTTGTTCTTTAATCCCATTTGTTAAAGTCTATAAAATTGATTCAGCATTTGGATGCTATTTTCCTGGCTTTGCACTATTATATTTGAAATGTTGATTGGGCTTAAAATGTTAAACCAAATAAAAATAGAGCATGTAAATTTAAATGAGAAATTTTTTGAAAAAGAAAATTAGCTAGCGCTCTTATTTCGATATCCTGCATATCACCATCTATTAGTTCTAAAACAGAACATAAATGTCTTAAAAATTTCTTTTAAGGTCTTATTGCCTCAGTTCTACTTTCCCACCTTGTAAGAACTGGTTTTAAACTTAACATTCTTATGCGATGCATTTTGAAATTTTCCCACGTTTATCTGATTTAGAAGAAAAAGTCCAAAAAAATTAGCTGTCACGAAAGATGTTTCAGCAGAAATGTTAATACTTAAATTTAAGCTATGCTCTGTGCAAGGGATGAAAATTGCTTTTGATTTAATATCTAGTATTTTTTGCTCGATTATTCTTACCATAAATTAATGAAGATGAAGCAGTAATGAAAATTATTTTAATTGTTTATACTTCTATAGGCTTTATCAGCAACAATGAAAAAAGAAAAACTGTATGCAGCTATTGTGGAATTTCTTGCAGTATGTGGTGTAATATCTGTGCCAAATGAAATATGATTTACTAAAAAAGATTATGTTTTCATTCCATAATATTCTCATTACCAGATAGTTTCATATTCATACTTCACTGCTATATTTTGTTTAGCTTGTGCTAATTTTTTTTTTTATACTAAGGTACAGGAGGTATCTTTTCAATTCAAACAGAAACTAAAAGAGGACATCACACAATTGTTGAATGCAATAATACATACAATCTCTAATAAATCACTTAAGTGATCTTTCACATTTATAAAAAGGTCAAAATCTAAGTTTTTCCATTTTATAAGTTATCAAAGTCAATGATGCAACAGTTTTTATTGTATAACAAAATTATGCAACTCTATGTTTAAATATTTTATTTGTAAACTTGTATTATAAACTTTTATAAACGTATTATAAACTTTTTTGAACTGAAAATTAACCTGGTAACTTTTTTGTTCACTTGAAAATTTTCTTGAAAGATTATCATATACTTATTTATATATATTATTTAAAAGCTGTGTAAGTCATTCTAAAAAAATGTTTTCTTGTTTGTTTTTAAAAAAAAAATTACATTTATTATGTTTTTCAAATTATATCTGCCAAAATTATTTTTTTGCTAAAGCACCTAAATTACGTTTTAATATTTTAATTAAAACATTTATAAATACATTTACTATTTAAAGAATAATTTCTTTTATGAAATGTATTATTTTATGCAATATTTTTTTTCATAACTCAAAAAAAAAAAAAAAAAATATTTATTTATTTTTTTGTATAAAGTGTACAAATGTATGCTAGAATTAAAAGGCTTTGTTACAGAATACTTATTATTCTATTACTGTAATTGTGCATCATTAAAGCAATAATCACTTTCTTGAAAAATTCCAAACGAACCAAATTTTCTACATGCTTGTAATGATTAATTATTTTGTTTTATATTTAAATTGTTTTGATCGTAGTTATATTATTTAAATAATGTATATATATAAATTTAATATTATGTTTGTATATAATTGTAAATAAATCAGGCATTTGATTCTTCTAATTTACAGAATTCTGTGAATCTCAAGACCTTTGCTTTGCAGACTTCCGCAAATCAATAGCTTATATTCCGATGAAACTTTCTTGTTTTTCCGCTAATCTAAAATATAATTTTTGTTACTTATTCAAAATCTTGTTAATGAGGCATGTATTCCAACCTTACCAGTGCCCTCTTTTTTTTTCTAAGTTCTCATTCACGCACAATGACTTTTTTTGTACAGATTTGTTAGATAGAAATGCAATTTCAGATAAACTTTAAGGAAAATAAAATCCATAATAACTAGAATTAATGAACTACTGAGACAAATACAAGAGCATAAAACTGGTAATATTAAAAGTAATTCCAAAATGGCAAACATTTAAAAGATTGTTAGCTTGAAAAAAACTGTGTTTTTCTCATTTTTTTAAATGAGTATCAAATTTGTTAAAAATTCTAATTTGTAACACAAGAATTATTTTGTAAATGTATACAAATGTATTTTTTAATTTCTCGAAAAAAAAAAGAAATCAAGAAGAATCAGAAAATCAAGCAATAAGCTTGTAACTTGTATCAATTACTTAAGTTGTTATTTTTAATAACTGCATAAAATTTCTTAAACCTAGCCTTCTTAAGTCCTTTCCTTTTTTCAAATTTTGCAACAAGATTTTTGTTATTTAATTTTATATTGCTACAAAAATTTTGTATAATTTTACTGAATATTTTTTAAGTTATAGCAAAACGACAAAAAAAAGCTTTTTTTATAAAAAGTTCCATATCTCCATTAATATTTAAACTAAAATTAAGAAGTTTTATGCAGTTATTGCAAATAACAATTAAAGTAATCGGTACAAGTTACAAGCTTATTGCTTGATTTTCTGGTATAGGATACTTGAAAATACTAGTTTTCTTTCGTAATTTATTGTCTGCCTCTCAAACCTCTGAAACCTTTCAACCTTATTGCAAAGTATGAGAAATCGCACAAACTAAACAACTCTAAAGATACAAAATAATCCTCTGAATATTTCAGTGAAAGTGTCTCTTCCTTTATTGTAGGGTAGTGTATTTGCCCCCTTTTTTATTTAGCTACAGTTAGATTGAAATTATTTTTAATGTGATATTACGACATGAAAATCTTGAATCGCGTATTTCAGTACCTAATCACTTTCCCATGCACTTAATATCATTGTAAATCTGTGCTTCGATCTTACTATTGGATTTGAGAAATTATTTCTTCTGTCTTTAAATTTTGTTATTGTTACTTTTTGTGCATAAAAATGAGACTTTTAAATAAAATTCACTCAAAACAAAAATTAAGTACTAAAAAATAAAAAATGTACACATTGAGAAAAAAATTTAAGATAATTTCTTCTTCTGACATGTCTGATTAATTAATGTTTGTTTAAAGAACATTATTGCTCGCAATTGTAATTTAATTGCATTTGTACATCATTGCAAACCATTCACCACCAATTTGTCAAGACTTCATGTTTATTTTCCGAGTGATAATTTTACTCTATTGATAAAAGATGTATTTTTAAAAGAGATACTATTTTCTTTTATGAAAGCAATAAATAAATTTTCTTTTACAATGTTTTATTAATTTATTTTGTGTTAATGTGTTTGTGAGTAATTAAGCTTTAAAATAAATGCAGCTAACCAAGAGAGTGCTTAATCGAGCTATTGTTTTCAACCAGTTGTTCTTTTCTTAGAGTATGTACCTTAATTAAGTTTGTAAGTTAAGTTCTAGAAATCACACACTGCTATCAATATGGTTGTCTCAACAGAACTTAAAGCTTCATCTAGTTTTGTTAAGATTTTAAATTGCCTTTTATATTTAGCATTTAGAAGTAATTTTGAGATTTCATTTAGATTTTTTTTTATTCATAAAGATTCTGTTTACTTAAGACCTGACAACTCTCAGGCTTTTTTCTAAGTAACTGAATGAATTGGAGGACATTTTTTTTCGCTGGGACATAAATTGTTTGTTTGAAATGGTTTTTTTTCTGAAATAAGTTTTTATTTTTTACATTTAACTTTCAACTGTAAAACTAAATCATTGATAGCATCGTCTTTAGTGCACTGTGACTGTATTATGAGGCTGTCAAAAGGAACTCTCTAGATAAGAGCTATGCATAAATATATTTGAACTTACTTATTTCTTCTGTTAATATATTTTGGTTTGATAATTTCTCGTGTTTCCTCATTTAACCGTTTCCATGTTTGGAAAAGGTTTTGATGATCTCCCCTAAACGATTTCTTCAGTACAAAATCTATGGCAAAAAAAATTCTGTGCCTCTCAAAAGTGGTCGTACATTGAGGTGGTCGCTACATAGAGATGAGGTGGTCGCTACATAGAGATGAGGTGGTCTTTCCTNTTTTTTTTTTTTTTTTTTTTTTTTTTTTTTTTTTTTTTATAAAAAAATCTGCCTCATATGAAATTGACAAACTAATAAAAAAAATTGTGCACCTCCTTAAGTTCCGATTCTTTTTTCATCTGTTGAAAATGGAAGAGGTAGTTCGTGGTATAAACTGTTCTCTCAATCGGCATCGAAGCACAGTTCTGTAAACAAGCTGAGGGGAAAAATTATTCACGTTTAACCTATGCTACCTTTTGATTTTCAGTGTTCTTAAATATCTCATAATTGTGAAGCAGGCACTTAAGCATTTTTTTTTTAAATATATATTTCTATTAGTCATAATTTACTTATTGATTTCGAGCATTTTTGAATACCATGTAAATGGGACTAACATGGTAACTGTAACTTGTTCTGATAGGCATGAATTTCTTTTATTTTATCTTATTTCCTCAAGGGCACACTTGTGTGTGACGGGTATAGCACACCCGAGGTTCCCTAGCTGGATCTTGACGTTTTTCTACTTTTTTCTCAATGGATCAAGTACATATTGTATATGGTGAAATACATTGATTTAGTTAACTGGATTAAAAAAGAAATTCAGTAGTATTCCACCCTCAGAGAGGCCCACTATTTTTTTGATTGCGGTATCAGCAACTTGCCCATTAAACACTAGTCTCAATAGCCATAACATGGCCAATTGATTTAATTTTTTTTGCTATAAATTAGTTTCAAACCGTATTTGGTTACAGTTCTCAAAGATCTCCAATATTACAAAATATTTAAATTTGGTGCAGTGTAGTCTAGTCTAACCAAGCTGTGCATTTAAAATCTATCCTGTCTTCAGAAAGCATTCCACTTACATTAATGCAGTCATTTTTATTTCCTGAAATGTATTGCTAATATATTAGTGAACTTAAATCTTGGTTTAAGGTGTAGTTAGAAGTATATAACTAAGAATAGGATAATATAATGAAAAGAATATAACTAAAGTTTGAAATGTTATTTCGCAAAAGCATATTTCTAGAGGGTTTGCTTTTTTCAGGTAGACACAGGTCTTACGACCCTAAGGTGCCATGATGTTTTTTTTTTTAAATTAGATTTAAATTATGGTTTGAATATTTTAAAAAGATAAAACACTGCTGCTTACTCGTACTCTGCTAACAAGAAAAAGTCATTAAAATCATTCCAACTAAAAACCTTTCTGTAAATCTTTAATGTCAGTTGCTTTTTACCTTACCCCCCCCCCCCCCCCNCCTCCCCCCCCCCCCCCCCCTCACCAACATCGGTTATCACCCTTGTTTGGGGAGTTGGATGTAGTAGTTTCAAACGTTATTAGAAAGAAATTAAAATTGTATAAGAAATAGAATTTTTTATCATTAGGGATAACAAGTAGGTAAATTAATATCACCAAAAACATTAAATTCAAACAAACAAGCTAATAGTACAAATACTGCATAAATTAACAAGCAAATGTATCCTACCCTGCGGTTCAGTCGCCATTTTGAAAGCTTAAAAACCAAATAAAATATTAAAAGAGTTACAAATAATGTTGCTGTTGCATAAGCCAGTGCAACACTCTGTATTCGTAAATAGCCACCTTCAGACATCAGTGCCTTAATCAGCCAAGGTATTCCCAAACATATTGAGATGTCGAAAGTATTGCTGCCGACCAGGTTGCTGATGGCCATGTTCCCTTCACCTGTAAAATAAATGAACAACTAACATACTAAAATAAAGCACTTAAGAGCAAAAATTTAATGACGTTTAGCGAAATTGCTGAACTTATTTATCCAAATGTAATTCATTTCAAAAATAATTATGCAAACTACTGAACCCTCTGCAGGCAGTTTAAATAATTGCCAGAAATTAAAACTTTGAATACATTATTTTGAGTGCCATTTTCTTACTTTAGCTTTTCTTGTTGAGAATAAGCCCTTTAAAAAACTTATGTTATTTAAGTATGATTAGGGGTATCTAGCAGAAGTGTTACAAAAAATTTTAGGAGCATTTTCCAGAAATTTTAAGTTATTTGAAGAAAAAAAAAATTTAGGCTAAATACAGGTTATACTTTAGTTCATTACAACCGTCTTACAGAACTCAAAATACATACAAATCCATATTTAGTATAGGTGTAAGCGTATATCTCAATACATATTTAATATATAAGACAGTCAATATTGTGTGACTTTATAAACAACTCAGCCACACTTGAACGTTTCAAGTTCCCAATGATTCGACCTCGCGTAAACTCATCTAGATGTCGTCTTCTGTGTAATCTGTTGGCCATATCACACCGTGACAACAAATTCACTTCGTTTAAACTGATGTATACTGTGCAATACCATTCACATCCTAGTCACATAAAAAAATTATACTTTATTCACCCTAGACCAGGGATGGCGAACCAATGGCACGCGACACAATATTTTGGGCACGCTACCGATCACGATGTTCCGATATGAAGCATAATAACAATTAAATTAAAATTCACAAAAACTGAACAATTAAGGCCAAAAAAGCAGTTAATAACCATAAAAAACGAGCTAACAATAAATAACTAGCAAACTAATTAACAGTTTTGCTTAAACTAACATCTTATAACTCTAATATAAGTTATTTGTCATCCAATCTGCAACAACAGAAGTCACACTGATGTTACTTTAAGTTGAATTACGCGTATAACTGAGACATTGCAAAATGTATTTTATTTTGTAATAAATAGTTTTGAGTTGATGGTATTTAGTATTATTACTTACGCTATAATCACGAGGTCAAAACTATTTGTCGGCACGTCTATGACAACATTAAAAAAATTTTTTAGAAAAAATGGCACGTTAGTGCATAAAGGTTCGCCACCCCTGCCCTAGACTGAGTACTCCGCTATTAATTCATATTTAACTTACCACTTTTTGCTACGAGGACACTGGAAACAAGGTCTGGAACACTGGCGCCAACTGCTAAAAGAGTGAGTCCGGAAACAGAATCTGGTATCAAGAGAGTATAGCCTGAAATAGTTTTTAAATTTATTATTAACAAAGTATGAAAATTTTTCAATTTCGGTACAGATTGTATGATATACGATGATGAGTGGCTGGCGCAGTATAACCATATCTGGCTCTTGTGCCAATAAACTTTAATCAACCAACCATATAAGATGATAGGCATAAATGGAGCTTGGGCAAAATGAGGCTTAAATTAGAAAGCAATGTTCATATCTGTTACTTGCGTCTCTAAGTTGGTGTATTTTACTTTATTTCGGCATAAAATGAGAGAAAATTAGTTTCCGTTAATGTACTGAACGGCCAAACAAAATTTCTCGAATAGAAAAAAAAAAATTTGGAAGGTCACTACGACCTCATATGACCTCCCATACTGGCGCTCTTCAAATGGCGCGCTGGTAAACTTAATATCGACCAGAAGCTTGCCCAGACATTTTTATAATGGTGTGCCACTAGAGTTATAAACGTTTTACTAAAGTTAAAACTTTTTGTAAAAAGAAAAAGATATATTATTCTGGCATGCTCCCCCCCCCCCCCCNCCCCCCCCCCCAGCAAAAAAGATTTTAAAAAAATCTCAAGAAATATTGTCCACTGTGTTCTTTATTTTTAAAATCATCCTTGTAATTTGACCTAGTGCGCGAACATTATTTCATTTACTTTTAAATACTGATTATAAATTACAGATTTTAGAGTTTTTATTTTACGGTTTCATTAATTTTCTTGTACACTTTTATTTTAAGAATACCCAATTTTGGAAAAATCGGGTATTCTTAAACGAATATTAATCCTAGTCAAATCGAGTTATCAAATACAAAACTTGGTATTAATCCTAACAACGTTGGTTTTTGCTGACCAGCATGTTTGCCGTGTGCTGCGTCTTATAAGGTGCTGGAGTTACCGGTTTGATTCTGTACGAGTGTGGTGTCCAAGGGGGCTCTACGCCACGTGCTCCTTGGTTCGACATTTTACTAGGCAGTTATAAAAAATTTTAAGAAAAATGTACTTATCAAATTTAAAGCTGTGTCAGAACGTGATAGTCTACTATAGAATATGTGGCTCCTCAGAGCAAACATCAACGATCCGAAATATTAATCTTTAGTCTGTACCTATTGCTCACGTCACCAGAACAATTGGCCAAATTAAGGCTCTTCTATAATATAGTTAATTCAGGGGCTCTATGTCGAATGGGGTAAGGAGAAAAAATAACTCGTTCATGATGTTATGCAAGAATATAGCAGAAGAGAAAAAATGAATTATAACCGTTCTTTTCATAGCGCGCTCAAAACAACAACAAAAGACTAGTATTTTTTTTTCCTTCTTTGAGTAACTAATTGGTAAAAAAAAAAAGTCGCCACTTTTTCGAAAATTGTTGTCATTGCCATGATTTTGTTTGGTGTGAATCGACGTCTTATCTTCCATTTAGTCGTCAAGGGCAGCTCTGTACTGATACTGGTTACATTTTACCGAAAGTTAATTGGATTTTTCGTTCATTTAAAATTTCTCTTTCAAACCCAACTGAGTGCTGTATTTTGAGCCAGAAGTCTGTAAAAAGTATTTAAAGATGTGTTTTTGAACCATTGACAATACATGAAGTGTGGAAGTGATCTAGTCATCACACTTGCTGAACATTTTGACAATTACCAATTGTTTCTTACCAATAATTGTTACCATCCATACAGCTAAATACGACAAAGCTCCTAACCATGCCACAGATATCAGGAATGTAATTGGATATAGTTTTTTGAATTTGTGATTTGTAGGGTTTGGGATTGTCAAGAACAATAGTACAGATGCTGGCAACATAAACAGCCACCAAATAAAACTACAAGTTGTATGAGGTGGCGAACACAAAGGTTCTTGTTCTTCCAGCTCTACTGATTTGTCACCTGAAATGAATAGTTTTGGAAAAAGTTAAAACACATAGTGTCGCTTGTTTAATGTTACTTCGTAGAAATGATATACGTATCTGTTACAGTTTAATAAAATTATGAATCGGTGCCAATAAAGTAAACTTATTTAATTCTAAAATTGATGGGTTGAAATACTTTGGTATATAGTACTTATATTTGGGTTTGTATTTGGATATAGTCATGATTAAAATAGTTAAATGATTGAAATGTCATGATAAACAAATTAAGGCCGAATTATATAAAAGGTAATTAAATTAAGGGGAACGTGATCGTTAAGGAAAGTGGTAGTACAATGCTAATGTGGGATAACAATAACCCAATAGGTCCAAAGGGTCACAAAGTGTGAGGTTTGGATAAATTGGATTCACCAAATTTGGAAAAAGGGCAAAACTAAAATAATTGAAGATTAAAGATAAATAAGACAAAGTCATGCTATATCCAGATATAAATATATGATTATCAGAATATAGGATTATCCCAGATGCTATATCCAGATTATAATACAGCAGGCTGATGTGTCCAAAATTATCAAATATGCATGCCCAAAACAATAAATGGAAGGTACTCACTACACATACAGGAAAAATTGATGGGAAAAAAACGATAAATTAAAGATTTACACATGTGTAACTGAATATATTTTTATTATTTTTTTAAATCACGCAGTCACACACAAAACAAATAGTTGAATAAGAATTTAGAGATATTATTTCACTAATGACAAGGTTTTGCGGAGAAATGAGTGAAAACGATAAATTAAAGATTTACTAATGAGTAACTGAATTTATTTTTTTAAATCACACACGAAACAAATAGTTGAATAAGAATTTAGAGATATTATTTCACTAATGACAAGGTTTTGCGGAGAAATGAGTGACAAAGAGTAAATTAGAAAAAGGTAATATAAAGGTTCGCAATCAAAGTTGAATTTGAAGAGTGATAAGAAAAATACGAAATCATTTAACTTACAGAAATTACTGATTTACGAAGAAAATTTAAAGCTACAAAAGGGTTGATATGAGGAACGTTAAATTACTGAAAATTATAAAGATTTTAAAAAGTCTACATTGATATTTTAGGTATTAAAAAAAATTGGGATGTTGGAAAAAGAATTAATTTCCTCTATACGGACCGAAGTCAGCATATCGGAGAAAAAAAGATAACTAGCCAGAAGGAAGTACCAAAAAAAGAACGTATTAAAAGTGACTTAAAAATTCCTTAACTGGTGTAGAACCAGGAAAGTTTGAAAATTAAAGGAAAGAGATTGGTTAGTTAGCTCCCCTAAAAAATAAAAGAAGTAAAAAAAAAAGAGGGGTTGATTCTCCCCCACAGGAAGTGCGTTAACCATAGGGAGGTCAAGAAGAAAGTTAAAAAATATATAATTGCTATATTGAAAAAAAGGAATAAAGTTTTAATAAAATTAAGGATTCGATGTAATTAACAGTTAACTGTCACTTTACATTAAATGTAAATGTGACAGTATTCTTTTATTTTGAGCTCATAATGTTAATAAAAATCATTTTGGTGAACGTTATAATGAATTACTAAGGAAGGAATTTTCTAGAATCGAGCTGTAAAAATTTAAAGTAACATGAACTGGACTTATATGAAGATCAAAAATAGTAAGGAAATTTTGTATGGGTTTCAGTAGTAGCTTTAGTTCAAGCCAGTTGAGTTTGAATGTGTTTTTTATTTCCAAGTCTGGTTAAGCCGACCGAGTGTTTAGCCAAAAGATAAACTTTTTTTTCTTCCGATTATTTATTTCTTGATTACAAGTTTTACGTTGTTCATGATGCTTGTAATGCCATGCGATATAACATATTTTGCTAAATAATACTGAAAAGTACGGGTAGCATAACGCAACACAGTATATAAATCTATTGTTGTTTATGATGCTTGTAATGCCATGCGATATAACATATTTTGCTAAGTAATACTGAAAAGTACGGGTAGCATAACGCAACACAGTATATAAATCTATTGACAATTTGAAATTATGAGTGTTTGTAATAAGGGTATTTCTTGCAATACTTTCTATATTGCTTTTTAAAAAAAGACAAGCATGTGCAAAATTAGTTGACAAAAGTGCTTTGGAACATTTTAAAAACGCTTTGTATATTTAAAGATTAAACTAGTTTACTTACCATATGTTTCAATTGCACCCTTTTCTATTTGAGTTGGGGTTTTTTTAACGTCGGTGTTATCGATACTTGTTGTAACGTACGCTGTTGCATCGGATTTTATGGCTGATTTTGATTCTGACAATGAAGATCTTTTTGTCAGTAAGGGTGAACTTTCTTGATTGTTATAACAGATGCAGCATTTACTCTCCTGGACCTGAAATAGTTTTTTCCATACATTTGTTTAATGTAATTATTTTAAACTATCGTTGAACTGAAAATCAGTGATTATTATGAATGAATTGGGCACATACGTTCTACTTATAAACTTATTATCTAATTAGTCGGCTACCTTGCGTTCAGGGTGCAGAGAGCCCTTGACAGAGAAACACAACCAATGCAAACCGTGATACTTTAATCATTAATTTCCCACTTCACATGATTATATCTTACGATTGAAGTTATCTAACCCCAGCTTGTTATTTTAATTTCCGGAGATCCAGTGATTTTAATTCTATATTTATTGTTGTATGTTGCCATAATATGGGGAGTCCAGAGCACTGTGTTGTTTTTGTTTAAATGATGTTCGTCGTGATGGAAAATATTCGCGGATTTATAGATCTCCATTTGACAGCTGTAGGACTGAGAAATATTGTTTATAAACGTGTAAGTTTCAGCTCTTTAATCTTGTAACGCCTTATGCGCTCTAGGATATTTACAGGTAACTTCCAGTAACGAACTCAGCAGCCAAAGGCCAGCAATGGCTGTTCTTTAGGTACCCTAATTTATTTGTTAGTTTAACATTAAAGAAGTGCTCTATTTTCCTGCTACATTGCGAAAGTAAAGGGGGAGTAAAAAAGATAATGTACGAAATTAGTAAAATTACCAGGTTCTTGGAGCATTTTTCTACTTTTTCATTAAAGTACATAAGGATTATATAAAGTACAAAAAGGCCAAGTAGAATAACAGCTTCCCACCTAAATAAAACATGATTGTTACCATTAAAGCTTATAAATCTTCAACTATAAAAAATATGCCATTATATTCACCAAATAACTTTGCTGTCAGAAATGATCCACGTCAGGCATATAACCGTGATACCATAACAAATACAATCTCTTGCTATCGGATACCAATCTACATCAAGAACCTGAGGAGAATAAAAATAAGAAATTAGTTCCTCCCAAAAGTTAGAACAAGAACCAGAAATTATAGTGTATGACATACATCATTCCATAGATAAATTCCTGCAACTCCAGTGATGCCAAGAATATTAAAGACTGCTGAACCAATCACAGCTCCCACGCCTATATCGCCTTCTGTCACAAAAGATCCTAAAAATAATATTTAACTACAATATATTAAATCCATAGTATTTTAATAGAATGCAGTTCAGTACCCTATGTTATTGAATTTCTTGCTATTTGAATGCTGAAAGGAAGTCGTTCTTGCAAGTTTTCTATGGATTATGTATCTCTAGTTTTGGTTTGTATCGTTCGTAAAATAATAAAAGGAACAACAGTTTATTAACCATTGATTAGATTTTCGCGGACTTGTAGATATCGATGTTTCGATGAACTGGCCTTTAATATTTCATTTGTGCAGACTTCTATTTTAAGCTACGAAATCAGGCCTAAAAGCGTACTTCCTCTGAAAAAACATACCTTTCTTCCAATTTTTGACTCATTAATCCAGATAATCTTACGTAAAAAATGAATTTTTGTTTTAGTAATTAACAAGAAAAAGATGTTTGGTGAATCTCCTCCTCACTGCAACACTAGAAACGTTTTACTCATGATCCATCTCATTTGACCATGTTTTAGATAATATAGTTCTACCTTTTTTGATAGCTCTATTTTGAGTATAAAGATTTGTTGGATAAAGCACATTATCCTAACAACTTTGCATCTCTACGCCTAGTTCATATTTAATATTGCATATAACAGCTTTTACCTAATTTTATTCATTCTGTATTTTATTACCTTCGTATCATTCAATATAATTTTATTCTATTTACACTTTTTTCTGATTCTATTGATTTCTTAATGTTTTATGCATCATGCATAGTTTTAACAATATTATGTATTTTAGAAAAAATTTGCTCTGTGTAACTTACGTTTTTGGAGAAAAAAAACGTTTGTTTGGCGCAGCATGTCCTTTTTAGGACCTTGTGCCATTAAACTCTTCATTCAATTAAATTAAACTTTAGTGATGAAAATCTGTTTTAAGGTCTTTTTAACGGAAAAGTTTATTCCCTAAACGTTCCTTTATCGTTTTTAACTCCTCAAAAAAATTTTGCGAACGTGATAAAATAAGGTGTTGTGTTGAGCTTAGTTGCAAAATTCTAAGCTTGTAAGGATTAATACTTTTTTATAACTTATTATAGTTGAAATCTGGTTCATTAGAACGAATGATTAAAGAAATTGCGTTAATATACTTTAGGTTAACCTCAATGAAATAAAACCTTTTTTCTGTTTGAAGAAACACCCTTAGTTAAGTCAGGTCAAATTTTAACATCATTTTTATTCTCCTTTTGTAGTTCCGTGCATTATTAGTAGATTTGTATCGTTGTAAGAAAAACATTATATTTCATAGTTAAAAATGAATATTTAAAGAATTTACTCACCCAAAATAGAGGAAAACAATTCTGGTGAAGAAGCGCCTATTGCCATAAAAGTTGCTCCCGCAACGTCCGGAGGTAATTTCAGTTCTGAAAGAATTGAGCAAATTAATAACCATATTCTAAGTCTGTGTCACTAGAAAAAGATTTTTGGGATCTATTTATTGAGTAGTTTACACCAGGTTAGATTCGTCATTTTAAATTTGCTATAGTCTAGAAACAAAAATAATTCTGAAGCAAGCTCGAGGGTGGCAAAGGACGAAAAGCTATAGTATTGAACTGATTAACAGCACCGCTATCCTTATTTGTCGTGAAAAAATAAAGTGAATAAGAGAATCTGAAGTAAATATAAGACCCACTTACTGTCAGATACAATCTCCAAAGACGGTATGAAATATATGTCGCACACTTTGGCAATCATGGCGCATACGTATAGCGTGATTAAGACATGAATTATTACACCTCCCTTCTGCCTTTGTTCCTGTGTAAAGAAATCTTCCGGAAAAGAATGTATTCCTGACTCAATGCACGTTATTTCCTCCTCACTCACAAGCTCCAAAAGCTTTCTATCTGGAAAATAAACATAAATGTATTTAAGTTTGCATACTCAGACATTTATTACTTAACATTTATATTAAAAGTTTTTTATTTGCACAAAAAAAACAATGAGCTGAATATCAATAATTTACTTTTTGCACCTATACTCAACTCTACTCTCTCTGCTTTAACTCATAGCAGAATGCTCTTTATAAGACAAGTTGTAGGTTTGGCGTAGCCACAAATGACTTTTGCGCCAATAATTTATTCTTAATTAATTAACTAACTACTCAATCTATTTTATAACTTTTATTCTTTGTTTTAACTGACATCATCGAAACTTATTTTGTCTTTTACAGGATTTGCAAAATGAAATCCACATATTTGCATTCGTACGCGCGATTAGTTTAAATGTACATACTCTACTTACTCATTGCTGATAAACCTCATGTCAATATTTTCTTTTACTTGAAGGACATTGGATTTTATAATTTGATATAGTGTAGACGATTTGAAATAATGTAAACTAAAGGACTTAATTGGAAAAATCAGTAAATCATACCAGGTAAATGTATAGCCATTTTTGGCTCTGGCACCAGAATTATAAATTACGCCTGGCTTCATCTTCCTTCGAGCTCCCTAATTTCTCGTTTATCTATTATTTTACAATTTTTTAGAGAAGCAGATAATTTCAGACATTGTATAACTATTATAGAACATTGACATTTAAGACCCATGGGTGCTGAGCGTCTAAAATAGTGACCAAACAGAAGAGGCGTGGATAAACATTACATGTCATGTAAACATATCTGGATTGTGGGGGCGGAGTTAATCGACAATACCAACCGTCATCTATCAAAAGGTACCTCTTAATAGAATCAAGTTAGCATGCTTTATATATACTAGTGAATGATGTTAAACTTTTGTAGTGGTAGTTACGCCACAGTACTCCCCCACCAGAATTTTATCAGAGATATAATTCGATGAACAGATCTCACTAGTTGATGTACTTGTGAATGACCGGGAGAGAGTCACCGGATTTTTTGAGTGCGGAATGTGAGAGGTGTATTAACATCACAGTCGAAGTCGCTCCTGTGTTGCCATTAGCAGTCGAGAGTAAGCAGGCGTTGAGAGTGTAGGCGATGTGTGAATGTTCGAGACGAAACTGAGAAGCAACAGCGCAGGAGGTGAATGATGCATTCACAAATATCAAGTCAACCGTACGATGTGGACTATCCATCGAAGTAGGCGTAACCGTTGAGAGATTGCGAAGTGGGCGTTACTTGCGTGAGCAAATCACGTTCGAAGGTCACCAATGTGGGGGCGGAGTTAATCGACAATACCAACCGTCATCTATCAAAAGGTACCTCTTAATAGAATCAAGTTAGCATGCAAATTAATCATTAAATCATTTTTACATCATTACAATTAAATCATTTTTACATTTTTGGAACGCATCGCGTGATTCTGTGGTCCAGGTTATAACACGTTTGTCACCACATGGATAAACAAATACATACATTGCATGAGATAATGTAGGAAAAACACTAATATGATAAAAGAAAAAAAATGGGAAGTAGGAAAATTGGATACATTGGGGATTTATATTTGGAACACAATATGCATTTGTGAAATTATTAGTATCAACTATATATGCTTTTCATTAATAGTTGTCAAAAACGACTCCATCAAAAATTTGTAGTAATTGTGCATATGCACATAAGCTTGATGTTAAATGATGGTAGGCTATAATCAGGATATGCCAATTTGTTCATGTAGACCCAATCAATTAAGTATGGTTTGCTAGTAGATACAGTAGAACTCCAATTATCCGAATCAATTGGGACCGGACCCCATTCGGATGATCAAAAATTCGGATAATTGGATTTTTTTTAAAAAAAATGCTTATTTTAAATAACTACTGTTTGTATAGTGGAAATGAGGGGGAAAATGTTTTTAGGGATTTCCTCTAAGGATTTCAAGGATTCTTAAAGATTTCAACAATTCTTCTGTGGGATGACTTGGTGCATTATCAACAATCAAAAGCACAGGACTTCCAACAGATTTTTGGCTTTTTTTCACTTCAGGAATGAAAATTTCATCGTACCACTCTGTAAACAGTGCTGCAGTCATCCAAGCTTTGTATTGGTTTTTATAAAATAGGGGAAGTTTTTTGATATTTTTAAATGCTCTTGGGCGTTTTGACTCCCCTATTAACAGAAGGGGTATTTTATGGCTCCCAGTTGAGTTCGGGCAGTTAAGCACAGTAACGCGGTCTTTACTAGCTTTATGCCCTGGAGCACTAGGAAGCTTTGGCACTGCACTCTCTTTTAGAGGCTAAAGTGGTTTTGGGTAAAGCTTTCCATATTAGACCAGACTCATCGGCATTGTATAAGAAGTCGGAATCGTAAGAGGCTGCTATAACTTTAAATTTTTCCATAAACTCGTCAGAAGCTTTGGAGTCTGCAGATAACTTTTCACCACTTAAATCTAGTTCACGAATACNAAGCTTGATGTTAAATGATGGTAGGCTATAATCAGGATATGCCAATTTGTTCATGTAGATCCAATCAATTAAGTATGGTTTGCGCTAGTAGATACATACATAAAAGATTATTAAGGCATTATATAAACTTGATATAACTTAATACAAATGTTAAAAAGTTCTTCCACTGTATGATTCGAAACTGCTTGAGCTTATACTTAAAATCATTACATGAAAACTTAAGACAATATAAGGTTTTGAAATATTTTATTGGTAAGTTTGTTAATTATTATGCACTATACAAAAAAAACTGAGATATGTTAGTGTTCGTGAATTTCTATTGTTTGATAAGATATAAAAAATAACTAGGGAATTTACTGAAATAAGAATTGAGAAATTATAAGGGTTGAATAGTATGAAAACCTGGTTAGCATATGGATTTTACACTATGGTAATGGATTACATTGTAGGTGGATGTAATTCTATGTTGATTATTAGTTGGAGAATTGTAAATTTTAGCTTGGTGTTAGAAATTTTTCATAATTTTGTATGAAGTTATTAGTTTTTTTAGAAGAGTTTTATTACTAATAATTTGTTGCTTCCATGCTATGATATTTTGTTCCATGGGAATTTAAAAGTGATAGGATTCTGTTAACAGACATTTTGTAGCATAGTGTAGAGGTGAACCATTTTCTCCACAACTGCAAAGTTGTTTATGTCTTGACTGCTGAAAGCGTTTCAAGTATATCCTAAAGGGACCATGCTCAATTATGAACATTATTGTTTTGGCTATTTGCTATTTTTGAAAAAAACCTTTCGAAGAATTTCTTGAGTTGTTCTTCCATTCTTGTGTGTAGTCCAAAGGTGCTGCCAATAATTTAAAATTAATTATTTTTCCTTCTTTTTAATATGTGATAGGTGCATTCCCAAATTTGTTGATGTAAGATTTGTGTCTATGACTGCATCTTTTGCTGCCGCATCTTCATTGCCCGTGTGACCGGCGTGTGCCTTTATTCATGAGATTTCTAGTTGTATTCTGTCTAATTGTTGTTGATTAAAATATTTTGGATTTTTCGTATAATATGATGCGTTTTACTATAATTCTTGATTGCATGTAAGGTCGAAAGGCTGTCAGTCCAAATTGTTGTATTTCTACCGTTATTTTTTGCTATTTCAACTGCTTCTATTCTGGCTCTTGTGCCATTAAACTTTAACCAACCAACCAACCAACCAACTGCTTCTAAAATAGCTTTTGCTTTCCAATTAGAAAACTTTATTTTAATGTATTTGATTTTGTGTCGGCATTAAAGATTATTATGGCGGCTCCGGTTCCTGCCTCCATCTTCGAACCATCTGTGTATATATTAATTCTTCTATTTTGGTCATTTTCTTTTTGTTTTGTGTAAATATTGCCTGTTGTGTTTATGTTGAAGTCTGGAGGTTAATCTTCGTATCTATTTTTTTCATTACTTATAATTAAATCGTTATCAGAATTGTGTAAAAGGAATCTTTTAGTAAGTAAATTCTAATTGCTTCTTGTTGCAATGTTAGATGAAGAGGAGGTAGACCCAGGATCGCTTGTAGGCGTTGTTGCCCTATATGCGCCTGTTTGTAGGAACTTCCTCTGTACTGAGTCCATCTTGTCTTATTTGTATTGCTGCGGTTCTGAGCACAATATTACTGTACTGCGTGCTAACATTCTGACACTACACATGCTTTATATAAGATTAGTATATGGTCTCTTTTAATTCCCCAAGATCCTCCTGCTATTCTTTGGATTGCTTGAAGTTATGCTAATGCTTTATTTCCTTGTGTTGTTATATGTTCTGTCCAGTTAACCTGTTCATCAATTAGAAGGCCTAAAATATTAACTGGTGTGGATCTTTTTATTTTCGTGTTGTTAAGCTTTATTACAGGGCCGTTAACTAGTTTGCTTTTAATCAGAATGTGTGTAGTTTTCTCTTTTGAGATTTCTAGATCATTCATAATGGCCCAGCTATTCAGGATATTTAATGTATTTGTTGTTGTAATACCAAGATCTAATTCTATCTTAGCTGTAATGGCAAAGCTGAAGTCATCTGCAAAAGCAAATTGTTGGACGTCTGCTGCTGTAGGATGTTTTAGATTTTGCGTAGCATCCGTCCAGTTGAATTGTAATGGCTCATCAGCAGAGATTATCCAAGAGGTAGGACCGCTGCAAGAGCCCTGAGGAGTTCCTATGGTTTATGTTATTGAAGCTAAACCTTAATTAGTCTATCCGTTAATAAGCTTTTAAAAATGTTAAAGACATTACTTGGACAATTTTTATTACTAAGGCTATTTAGTATATCATTTTGCCTTAGATGGTCAAAGACTCTTTTAATGTCCACTGAGAGTAGCAGCATATGTTTTTCTTTATTTTTATGTATGTAAATAGTTGAATAGAAGGTCGTTCACTGATTTGCCTTTTCTGAAACCAAATTGTCAGTCACTTAGTAAGTTGTTTGCCTCTAGGTGAAACATCAGTCTTGATGTCATTAATTTTTCTGTTGATATCTCAATCATAGGG